AGAGTATGCGGCAATGCCAATAAGGTGTTTGATAAAAGTCTTCTAAGAGAACATGGAGGGGCAAAGTTGTGAGGGCAGTTGAGCTTAAGTCTGTTTAAAATAAAAAAAGAAGAAGAAGAAGGATTTGGCTTGATTCTATTTTATTTTATGTTTCTTTTTATGAATAAGAATATGATTTGATTTGAAGCCTTGGTAGTAATGTGCATGCATTTACGGCAGACATGGGGTCACTCACTAAATTGCACGGTTGGGTTGGTTGGCTTTGGATGTTACATAGGCAAATCTTCATAAACTCCCAAGTTACATTTTAGTTTTTTTTTACTTCTGCCGACTGCAACTTTCGGCCGCCGAAATCTAACGGAAAGCATATCAGCTTTTAAAACACGTGTGATAATTGTGTGGGAATAAATGAGAAAATGAACTCATGAGCTGTTCAAGTGGCAGAGATGTAAAATGAAGGGACAAGTAATACGATTGATGGCAAAAGGTGGTAAACCGAAGGAATGAGCAAAAACCTAAATGAGTTCAAGGCTAGAATTCTACTTTATGTCGTTAACACAACATATTCGCTATGCACTATATTGCCATTGTCTCTCGTACATTAATCTCCTTGCAACGCTTCGCCAATAAAGGTTAGTTGAGTTGGTAAGGATTGTTCTCTTCGCTATTAAGACCTAAGTTTGAGTTCCATTGCTGACAATCCCTCTTGATGAGTAATTTGTAAAAACTAAAAAAGAGAGCTAAGATCCCCTCTGTAAGTCCTCAAAGAGACCTTGGTATGCCCTAGTCCTGGAATGGGGTAGCCTCCCCTCCCCCTAAACCTTTTTTTACCAAAATAAATAAATTCTCTTTGCAATGCTTCAAACTACAAGACTAAGGAACTAATATATATATATATATATATATATATAGTTCCCTTCTATTGAAGGATACCCTTTATGATTCTTTACGATTTTTTTTCAACGATCTAAACTGTCTATTTTTCAAATCTTCATTCATAGATCTTCCTCTATTAAAATCATGCAAATTGAAAATCATTAAGGCATCTAATTGAGACCAACAAAATATAAGAACACGGTGCTTTAAAAAAAGACTACTAACAACCACCTATTTGAGTGGTCAAATGGTTTCAGATTCAAGTGATTTTTTGCAAAGACCATATTTGAGATAATATCTAAAAACTAGACAGTTCAAATCATTGAAATACAATACGTGGTGAGTTCTACAAAAATGTCTTTCAAATAAGCTTATATATAAAAGGCTCTTGTTTGAGAATTATTAAATGAAAATTAAAATTGAGAAGATGTGATTATCAAAATTTCAAATAATGCATCTTTTAAATGACGAGTATAGTACTTGTCTGTTCATTTTTCCAAACAAGGTGTTAGTCGCTATATGCACTCGGGACGAATTTTGAGGTAGGAAGCTTAAGCATGGGATCTAGGTAAAGGCAGGATCATCTTTAAAGTTTTGAGGATTCTGTGCGAAATTTAAACTGAAACCCTCACATGATCTAATATAAAAATACTAAAAAAAATATATCATGAATTGATGCCATGAATAATAAAATTAATGAGAACAAATATTTTTCACGAAGACATAGTGGTGAAGTATAGTTATCTTGTTTTAGCGGTCATTGGTTCAATGCTCCTTCACTACAATGTGATGCTTATCCCTTTATTTTGGTACTTATGGTCAAGGCTTGTCGTTGTGAAAAAATCACTTGCAAGTTGTGAAAAATCACTTGCAAGTTGTGAAAAATCACTGCTGTGATTAGACTTAGGGAATTCTTTTGGGAGTCTAGATTGTATCTATCTTGATTAAGGTTGAGTTCTTGATATGCGTGCCATTGTGACGCAACCAAGTTATCAGAATTCCATACCTGTTGATGTGTTTTTACATTGAGAACCAAAGGACAACACCCTCTCAACCATGGCATATATACTTGTGAATTGTCAACGTCAGGTTACCAATCTCTGAAGAAACTTTGGAGATAACGGGTGCACCAGGCGTGAATGATTCTTTCTTGGACCATCTCTACAAAATCCTGAAGTCATGCCCTCCTAGTTGCACCCATTAGTCCACGTGTCATATGAACGGTTGACCAAAGTCAACATGGACATTATTATCTGCGATAAATCACTGATTGTCATTATCCCTAATAGCTATAAGGTCCCTTCCACATCAAGCCTCAAAACGACAAGCCCCACCGAATCATCATAAAGAATATTGAACGTGGACAAGCTTAGGGTCCTTTAAAGTCTGCACAATGGGTTAGCTCGGCCAAACCAAGTAGGTTTAGATTTAACAGCAACCTACAACTCTTGATTAATTTTATAAACATTCATATTGTGTGGTAGACGGGAGATTTTGGAAAAATACAAAGGAGAGAGAAATTTTGTAAAAGAAGCCAAAATGGATAAAATTGCCCTTATTTATTTTTGGATTTCATAATCCTTTACATTTGTATGTCTTTGATTTGAAAGTTGAGAAGTTTTTCTGTCTTTTTGAAAAAGCTTTGGCTTTTTCTAAAAGTGAAATTTTTTATTTGGCTAAAATCTAAGTTTACTTAGACATTTTTGTTAATTTTCCATCTATGGCAATATTCGCCCAACTATGGGCCTGACTTAGTCAACCTTTTGACCAAGTTTGATCGATGTATCCATCTATGGCAGGAGTTCAACTTCAGGATTTTATATTTTGATTGTTTTTTTTAATTAAAAAAAATAGAAAAAGCATAGAATAGTACGACCAAATACGTGTTAGAGTATGAATAGACGATAAAATTAATATTTCTCCATTCTAAAAAGTAATATTAATAAACATCTTCTTATATTATAATACGTGATTGTACTACGTGTACATTACTATAATTACTCTTTTTGGGGGTGAGATGTTTGAGTTTGATTGTGAACTGGTTATGGAGTTTCGTAGACCACCACTAGGGTGAATGTGGGAGGGGAGACGTGCTTTGACTGTACTATTGAAAAAAAAAACCCATAAAATAAGCAATAAAAAACGAACAAACAAACAAAACCCAATAGTTCATTTTGAATATTTCAATTTGAATTTAAATGCCATGTCCTATTAAAGAAATGGGATGTGTAGCACATGCATTTTACATCACCGGAAAAATCACTATAATAACAGTCTACATGTGAACTACATTTTCGTCAACTATCCTACCCAAAAAAGAAAAAGAAAAAGTCCTCAATTTCTTCAATTCAATTGAAGAAAATATGATTTGAAATTCAATCTATCCTTTCACTTATATTATGTAATTTATTTGATCAAACAAAAATGCGCGATAAATAAACGGGATTTAAATTAAAATTCTAAGTTCGAAATCCCCAACTCTCATTGATAAAATGAAAAAAAAACCCGTAGTTCACAACATCATAAGTAGGGGGTTGACATTTTTTTAGGTGCATTCATAAAAAAGAATATTTATTAAATTGCTTGCTCTGTTGCACAACAACCATGAAGGTTTAAAAAAAAAAATTTAAATACAAAGTGATAATTGTATTGGCGCATATTGACTGAACTACACAAACTTTGAACCATGAAATGGTAGAGTCAAGCATTACCAAAAAAATAAAATAAATAAATAAATAAAAAGCATCGTAATTTCCTTGACTTTTCATCTATTGATCCTTTTTGGACTAAGGAAACCATCCAAAAGCAATCTTCGAGAATAGATCAAGAACAATAATTAAAATGTACAGAAATATTCATTATTGTTTTGCTGTTGTGCTCCCATATATGCTTTGAATATTAAAATCCAAAAAGATGCCAATTAGAACGTGAAGTGTAACAAACAAATTAAACAGGACTTAATTTATTAGGCAGGAGAACTTTTCAGAATTCCCACCATTTAAATTAATAGGACATAGCATTGCTCTTGTTCACAATTACAATATAAATTAATGTAAGCAAAGTCGCACCAAACATGATGATGCATGAACTAGTTGCCCAAGTTACCTTTATCTAGTTGGGTTTTACTTCTTCATCTCAATCTATTAGTAATTATAATATAGTACTGGAGTATGAATACGCTGTATAATTCGTCCACGTATTATAATATAAGGAGATATTTATTGATTTTATATTTTAGAAGTGAGAAATCTTAATTCTGTTGTCCACTCATATTATAACACGTGAACATACTCCAATACTATAATTTCTCTAATCCGAGTCAAGGAAAAAACTATGGAACTAAACCCACCTGAAAAAGTAGATGACTAAGGAATAATTAAGAATAATACTTTTCCATTCCTATAATAAATAAATAAAGAAAAAGGAAAAAAATATACTTGTGCAATTAAGCCCATGTTGCCAAATTGCCAATTACGGGCTAATCACTGAAGCCCAACAGTACTTAGTACTATAAGCTATTCCAAGCATTACATGTCGGCATATAGTCTTGCAATGGAGAACTCAATTCAAACATGAACTCTCTCTCTCTCTCTCTCTCTCTCTCTCTCTCTCCCTCTCCCTCTCCGAAAGAAGTACACCGACAGAAGTCTTACTTTAAGGCCCATATATAGGCAAATTAAAAGCCTGCTGTGTGAACATAATCTCCACCACCTTATAGTCGGTTTATGCGATCTACATTTTGGGGGGTTTGGGCATAAATCACATCTAAAATAAGAAATTGCAAAACCACAAGTTTTAATTGCACAAAAAAAGAAAAAAAAAGAAGAAAAAGAAGAAAAAGAAAAAAAAGAAAAGAAAAAAAGAAAAAAAAGAAAAACTCAATAAAGGTGCATGGTATTCGATGAACCAAGGTCTCTGAAGAATAGGGACAGACAGCTGCACTATTTTAATGGCGGCTCGTCAAGTTTGAATTGTGCATCACCATATATATATAGCCGTTGCTCTCAAAAGGGTCTTCATAATTTGTCAAAACTCGATCTGGGTCAGCCTGAATTTCCTCGAATATCATCATCAATCATCGCCATCATTTCAGATTGAATTAGCTGAGAGCAGCTGGGTTTTACATGTGCTTGCTGAAGGTGGCGAACCAGAGGAGCTCAGGCGGTCAATACGACAGGTTCGAATCTTCAAACGACGACGACCATGGCGAAGAAGCCTACACATACGAAGAACAGCCACAAGCTGCTGCTGGAAATATTGATCATGAATCAATGAACCAATTACCTCACCAGAACGTTTCGCCGACAATGTTTTTGGGGTACAGTCGGCCAACGGAGATGTCGGCAATGGTATCTGCTTTAACTCATGTCGTTTCTGGACAGAGAGGCAGTGACAGCTGGGGACATATTGGAGGCGGTGGAGTTACGTCTAGTTTTGGCCAACTTTATTCTTCTTCTTCTTGTGCTTCTCCTTCTGCTTCTCCTTTGTCAGCTTTTTCATCTACTTCTGGTCCCTCTCCCTCTGGTTCTCATAATTGGGTTGGCCAAAAACGAGGGCGTGAAGAAGATTTAGCTGCTGCTGCTGCTGCTGCTCAGGCCCAATTCATGGAATCTGCTAACAGAGTTTACAGAGGAAGCTATGGTGATTTCAGAGCAACAACACAAGCTGAGTCTTCATCTGGTGCAACAGGTCTGTTTTCAATCATCCAAATCATCAACTTTCATTCACTTCTACTATTTGTTTTCCTAATTTGAACTTGCTTTTTATTTGATTTTATCTTCTAAACACATCAATGCTTCTGCAAAAAGTTTGAAGCAAAATATTTTGTTCTTCAAGTTCATCATAAACTCTAGCTTGTTCTGAACTTATTTATCTAAACAATCTTTAATCCTAGACAATTTCTTCCTCATCCTTTCTTTTTTTTTTCTTTTTTGTTAAGATTTGAAGAGGATTCTACATAAAATAACAGTGAATATTATTTTTTTCCCTAAGTTCTTTCTGATATGATAACATGCTAATATATGTTTCTGATATTGCATGCTGCATACAGTTTGTTGTAAACTTAGCATAAGTAAGGAAGATTAGAACTTCTAATCTATCAACTTTCTAGAGAAGACAATATTACAATCAACACTTCAAAAAAAAAAAAAAAAAAAAAAAAACAAAAAAAAAAAAAAAAAGTGTCTTCCACCATGTAAGCTTACCATCTCAATATGGTACAACTTATACATATATACATATATATATATATATATAAATCTTCTTATTCCAATACTAATTATCAACATATTTTTACATACAGTGACAGAAGAAGCTACGAATGCTGTCACCACCACGACCACTGCCTCCGCCGCCACTGCAGCTTCTGCCGTACCATCCGCACCATCAAGTTCAGAAACTGTTTCATTTGAAGAACCCGGAGAGAGGAGGAGGAGATACAGGGGAGTGAGACAACGGCCATGGGGCAAATGGGCAGCTGAGATACGTGATCCACACAAGGCTGCAAGAGTCTGGCTTGGCACATTCGACACGGCGGAGGCCGCCGCTCGAGCCTACGATGAAGCTGCTTTAAGATTCAGAGGAAACAGAGCCAAACTCAACTTCCCGGAAAATGTCAGGCTTGTACATCCCCAGCCACAGCCACCAAATCTCCAAAACTTCAATTCAGATTCTGCGCCAACCCATTTAGCTCCAATCTTATCTGCTCAGCCATTGCAGCCACCACCACAACCCCCACAACAACTTTACCAGCCCCAACCCTTTCATGGCTCCTCTGACTTTCTCAGAGACTACTTTGACTACTCTCAGTTGCTTCAGAGCTCCACTGACTTCCATGCACAGCAGCAGCAACAACAACAACAGCCTACAAATTTGCTGCAGCAAATGTACTACAATTCCCAACTGGCTTCACTTCAATCTTCCTTGTTAAATCCACCATCATCCTCCAGTTCCTCTTCTACATTGCCATCCTCTGCTTCTGCCTCTGCTTCATTTCCTCTGTTCTTCTCTGATCAGAATCAGCAACTTAGTTTCTTCCGTCCACCGCGAAATCAGATTAATCCTGGTGGTTCTTCTGATTTCCCAGCACCATCTTGGTCACAGTCCGGCAACAACCCATCCTCTTCCGGTTAATAATTTCATGAACAATTTTTTTTTCCTTTATTTTATTAATTAGAGCATTTTCTTGTCACTAGGTTTTTATTTTTAATATATTATATAAATATACCCCTGTATTTTGCACGTAGTTTTGTTCTAGTTGTTTATGTCATCCTAGTATTGTAAAGCGAAACACAAACAGCAAAGAGAATATATAATGATAAAGCAAAGAGATAGAAACAAGGCAGTACTTAGGATTTAGGTGTAGTTTGTTCTCAGAAGATTTGATGTCTACATTCTTTTCTCAGTGACTATCTATGGAAAGATGTAGAAATATTTTTTTAACCTGTCTGCATTTTGCTTTACATCCAGAGATCAATTAAAGAATGCTTTTTTCCATTTTGTTTGTAAATGAAATAATTTTTTGTGCTGATGTTGATCTTGATTCGTCATGGTTATCCTTTGCGTTATGGGAATTCATCTTATGCTCCTTTGTGAATTTACCAATATACCCTGTTTGTGTTGATCTTCATACCTAAAACTGTGGATGACGATCAGATGAAACTAGAATAGCATATAATTTGTTCATGATGAATCCTATCCAAAATATGAAGGGATATGAATGAGACTGAAACCCACCAAGATTTATGGTGGGTTTTTTTAATTTGTTTTTTTCTGGTATCACATCTTACAACCAATTTTAGGTTAGGTTCAGGTCATTACGAGTTCGACTCAAGCCTAACAAGAACTTTTTCTTTTTTTCTTTTCGATACAAGCGATATTGAGGGAGGAAGAAATCGAATCTAGAACCTTAGATGCATTAGTAAATACTTTTAACCACTTGAGTTACAAACCTCTTGCAAGCCTAACAAGATTATGTAAGAGATAAAAATTTGTAATATTTTCTAGTAGGGCAAGACATGAACATGGAAAAGGGGAATTTAACAATTTTTATTATCATCATCATCATTTTTTTTTTTTTTTAACATTTTCTTTAGTTGATAGTTTCTTTAAATTAATGGCCTTAGTGGTTAACAAGTCAGTAGAGTACTATTTTTGTCGTTAACATTTTATTTCAACAATTCAAAGGGAATAAGGAATTAGAATATTGGAACACTTGAATCAGTCCTTCATTTGACCATTGGATATGGTTTAATTTTTCTTAGAATTTTTTTAGAAATACGATCACAATAGGTCATCCATGCCATAAGCTTCCTATGAATTGACGATTCAAAGCCTAAATTTCAATTAACATGTACAGCAAGCTTCAACAACTGTTTTTTCTTCATTATTTTATGGAAAGAGTGCTTGCCCTTAGTCTATATAATTATGATATTGAGGAAAAATCTCTATAAATCTTATCGTTTTTCTTTTTAGTTTTCCGAATGATTATAAATTGTTCTTTATAGTAGAATATCACGTATCATTATGTGACTAATTATAAGGGATATTTTCATTATTATATATAGCCCATTTTAGTCCTATAATTCATGTTTTTACTTAGTAAGGTAATCTGCTATCTATTTAGGATTTTACATTTAGCTTGCATCAAGGGGAGCAGATAATCGTGTTGAGTAAAAGACATGAACTATTGCTTTGTGTTACGCGTGAAAATGTTTGTATGTGGACGAAACAACACCTTTAATGTTGGTCACAATGACCAATTTAAATGGAGATTTGACGCAATGCGATGAGAATGAACAAATTGATGTGTGGACCAAAATAGTAAGGAGTACATTGATTGATTTGAAAATTTAAGAACTCAAATGAGAACTTTTGAAAAGCTCAGGACCATTCATAATAAAAATCCCTTAATAGTTTTTTGTGGTGAAGTTTCTTCTTTTTCTTTTTCCACGGGTGCACAAGCAAAATAAAAAGGCTAATAACAATAGCATCCATCGGTATGAATGATAATATCTTTTGTTTTTGTTTTTTAGTATAACCGATAATCTAAACTGTAAGGGGAGAGGGGATTCTCACTTACACTACCAAAGGTCATGGAAGTTTGAACCTCCACTAGTCTACAAATCAAGACCCTTTTTCACTAGGCTAGACCCTGTTGGCATCTCTCTTCTTGTTTAAAAAGACTGAAAATTGTATAAATCGGTGAGACCAAAAAGAGAGTCGAAAGAACCCTACAACTATGAATAAGCCCCATGTCCACTAGCGGAACCACCAACAAGGCTATGGTGGGCTATAGCCCAGGGTAGTTTTTGAAGAAAAAAACCTCATATATATGGCCCACCAGTAACTACGATACATGAGAGAAATAAGAAATCTTGTTTTAATGAAAGGATTTTGAAGAAAAAAGAAAATGTATATGACCACCATAAATTACAATGTTAGAGCAGCTCCACCCCAAAAAGCAAGGGCAAGGCAAAGGCAAGGCAAGGTTTGACATTATTCACGTGAATTGTGTCAGCCTTGCCTTTTTTGGTTCCACCTCAAAGGGCAAGGGCAAACATTATTCACTTTACTTTATTTTCTATGTTTTTTATACTTAACCATTAATTTTGATAAGCTTTTCAGATAATATTTTTGGTTGCCACGTGTCACTATTTATTATAAAATTCTCCCCTAAAATTTCAGATAAAATTTTTGGATAAAATTTTCGAATAAGATTTTCGGTTGCCACGTGTCCATCAAATTTCAGATAAGATTTTCGGATGAGATTCTCGGTTGCCACGTGTCTTATTTCAGATAAGATTTTCGGATATTTATTAAAAAAATTATAATATCAGATTTCAGATAAGATTTTCACCCTCTAAAATTGAGCCACGCGTCCCATGTTTGATAAGATTTTCATATATTTATTAAAAATTAAAATCTCAGATTTCAGATAAGATTTTCACCCTCTAAAATTACGCCACATGTCATCTCTATCTTCTAAATCACTCTATAAAACTACACCTTCAACTCATACATCTCACACCATATACTTTCTATTATTTCATTTATCATATTTTATAAAACACATTCTACTCTCAATGTTAACCTGAGGAGGGTGTTGGAGAGGCAAGAGCAAGAAGAGGAAGAAATCAAGTGCAAACGTGCTGAAGAAGATCGTGAGGCCGATGAAGAGGAGGAAGAAATGGTTATAGCGGTGTGTATGCTCAATAAATCAAGGCAACACCACCGTTGTCGTGGCCCGAATGTGGATAGACATAGGCAATCTCAGGGTAAGAATCTCTTGGAAGATTACTTTATCCCAAATTTGTTATATCATGTTTCTTATTTTCGAGAGAGATATAGAATGTAGCCTTATTTGTTCCAAAAAATCATGCATGATATTTGTAATTACAACACATACTTCGTTTAGAAGTATGATGCTGTTGGGGTTTTGGGTCTTCTTTCGAGCAAAAACTTACAGCTACTTTGCGGATGCTTGCTTATGGGGCATCTGCAGAGCAAGTGGATGAGATTGCGCCGATGGGAAAATCAACTATCCTAGAGTGCTTGGTAAGATTCTGTGATGCAATAGAAAATCTGCACAAGAGGGAGTACCTCGCAAACCTATGGCTAAGGACCTCCGAAGGCTTGTACAAAAAGTTAAGGCTCGAGGTTCCCCAGGAATGATTGGAAGCATTAATTGCATTCATTGGCAGTGGAAGAATTGCCCAACTGCTTGGCAAGGAGATTATGAGAATCGAAAGGGCCAAAAAAGATTAATTCTGGAGGCTGTAGCTTCATTCAACACTTGGGTTTGGCATGCATTCTTCGGAGTTGCCGGATCTCAGAATGACCTTAATGTGCTTGGTCAATCCCCGGTGTTCAATGATGTATTGCGAGGTCATTCCCCACAGATCATGTACCGAATTAACAATACCGTATACTCGGGTGCGTACTACCTAGCCGACAGAATTTATCCTAGGTGGACGACATTCATGAAAACAATTCCGAATCCCCAATCCGAGAAGGAAAAAAGCTTTGCTGCCTTTCAAGAAGGTTATAAGAAAGACATGGAAAGGTGTTTCGGTGTCTTGCAAGCTTATTGGGCAATTATTAAGGGTGTTGCTCGGATGCTTGATGAAGAGGTGCTGCAGAGCATTATAATGACTTGCATCATCCTTCATAACATGATTGTGGAGGATGAGTATGATTATGATGCTTCAGAGGTGTTCGAACTAGATTCCATGAACACGACGTTGACAAGAATTTATGAAAGGTCGATGAGACCAAATGAACAACCAATGGAGCACGAACTGTTAATTCGGGATGGTCGATACAACAACCCCATGATTGATCATTATCAGGAAATGCAATCTTCATATATTCACGAGATATGTCAAGTTGACTTGATCAAGCACTTGTGGGAGATGAAAGACAATCACAATGGATGAAGTCAAATGCTTTGTTTGGAATTATGCTTTGTTATATGCTTTGTTTTGTGTGTTGTTTGCAATAAATTAAGGTTTGTTTTGATGTGCAAATATTTTTAATAAATAGTAATATTATTTCATGCTTTCTTTATTGAATAAAAGGGAAACAATACAACAAACTAATACATATGGCAAATCTTTCAATACAACCTAATGGTTTTGATAATTTAACCAATCCGTATTGCTAGGTCCGTTGTCATGGAAAAGTTTTCTTTTCATCACATCCCTTTGTTTTAGCTTCCAATAGAACTTTGTTTCAGGAGACATATGGCTCGTATCCAAGGCCACGATTTTCATTTCTTTGTCCTCCATGTCTTGTTCTTGTGCCTGCTGCCTTTGAATTGCAAATGCTTCATGTCTTGCCTTGTCCACTTATTCTCTTTTCAAGTCTCTCTCAATTCTTAGTACGCCGTTCTTAGCTATTTGCTCCAAAAATTGTGCACATTCATTGTTTGAAGTGCTCCCTCTCTTGGCCTTTGCCGCCTTTTTCGCAATAGGTCTCGGTACACGTAAGAGTGGCGAGTCTTAATCCATTGGGGAATCCAATGGCTAATCGGTTGCCAGCGAATCGTGGAGCGGCGTCTCATTCAACACAACCGACGGACCGTTGGAAATAATTTTGAATCTCGAACAATTCTTCCCAACTTCCCAACATTGGTGACTCAGGAAACTTTTTTTGCCTTGCCCCATAGCACCGAACCACATTTGTGCTTGTAGGATCTATTAAAAATAAATAATTGGAAATGCAAGAAAAAAAAATGAATATGGAAGAAAATATAAACAAATTGGAAATGCAAGGGAAAAAAATGAATATGGAAGAAAATATAAACAATTTGGAAATGCAAGAAAAAAAAATGATTATGCAAGAAAATATAAATAAATTGGGAATGCAAGAAAAAAAAAAGATTATAAAACAAAATATAAATAAATTGGAAATGCAAGAAAAAAAAACATTAAATTGAATAAAACGGCAATTATAAATATTTTACCTCATCAGCAAGATTTTGACCGCTTCGAACGTTGTCCCTCTCTTTTGCCAAGGAATCTCTCCATTTCCCTAACTCTTTATTTAAAATTTTCCATCTACTGGCCAAGGCCATTTCCGTTCGAGGCGAACCTGATCTTTCAGCAAATTCTCCATGAATTTTTCTCCACATATGACAGAACTTCATCACATTGCCCGGCACGGGCAATGACTAACTTTCATCCAACACTCACACAACACAATATCTTCCTGAGTTGTCCACGCGCCTCCAGCTTCGACAGAAGTGGCCATTTGTTTTTTGATACAAATGGAAAGTAGTTGAAAAATATGAGTAGAGAATAAAAAATATTGGAAGGAGAAGAGTTGTATGAAGATTTGGTGTGGAAAATGAATAAAATGTTTAGGTATTTATAGGGAAAAATCCAAATTTTTTTGATATTTTTAAAAATATTTTTGTAATTTTTTTAGCCAAAAAACTCAAGACCGTCAGATTTCTGGACAAAAACCGATCGGAGCGTCAAGGAAGTTCCATGTGGAGTATTCCCATTGGGAGCTGTCAGGGCTGGCATCATGCGTGATGTCACGATGACGTCAGCGCATGAAATTCACGTGCCAACGGTAAAGTTTTTTTGTTCTTTATAGTAGAAGATCACATATCATTATGTGACTAACTTTAAGGGATATTTTCATTAATATATATAGCTCATATTAGTCCTACAATTCATGTTTTTACTTAGTAAGGTAATCTGCTCTCTATTTAGGATTTCACATTTAGCTTGCATCAAGAGGAGTAGATAATATTGTTGAGCAAAAGGGTTGAACTATTGCTTTGTGTTATGCGTGAAAAGCGTTTGTATGTGGACGAAACAACACCTTTAGTGTTGGTCACAACGACCAATTTAAATGGATATTTGATGCAATGAGATGAGAATGAACAAATTGATGTGACAATGATTGATTTGAAAATTTAAGAACTCAAGTGAGAACTTTTGAAAAGCTCAGGACCATTTGTAACAACAACCCCTTAATAGTTTTTTTGTGGTGAAGTTTCTTCTTTTTCTTTTTCAACGGGCACACTCTCTTCTTGTTTAAAAAGACTGAAAATTGTATAAATAGGTGAGACCAAAAGGAGAGTCGAAAGAACCCTACAATTATGAATAAGCCACATGTCAACTGGCAGAACCACCAACAAGGCTATGGTGGGCTATAGCCCAGGGTAGTTTTTGAAGAAAAAAAACTCACATGTATGGCCCACTAGTAACTACGATACATGAGAGAAATATGAAATCTTGTTTTAATGAAAGGTTTTTGAAGAAAAAAGAAAATGTATATGACCACCATAAATTACAATGTTAGAGAAATATTATTTTTCTCAAGTCTGTTTGTATTCTCTCAAGGATTGTAGGGCACAACTTGAATAGGTACAATTTCAATTATGTTGCTGAATATATATCCATTTTTATAATATATATTTTTTATTACATTTAATATGTATTTATTTTATGTTAAACGTATTTGGTTTTTAGTTTATAGATTTAATATATAATTTTATTTATAGAAAACTATATAATCTATAAGTTTTCTTTATAAAACAAATCATTAGATTTTAAGCAAAAAATTTGAGCTATGGCACCGGTCGAAAAAGTTATGGTTCTTACGTTTTCATGGAAAAGTGTCTCTTTCTTAATAATTTTTCCATTAGAACTTGCTTCTATATACGAAAAACGTGCTGTGTTCTTTTCAGATTTCTTGATCTGATCATTTTAGGGTTTTGAACTTTTTTGGTCTTTTTAAGCTCAGGTGCCCATTTCACATTGGATTCTTTGTGGAGGTCATCGATGCATATAGAAGGCTATGGGTAAGTGTCAAAGTAGGCCACCAAATCTTAGACATTTTTTTCACCATTAAAAAACAAATTGAAGGTAAATAAAAGAAAAAAAAAAACAATCTGAGGGGATGTTCAAGTATCTTGGTACAAGTAGATGAAAAATAGACAAATTAAATCTAAAGACATTTTTATTATTTTCATCAGAAACGTATCAAGAACAATGTCCTCCTTTTTATTTTTATATGTTATAAGCTAGTCATAAAATAAAAACGTACCTATATTAAGTAATAATTTTATATTTATTTAAAGAAAAAAGTCTAGTACGAGCTTAAAAATATATATAAAAAATAGTTCGAATCATTGAACTACATTTCGAAGCGATTCTAAACAATCGTCCCCTCCCTCCCTCCCTTCCACCCTCCCAAGAAGAAATATTCGTTTATGAAAGGTTCCATTCCTCCATATTATATGTTTATGTTAAATCATTATTTCATAGTTTATTTCACAAAACCAAAACATGGTAATTTGGAAAAAGAAGTTTCCGTATGATCCAAGTCAAGGTCGCTTTCTTTCCTCTAGAATGTACAAAAAAAAATAAATAAAAAACGAATCCCTTTTCTACAATTAGGAAGGCAGCGTCCACGTGGGAGAGCACGCTCAAAAGAGACACGAATAAAGTAGGTCAAAACTAAAAACTATGATATGTGTGGGTCCCACGTACCGCGTCTGAAGCAACCCGATGGAGCAAATGCTGATGACACAATGCAATGCACATAGGGAGAGGAGGAGAGACACCCAATGGCCAAGACGTGTCTTGTTTGGTGAACACAAGGAAGAGGACCCAACGTTTGGCAACCACATATTTAGACACGTGCTACAATTCTTGGTTCCTGGACTCTTTAAAATTGAAAATGACCTAAAAGAGAAAGACCCGAAAATCTGCGCTGTGTTTCACGGGTTGGGATGAATCATGATTGGTACTTTTGGTAGTTCACCTACCATTACGCTTTGTGGGAAAATTTGCAAAAGGAGTTGGGGTTTAGCGGGGCATGCTTGATAGCCCCTCAATAAGATGTTTGGCACTTCAGCCACGCATCATTTAAAAAATTAAACAGTTATACATTGACATATGTGTGAATCTCGCAAGGACATGCGATGTGAGTTTTTCATGTCGGTCTTTTTCTTCTTGTGTGATACGTTACGTAATGTGCCGAGACGAGAGAGACATACGTAGTGATTGAACTTTGTGAAAGATAGGTTTTTTAGGCTGTTCTGGGCTAGTGATCCTACTTTTGTTTAGGCTGTTTTCTTTTATTTTGATGGGTTGTTGAAATCTTTGGTCTTAGGATGGGCCTCCTATCAATATCAAGCCTAGCTTATTCATCCCTTCTATCACACACTGTATTTTGTCTCTATACTGAAGTTCAATTTTCGACTAAAACAAAGTTCATTTACGTACAGTTGAAGATTGAAGAATAACAAAGATGTTTTTTTTTTTTTTTTTCTTTTTAAATTAACTGCAAATTATGGACATGTTGGTGGCTCGATTCGGACTAGATTGGAGTTGAGTTGAATTTAGTTCTTATGGGTTCGATTCCTCTAATTCAGACATGTAATGATATAAGACAATGAATTGTTGTCAAATTTAATAAGCTCAATCCCAACATCTATAAGTTAATCAAACAGCGGCCGCAAGAGATTTGTTTAATTTAATTGAAATAGACTATACTGAACCACCAAATAGTGTGCAGTTATTCAATCTCTTGTCTTCTTGTTGAGCTAAAATGAGAGATTATGGATAGCTATAAGCTTACTCTTGATATAGGCCTAATTAGGGAGATCCAATAGGTTAGTTCGATTAACCCATTAGGCTTGGATTGTTTGGGTGGGTATGGGCGTCGAGACAAGTAAAGACAGAGATGGATAGATGAGGTTTCTTTTTTCCTATAAGAAGGTCTATATACTTTTCATTTTTATTTATTTCAAGAAAAATATCTTGCCTCCGAAGAGATTGGTGAAGATTTAAATGTTTTTACAATTAATTAAAAGGGAAACACGTAGCAAACATGGGTTTAGTCAAGTTGGCTAGAGCGGATGTGCTCCCCACTCTGCACCCGAGTTCGAATATTTTCCGTAAACTTGTTTGATTGAGATTAATATTCTTATTTTAACACATTATTTAACTTTATTCACTTCGTGATTTTATCAATCACAAATACATTCGGCACTACATTCTTCTATTTTTTTGTTTGGTTTACAAGGGTGGCCAGGGATGAAGGGAGATCCCAAGTTATATATAGGCTTAGAATGTAGGGTTCAATGCTTACGAGCCCTAAGCCAGATGCTTACCAACTGAGAAGTGACAGTGCATCCAATGTCCTTATACAACCTCACCAAATGGACTCGGTTAGATATTGTTTGAGGAAGCTCAACCCCATCAGAACTCAAAGCTTTTTCGCAAACCACAATCGAATCAACGATGCGTGCCGCCGTATAGTTGACCATATCATCTTCCTCCTTCACCCCGTCTAGTGTGCCTTGGAAAGCCGATGCCACTGATCCGTACGATTGTGCACACTGTTGAATAGCTTTGGTGCCGGTCTCCATCTGCAGATAACTGTTAAACAACTCTTGTGTATCTGTAGCAGTTTCTGCAGCTATCTCAAGAACATTTATAGCAACAACTTTGAGATCGTTGGATGCAGAGGATCGAATTCGAGCATCTGACGAAAGAGTTTTTACGCATTCGGTGTAGTTTTGATGGAATGAGTCTCGGGTTTGCTTACAAACACTTCTAAGTAATGGAGAGGCTCTTGCGTCTGCGGGTGCAGGAGAAGAAGAGAGGAACAAGAGGAAGAAAGCAAAGAACAAGACATAAGAAAGTTGGGAGTCCATTGACCAAGGTAGACCAAAAGGCTAAATTATTGAAGTCTTGTTTTTATTAGTAACTATTTGGTTGTGTGTGATGCAATGAATGAATGGGAGTAGGATATATATGAGAACCCCAGGGCCGGTGTGGGCATAAAATTTAGGAGCGCAGAAGCTGGAGAACCATCTTGTTCTAACGTATTCATGAACAGATTTTGTTGTTAGTATTATTATTTTTTATATTTGTTGTTGTGTTTGTTCTCAAGGAGCTGGATCCTCTGTCAGTTACTTTTTCTCGGCACCCGACGACAAATTATCAATCATGATCATTTGAGAGATCCAATGGTCACAATTGTGCCTCAAGATCATTCTAAAACCATTTCTGAAAAACCAAACGTGGATGCATTCTTTTGTCATTAATTATTTTGTAGATTTATTTGCTGAAAAGCCAACAAGAGCTATTACTACATAATTTTTGGGGCTAGTACCACATAATTTTTTTATTGGTACCGATAAAGTAACTCTAATTAATTTTTTTGGTTCATCAAGTACACGTTGTTTGCTATTCATTTATACCATTTATGCCTTTTTTAATACAAGAGATATTGAGGGAGAAGGATTTGAATACAAGACTTTAGATGCATGGGAATAACTCTTAACTACTTAAACTACAAGTCCCTCGCTATACCATTTATACCTTATTTGCTAAGACTTTGTTTGTACCATAATCAACCGAGTATATTCGCGCACTGGGAGACCACCGCGCAGACATATCAATAGCCTGTCGAAGGTAACACACTTATGGGAATCCCCAAATACTGATGACACCATCATGATCTTAGTTACTGAAGACAGCTTCCTCCTATGCGGCAATTGCTTGCCGAAGGACATTGCCGAAGCCCTCAACTACATAACCTAAGCCTTGGACACGTGTCACCACCACGGTGACTTACACAAAGTGCCACATTGAAACTTTGTGCAAACCCCTAATTTCATTTCTCTATAAGAGAGGAATAGTGCCCAAGTAAAAAGTATTACTTTTCACATTTACTGTTATTCTATCAAAATTACTATGTACCCTACACTTGCTGACTTAAGCATTAGAGAGCCTTTGGCAAGTATCACACCGGTACCCGAAGCTTGACAATTGTTTCTTCCATCCTTCTTCTGCAGGATCACTTTGTGACCGAAGATCTTTTTTGCCGAAGGTCCACAACCCCCTAGTCATGCTGAAGACTCCATATTTCTTTTATCTAAATTGAATCCAGTTTTGGACATCAATAGACTTCATGAGCTTTCAAGCTTCATTTTGTTTGGTTCTTTTTGATGAGCTTCAACCTTCACCCTAAGTTAAAAGACATTGTTAAACGGTATCTAACAAGGAGATTTAAGAAAAACGAAAATAACAACCACCAATAAAACTATTAGATCAATTGTCTAAAATTTTTGTGGACAATAAAATCTTTTGCAAAAACATTAGCAAGTGAGATGATATGTGTGTTAAATTTCAAAGAGATAGGTTAACCGCCCACTACTAACAAAACTGATATTAGCCAATATGTGAACACCACATGTTGGGAAGGGATAAGGGCAAATGCCCAGTAATTCAGGCTCAGTCAATCAACTTGCTCTGATACCATGTTAAATTTCAGGGAGACGGGTCAGTGGCCCACTACTAGCAATACAAATATTGTCGCCAACTTAACCACCTACAAAGCCCACTAAGTATTGGGTTTTATCACAAACAGACTCGGTGTTATTAAGAGTGGTGCCATTCATTATTTATTATATTTCATTTAGTTTCCGATGTATGACTTATATTCTTTAGCAATGTAGAATCACATCAAGAGAGTTTGATTAATAGAACTTTATCCTAAAAATGTACAATTAATTGTTACGAAAATTTGCTCAATGTGATGTTAGGGTGGTTTGGAGCTTGGCTCACTATGTTTGAAGGAAGAAGGAAGTAGACAAGCAAGTGGTCGGCAGTTGCATCCAGATTGTCGATTTTTGGAAATTGTTATTGCAAATACGTAGTGCTTGTTTGGCAATATGCGAGGAGGAGGGAGACAAAATTGATATGTGATAAGGTTTTCACAGCCAAGTATTTGAAAAAAAAAGAAAAAAAGGGCCAGTAACAATAGCATCCACGGGTATCAATGCTAATCTCTCTTCTTCTTATTCTTCTTGTGTTTTTTTCCTTTTTATAAATAAAATATAAAATAAAAGTAATATTCTAAACTACATACGGGGGAATTTCTCACGCACAACTATTAGATCAATTGTATCATAACAACAATAGTTATTTGTTTATTATTTTTAAGGTAAACTACCGAATACTCCCTTGAACTATTACGCTTGTCGAGATCTCCACCATGAATGATTTTTTTTTTTCCAACCAATTTAGCTCTCAAACTATTTTAAATGGTCAATTTAGCACATGGCGTCAAGTTTTTAGACTTCCATCCAATTTTCTGTTAATTGTTTGTCATTTTACGAGGACAATACCAAAAAATAATAAAGAAAATGTAAAATCATGATTTCTTCTCTCTCTTTCTTTTTGTTTGTTCTTTTTCCTTTTCCGTCTTCTTCCTCTCTTTCTCTTTTCTTTCTTCTCTCCCCGTCTACTCCAGCTTTTTCAAATTTATTAGCTCCAGTTGTCCTCTTTTTACAAATATCCAGAGGCTCCATTGCTGTATCAAAATTTGTCGGTTCATGCAAGGAAAGCATTTGGAGGGAGATTAGCAGCGAAAGATTAATAACAGCCAAGAGAATGCTAAAATTGAAGGAACGTGTGTAAAACACAATACGAAAAGGAAGAAGAGGAAAGGACGAGTGAATAAATAAATGGGCAATCTTCACACCTCATAGACACATACCCGGTATTTTGGGGAGGAGTTGATAACTTGATGCAATCCCTAAATCTCATTGACCCAATCAAGAACAAGTAGGTGTCGATGAAGATGTAAACATATCTTGATTCTGATTATATGTTTATTTACAAGGACCAACCATTGGCATTCACTTGAAAACCCTTGTGGATGTGGGATTGCAAACAGAGAGTCTTGGGAGGAAGGGGCTGGGGAAGACGTTGATTGCCTTCCTCCCCTCCCCAATTTTTTTAAATTTTGTCTTCTTCTTCTTTTTTAGTTTTGTAGTTTTAACAATTTAATTATTTTAAACTTTAAAAAAAAATTAAATTTTAATTGAATAGTGAATCACGTGCCTAACATGTGACATTTTGAGAGAAATTGGATGAAAACTAACGGTAGGGGCTAAATTGACCATTTAAAATAATATGAGGGCTAAATTGGCTGAATAAATAATTCAGGGTGGAGATTTCGATAGTCGATATAGTTCAAGGGGGTATTCAGCAGTTTACTTTTATTTTTAATTATAAGTATATATAACAATTTTTTTTTTTTTTTTCAAAAAAAAAAAAAAAAAAAAAAAAAAAAAAGAAAATTGCAACAATTTTACTATCTCATCTCATCTCGACCCTATGTCAATCACTCCTCCGGAAGGAAGAACATGTTCTAGTAAGTAATATCAGTTGAAACATGCACTATAAGGAGAACATGTTCGGAAGGAAGAACTGATCTAGACTAATATAAGTTTCTTTCTTGTTCAGACTTGGACGCATAATTTATCTTTATTCACTTTGTTCTTTAGTTACATACATTTGCAATACATTCTTTTATGGGATATTCACTATTATACCCAATATAGAGACTCAAATTATAAAAATATCATATATAAAATGGACTTTAGAAACACACCAAAAATCCATTTACAACATAACAAAGAGGTTTTTAACTTCTTATAAATTACAAAATTGCCATAAATTTCTTAAAATAAGCCCAACCCCAAAACCTCATAAAAAAACCCAAAATACTCAATAGGGTATCAAAGTAATTTAATAATCAAACTTAAATTCAATACGGCCAGCTGTCATTTTTTTGGTTTTTTTTGGGTTTGTTTATAGAAATTCAATGATGTAGGGTTTATCTATATTATTAGTGCTAAAAATGGGTATATGACTAAATATCTCTTCTTGTATCTCACTCTTCTCAACTTTACCATAATGTGTAGGGTTCAATGCTTTTGACCCTTAAGCCCGATGCTTGCTAACTGGGAAGTGAGGGTGAATCCAATGTCCTTATACAGGCTCACCAAATTGACTCTGCTAGATATTGTATGAGGAAGCTCAACTCCATCAGAACTCAACGCTTTTTCGCAAACCGCGATGCCATCAGCGATCGGTGCCACCGTATACTTGACCATATCATGGTCCTCCTTAACTTCCTCTAATGTTCCTCGGAAAGCGGATGCCACTGATCCGTATGATTGTGCACACTGTTGAATAGCTTTGGTGCTACTCTCAGTCATGCGTAGATAACTATTAAACAACTCTTGGGTATCTGTAGCAGTTTCTGCAGCTATCTCAAGAACATTTATAGTAAGATCTTTGATATTGGATGTTGACGATTGAATTCGAGCATCTGACCCAATAGTTTTTACGCATTCGGTGTAGTTTTGATGGAAAGAGTCACTGGTTTGCTTGCAAACACTTCTAACTAATGGAGACGTTCTTGCATTTGCGGGCACAGGAGAAGAAGAGAGAAAGAAGAGGAACAAAGCGAAGAACAAGACATGAGAAAGTGGGGAGTCCATTGACCAAGATATGAGAAGTTTTCTTGCTAAATTGTTGAAGGTTTCTTGTATTAGTAAATATGTGAGTGTGAAACAATGAATGAATGGAGTATATTATATATATGAGAATCCTAAGGCCGGTATGAGTCTAAAATTTTGGAGCGTAGAATCTGGAGAACCATCTTCTTCTAACGTTGATGAACTGTTTCGTTGTTTTGTTATCTTTTGGGTATGTTGTTGTTTTAGAATAATCTATTGTAATTGATATGTTATTATTGTAATATTTCAATTATAGCTGTACATAGAGTAGTTTACTTAATATAGGTATAAAAATCCAAATCAATCCCTAGGATTGAGGATTATGACATTGTATTATTGGTAGTAAGAATGATGTTAACTTTGCCATTAGTTGGATTAGGATTTTTTTTTTCTTCTTTTTTAATTAGGAATAAATTGGGCTTTTGTTTGAAGGATGATGTGTCAATTTTTAAGTCCCTTAGATTAAATTTTAATGAGGTGGTGTATGGAGAACAAAAGTAAAGTAGATCGTGGCAGAGAAAATTAGAGCAGAGGATCTGGATCCACTGTTGTTAATACAACAAAATCTTTCAACCAAACATTCTTTACATGGTATAGAGCGGGCTGGTTGACTGAACCCGATTAAACCCAAATCAAACAAACTCAAATCAAACAAAAAATCCCAAATTGAACCAAAATCAAATAAACCCCAAATGAAAAAAAAAGACAAATGTGGTCCACTAAAAAGTGGTCCCACATGAGGAGTGTTGAAGAATACACGAGTCCCACATCGAAAACTTAACAAAATAGGAAGTCCTATATAATAAATAGGTTTGCTCCTAATAACATCGAGCCCTTTTATATAAAACCCCACACCTGCTAAAGAGGTGGTTAGGTTGGGACAATATCGATGTTGCTAGTGGTGGGCCAAAGGCCCGTCCCTCTAAAATCTTAACATGGTATCAGAGCACCATCCTGGTGCCTGATTACTTGACTCTCCTAGAACCCTAGCAAACTTTCCAACACCATGGCAGGAGAAGATTCAACAACCCCATAAACCAACAATTCCAATTCCAAAAATTTGAACAATAGCAACGATAATCCCTATATGGATTCATCAAACCCATACTATGTTCATCATTCAGATCATCTTGGTCATATGCTTGTTCCAACAAAATTGAACGACACTAATTACCCATCTTGGAGTAAATCCATGGTGCATGCTCTCACAGCCAAAAACAAAATTGGCTTTGTCAATGGCTCCATTAAGCCCCCATCAGAAACAGAACTCCAGGCATAATATGCTCTCAGGAATCAGTGCAATAGTATGATTTTATCATGGCTTGCTCATTCAGTGGAGCCTGATCTAGCCCAAGGAGTTGTTCATGCCAAAATTGCCCAACAAATGTGGGACGATATCCAGAAGTCAATCGCAACTCTCTCACAAGGCACCATGACAGTCGCGACCTATTTCACAAAACTCAAAGGCCTTTGGGACGAATTAGAGACATACATAACTATTTTCACCTGTAATGAGATGAAAGCACACAACGAACAAAGAGAAGAAGATAAGATGATGCAATTTCTCATGGGCCTTAATGACACATTTAGTGGCGTTCGCAACAACATCCTCATGATAAGACCATTGCCCTAAGTCCGTCAAGCTTATTCACTCATCATTCAAGACGAAACACTACGACATATGACATCGGGAACAATCGAGAACTTTTCTATTGCCACAACTATCCAAAGTCGTCCAACCAATTCCAAAAATAAACATTGTGATCATTGTGATCGCAATGGTCACATAATTGCAAATTGCAGGCAATTAAAATTCCATTGCAATTTTTATAATTGAAATAGACACAGAAGAAACTTGATGAGTCACAGATGGAACACATCAAGTGGTCAAGGAAATCATGCCAGGAATGAAAACCAAGGGTCCAATTGAGGTGCAAACTCACGTTGAAATTTCGGTTTCTCCAGTAGTAACACGTGCACCTTCACGTAGCAGTCACATGGGTTTGTTCCACATTCATGCTCATCTTTCCCATCCGCACATGTGGCCCAGCAAGCCGACTCAAGCTCCAAACTTTCTTGAGTGGACTTATTACTGAACAATACCAACAATTGGCCATATCCATATCACTAATCAACACCAATGCATCATCATCCTCTAGTAATAATCATGCAGTTGCAAATGTAGCAGGTCTGTCCACCTTTACTGTCCCTTCAATTAATTATGTTTCTAGAAAACCTTGGATTTTGGATAACGGGGCTACATATCATATTACATCTGATTATACACTTTTCACAAAAATTCAACCAGCTCACACTCCCATTGTTAACTTACACACTGGTTCTTCTGCACCAATTACTTCAATTGGCACAATTCCTTTTAATAACACCATCACCTTAGATAATGTTTTGTGTGTTCCTTCCTTTTGTTTGAATTTAATGTCAGCCAGTAACATTACCGAGTCACTTAATTGTTATGCTATCTTGTTTCCCACATTTTGTATCTTGTAGGACTTGGCTACCAGGAAGATGATTGGTATGAGTAAACAACGTGGTGGTCTATATTACATGTTGCCTTTACCAAGGACGCATGTTTCTTGTCAAGTTTCACAAACCTCCAATTTATGGCACCTTTGTCTCGGACACCCTTCACCTGCTCGTTTTCATTTACTTTCTTCATTGCTTCCTTCAAAAATTGTTTATGTTGAACATGATTGTGGCATTTGTCCTATGGCCAAACAAATAAGAATTATTTCCATTAAGTTCTATTTCATCGCATTCAACATTTGACTTATTGACATTTGTGACATTTGCAAGAATATAAACAGCATAGCCACCCATCATTATCATTCATCACAAGGCTCTTTTTTTTCTTTTTTTTTTTTTTTTTTTTTTTTTTTTTTTTTTTTTTTTAATAATGATGATTTTACTCGATATACTTGGCTTTTTTTGATGGTTTAAAAATCTGAAACACAAACTCTTCTAAAATCTTATTTTACTATTGTCAAAACTCAGTTCAATTTCAATGTTAAAGCCATTCGCACTAACAATGGTTCATAATTTTTATCCATGAGAGAGTTTTTTGCAAACCAATGGGATTGAACATCAATGATCATGAGTTCACACTCCACAACAAAATGGAGTTGTTGAGTGCAAACATCACCACATTCTCAATGTTGTCCATGCTCTACGTTTCCAAGCCAATTTTCCTCTCAATTTCTAGAGGGGAAGTTGTTTTAACCGTTGTCTATCTCAGAAATCGTTTGCCCACTCCATTATTGTCCAATAAGTCACCCTTTGAGTTGCTCTATCACCGATCACCAACCCTTGACCATCTTAGAATTTTTGGGTGTCTTTGTTATGCTACTATGACTCATCCCATACAAAAATTCGATGCTCGTGCCACACCTTGTATTTTTGTTGGCTATCCCATGGGACAAAATGGCTACAAACTTTTTGATTTGCGCAGATCCAAAATTTTTGTCAATCAAGATGTTCAATTTCATGAACATATTTTTCCTTTCTCCACTATCCCACCTCAACCTCAACCTGCTTCCTCCACTCATGTTCTTCCTAACCCAATTTTCGACATTCCCCAATCACTTTATCTAAATACAACCCATCTGCTATCTCCACCCTTTTCGACCCTAGCCCCAACTAGCCCTGACACAACTACTCAGGACCCTATAGGTCCACCTCCTAACGCATCCCCTGTAAAACCTACCAGCCTCACTCATTCATCTCCACAACCCCACCCTGCCAACACCACTCTTTAGATTGCCATCACTAGTCATGTGGTCCCCACCCCCCCCCCGGCGCCCCCCAACAACCCACTTTTCCTATCTCCCTTTCATCTGACAACACCTTGTCACTCATTCCTTTTCAATCAGAACCGACCCTACCTAGTCCACCACATTCATCTCCCATAGCTCTAACACATCATTCCACTCATCCAAGGCAAGCTCCAGTATGGCACCAATATTACCACTTATCCAACCATGCCTCTTCATTTGCTGTTACAGGTACAAAATACCCACTCTCATTTCTTGTCTTATTCTAGCATTTCATGGCCCAATTTTTCCTTTTCAGCTAACATTTCAGGCACCACCGAACTCACCAGTTATGCTCAAGCTATCCTTGATCCCAATTGGATGCTCAAGCCATGCAAACAGAATTAGACGCTTTGGCACAAAACCATACTTGGACCCTCATCTCGCTGCCACCTCGACACAAACCCATTGGTTGTAAATGGGTTTTCAAACTCAAATATACATCTGATGGCATCATTGATCATTACAAAGCCTAGCTTGTAGCCAAGGGCTACACATAGGTGGAAGGCATTGGTTACTAGGAAACATTCTCTCCCACCGCCAAACTCACCACATTGTGTTGTCTTCTCACTGTTGTCGCCGCTCGTAATTGGTTCATCCATCAATTAGATATTCATAATGCCTTCCTCCATGGCGATTTGCACGAAGTTGTGTACATGGGACCTCCTCTCAGACTTTGCCGACAGGGGGAAAATACCGTATGTTGACTCAATAACTCCCTTTATGAACTTAAACAGGCTTCCAGGAACTGCTTCTCTAAATTTTCTGGTGCTATTCAATAGGCAGGCTTTCATTAGTCAAAATCCGATTACTCATTGTTCACCAAGGTTCAAAATAATTCTTTTGCTGTAATTCTTATTTATGTGGATGATATTCTTCTCATAGGGTCTCAAATCTTTTCTCCTCAAGCATTTTCGCATCAAGGACCTTGGTAATTTAAAATACGTCTTGGGTATTGAGTTCTCTCATTCCAAGAAAGGTATTTTCATGTCTAAAAAAAAATACGCATTGGAGATATTATAGGATGTAGGTCTCTTAGGCTATAACCCAAATAAGTTTCCTATGAAATACTGACGGTTAGTGGGACGCTTAATCTACCTCACTGTAACAAGGCCTGACATAGTATATTCAGTTCGGACATTGAGTCAATTCATGCATAAGCCTAGAAAACCACATTGGGATGCAGCACTCTGTGTTCTCAGATTCATCAAACATTCTCCAAGTCAAGGCTTATTATTTCCTGCATCTAACAATCTTGCTTTGAGAGCTTAGTGTGATTTAGAACATGCTGGCAGTGGCGGACCTGTGTAGGCGCAAGGAGATGCACCTGCACCTCCGGTCGCCGGAAAACACCATAAAACCTGCTGATGTTGCACCTCTGCTCATGCACAGAAGATGTTCGATGAAATGCGCAAGTGAATTGTGCTGCTGCGCGCAGCTCTTGAATGAAATGATGGAGGATGGGGTGGAGCCCAACGCATTTACTTACTCATCCGCTTTGAAAGCATGCGCCCACCTGGAAACCGTTCTGCACAGGAAATTGATTCACTCCTCAGCAAATAAAAGTCCTGCCACGTCTAATGTTTTTGTGGGTATGTAACAGAGGCATTTCAAGTTTTTGACAGCATGCCAGAACAGAATTTGGTTTCTTGGAAGGCTATGATAGTGGGTTATGCAAAGAATGGTCTTTGCCAGGAGGCTATGAAGCTCATGTATCGAATGCGAACAGAGGGTTTTGAGGTGGATGATTACATCCTTGCCACTGTTCTTACTGCACGTGGAGACCTTCTTTTTTAAAATAAAAAAAAGCTGGGCCAAAACGACATCATTTTGGACCAGAGTTTTAAAATAAAAAAGATATAAAAAAAAAGGGGAAACTGATGAGCCATTCATGGGCTTCTAAAGGGATTTTATAATTCTTACCTAATTGGGTTTAATTTGGAACTTCTCTTTATTCAATTGGGTTTTGGAAATTCCTTAACTGAGTGGAATTGAGAATTCTTCTTCAAATAAAAAAACAAATTTAACCAAAGTATCATGTATGCCAAAGTATGTGTGCATCAGTCTAGTTGTCTTGTGTTTTTTCTTCCTTTTTTTTTTTTTTTTTTTTTTTTTTTTTTTTTTTTTTTTTTTTGTTTAGTAGTTTGAATTGCACCTCCACTGAAAAATTCCTAGATCCGCCGCTGCATGCTGGTTGTCGTACCACAAGAAAATCTATCACAAGCTTTTGTATTTTTATGGGAAATTCTCTTATCTCATGGAAATCCAAAAAGCAACAACACGTTTCTCATTCATTCGCAGAAGTAGAGTATCGAGCCATGGTGTTTGGGGGTGGTGAAAATTGACCCAACTCGGGCACTTTTTGGAAACACGAGCGGCCGGGCTACAGTCTATTGTGGCCAGAATGGCTCGAGATTTGGAGAATAGGCGGTCGGGTATTGAATTGCTAATATGCGGCCGGGCTACGTGGCTAAGAGAATGGGCAAGGCTGTGTGGCTGAAAGAAAGGACTGGGTTGCGTTCGAGCTTGGCTGAAGAGTACGGCTGGACCACACAGCTAGAAGACGTGGCCGGGCTCTCAATCGCAAAGCAGGGCAAAGAAATGCGGCTGGGCACGGCCGAAAGAGCTGGGGTCGGATCAAGTTGGGCAGCTTCTGAAAATGCAAGCGGCCAGATTTAATGCGGAGAATTCTTAGTGGCCGAGAATTCGTAGCAGCCGAGAATTCCTAGCGAGCAAAGAATTCCTAGCGACCAAAGAATTCCTAGTGGCCAAAGAATTCGTAGCGGCTGAGAATTCCTAGCGGCCGAAGTGTTTTCTCAAAAAGGTGCCCAAGGTCTTTTCTTCAAAGGCCATGGTGCCTTCTCAAAAATGCGGCCGAGGTGTTTTCTTCGAAGGGCATGGTGCACCTTGGTGCCTTTCTCTCAACACTTGGGCAAGCAAAGTCGGGCCGGGGGAGTTGAAGTTTGACGGGAGATATGTCCGTCAAGTTCCCAATATTTGAATATAGTCCAACGTAAGGCCAAGCCCAACATCCAAATATTTGGAGCTCCCATACCACCCACCTTGGCGGATGGTTGACAGATGGTCAGCCAACTCTATAATTCTAAAAACTCAAGGGGCACGAGGTTCCACCAAATGTCAAGATGAAATCTCGGAGGTCAAGGCCCAAGCCACGGATTCACGCCCAAGATTTCAAAAGGTCAATATGCATGTGATGGAGGCCTCACAAGGAAACAAATCAAGGAGATTGATGATAGTTCATCATATTCCAAAACATGAGAGAATCAAGCAATCAGAATATTTCCACCGATTCAAGGGGCTTCAAAAGGAAAGAGTTTTAAAAGAGTTGACATTTGTCCATTCAATGGCCAGCCCATGGGTTGACGGAAGCCCTATATAAACCTTACCAAACGAAGGCAGAAGACACACAACATCAGACAGACAAACCTATTTTTTGTCTCGCACTTTTCTTTTCCTAGACTTAGGATTTTACTTTTCATGCATCTAGTGTAGCGAGTTTTTCCTTTTCTTAGAGTAAGTTTAAATTCTCGTTCAATTTATATTTTCTTGTCATTTAAATTCAAGTTTATTTCAATTGCTTTACTTTTCATTGTTATTGCACTTCAATTAAATTTAATTTCAAGTTCATTTTACTTTATTGTTTTTATCGCTTTCATTTCATTCTTGCTTTATTTATCGCTTTGATTCATTTTATCACACTTTAATTCTCGTCTTTACGTTATTTATCTTTCGCACTTTACTTCACGCATTTGCCTTTAAATTATATTTAAGTTTAAACACCTTTACTTTACGCACTTGTTCTTCGTTTCATTACGTTTCACCTTCAATCTTCATCTCCACCCACTCCACATCATTTGGTCACTCACATAAAGCCTTGACCTTGAGGTAGTAAAAGAACCTAGGCCGTGAGGAGGTTCCTTCCTCGGCCGAACAATCGTTTAATTAAAGTTAGATCTCGGTCGCAACATATCCATCTACTCACATTCCATTCAAGCCCAAATTCGGGGCTTGGTGGTGGCACGCCTCGCACTCAAAAGAAGAAGAAACAAAAGTTCCTTCTGTCGGCTGCCTCAGCCGAAAAGGGGGAAACACATGGCTAACGCTCGTTTGGAACTCACTTGGCTACGATACATACTACATGATTTGAGAGTCCCTCAAGTTAACCCGACTCCATTATATTGTGACAATCAAGCTGCTTTATATATTACTATGAACCCTGTATTCCATGAGTGCACCAAATATATTGAGATAGACTGTCACATTGTTTGAGAAAATATGCTTGCCGGACTAATCAGTCCTTCATATGTTCTGTAACATCCCACATCGACCAACGGAGAGGGTAATGTGCCTTATATGCACATGCCCGCCTCTATTTAGCATGAGACCTTTTGGGAGCTCACTGGCTTCGGAGTCATGGGAACTCTGAAGTTAAGCGAGTTGAGGCTAGAGCAATCCTAGGATGGGTGACCCACTGGGAAGTTTCTCGTGAGTTTCTAGAAACAAAACCATGAGGGCAAAGATGGGGGCCCAAAGCGGACAATATAGTGCTACGACGGAGTAGATCCCGAGATGTGACAATTTGGTATAAGAGCCACTCTGCCGTGTGGTGCGAGTATGCCGACGAGGACGTCGGGCCTTTAAGGAGGGTGGATTGTAACATCCCACATCGGCCAACGGAGAGGGGGTAATGTGCCTTATATGCACATGCCCACCTCCATCTAGCACGAGGCCTTTTGGGAGCTCATTGGCTTCGGAGTCATGAGAACTCCGAAGTTAAGCGAGTTGGGGCTAGAGAAATCCTAGGATGGGGTGATCTACTGGGAAGTTTCTCTTGAGTTCCCAGAAACAAAACTGTGAGGGCAGATAGGGGGGCCCAAAGAGGACAATATCGTGCTACAGCGGAGCCGATCCCAGGATATTACATGTTCCTTCCCATGCTCAGTTAGCAGACATTCTTACGAAGCCTTTGGGAAAGAAAGACTACACTAGATTAAGTAGCAAGTTGGGACTTCATGACATTCACTCTCCAACTTGAGGGCGAGTATTAGAATAATATATTATAATTGATATGTTATTATTGTAATATGTCAATTGTAGATGTACATAGAGTAGTTTACTTGATATAGGTAGACAAATCCAAATCAATCCCTAGGATTGAGGATCACGCTATAGTGACTTTGTATTATTGGTATTATATATTTTGCTGTATACTATTGTCAATACAACAAAATCTTTCAATCAAACATTCTTTACATGTTGTGCTTGTTCTCATCCTGCCATTTTTTTTTCTCATACCAAATGCCAATTTCTAATCACGATAATTAATTAAAGAGATCCAGTGGTCAAATTTGTGTCACGTGATCATTCTAAAATCATTTGCGCAAACCTCCGAGAAAAACGAAAATGAGAAAATAAATTTGTGTTTTAAAAACTTGTCTGCTACTTTATTGGAAAATAATTTCAAAAAATAAGTAGAGCCAAAACGCGTTGACACCATAATGTTTTGTTACAAATTAATGAAGTAGCCAGAATTGTTTTTTTGGTTCATCATTTCCACATTTTGGCTCAAAATTTGACACCATTTATAAAACTAATTAATCAAATCCTTCATTTGGAATATTTGTGGGATTTAATCATCATGGAGAGATTGCTATTTTTGAGGCGGCAACATGGAGCAATAAGACCGCTAGTTCATTTATATATATAGTGGGTCTTTAGGTTTAGTGGTCCCTGAACTTTGATTTAAATATAAAATACTAAGAGCTGGAATGTTTCAAATTAAAATTTTACAAATATTTTATGCTCCCATTTTCTCCTCTCATTTTTTCATCTTCAATTTAAATATATTAGGTAAAAAAAAGGGGGAGAAATCAATAGGTGATGAAGGAGTGATTGAAGAAAGAGAGCAGTAGAGTTGCATACTTTTTACGAACTGAGAAACAGGAATGGAGGAGAGGGATGGATGCTTGAGAGAGAAGAGGAAGAAAATAGGTGCATAGATTAAAAATTATACAAAAATACCATTTTAACCCTGCATTTAACAGAAAATATAACAAAATTAACGGCAAGACCATTTGTCCTAACAAAAGTGAAATTGAAGAACCACGGGAACGATTTTGAAAATTGAGGGACCAAAATGCAAATTTGGTCAAAGTTCATGGACCATTAGACCTAAAAACCCTATATATAGTTGTTTGAAACATTTCAGGAGGTCATACAAACCTTATTTATTGAACAAGATTCCGCAGTGGCTTGTGCACATGTGCCTAATACGTATCTCATGATAGACTCTACTCGGTAGAGTGATGCTCTCCATATTGTTTCAGCCATTTGAAGTACATCAACTAACAGATGCTTACTTTGGCTTGTAGTAGAGGATACCAAGAACTTGTTGATGCAGATCAGCGGAGATGGTTCATCTCTGCTTCTTTGAAAGTAGCTTTGAAAAGCGAGTCAGAGCCTGCTTTTAAAAGCTACTATCAAAAGGGCAATGTTTATAAATAATCAGGATATTTTATTTTTCCCAAATACTTTAAACTGCTTAACTTTAAAGTGAAGCAGGTTTTTGGCGGAAAAAAGCAATTCCACGTGGGGCCTAGTGGTAAGTCATTACGCACATATGAAACTGTTTCTTCTTTTGTTAAGTCATTACCCAGCGATTCGAATCCAATGTTGAGGGAGGTGAAAAATTTGAATCCCTCTCTCCCATAATGAAAATGAGAGGAAAAAAACATAAGTCATCACCTATGGAACTTAGAAAAAGTAATTGGTATTTTTAATAGTCATAATTTGTGTCTATTTTATTATTTTGTTTGTAAAAAGTCTTGCATTGTACCATTTTCCATGCTAACTTTCTTAAGGTATCAGAAATGTAAAAAGAAGTTCTATAAAGGGTTTAAGTATTGTTGGCCTAAATTTCTTATAGATATTCTAAACAAGTATATAACTACAGAAAAGATGATGTTTTCTGAAAAATTGCAAGGGCATTGCGCTCCTTCTGCAAGCTCGTAACTACAGAAAAGTCATCAATATAGTATTTGTGTGCTGGATAATAAATTATATATAGAGAGATTTTATAAGTACAAGCAAAAGAGGAACACATTAATCAATATACAACATGTATGTGCTTCTCATGCCACCAAATGCAATGCTATTCTATGTGTGTTGTTTTGCCTCCTGGTTGGCTTCTCCCAGCACGTGAGAAGCATGTAAACTTTGTCTTTGGTGAATAAAACTAGGTGATATCTTTCACTCATTCGCTTCATTCACTTTGTATAAAATAAACATATTCCTCATCGGAACACATTCCTAGTTCTGATTAATTAAGTTTTCCGTTGTACCGGAAAATTCCAGATGGACCCGAAGTGATAGCGAATGCAATGTCCCTATACAACATGGCCACACGAATTGAACTGGGAACCAGAACTCCATCAAAAGTATGAGTACCCAACGGTGGCGCCACCGCATTTAAGCAGATATCGTGGTACTTTTGGACCATTTCGAGGATGTAGTTAACAACATCATGATCCTTCTTTAGCTCCTCTATTGCGACTTGGAAACCTTTTACCACTAATCCGTACAAATCCCCGCAAAGTTGAACATCTGTGTTCCCACTGTTGCTAATGTGGAGAAGGTTGTTAAACGAAGCCAGGGTTACATTTGCATTTTCTTTTGCCAATTCAAGAGTGGCTATGCCGAGATCTTTGAGATTCAAGGCCGATTTAATTCGAGCATCTGCCCAGAGAGCTTTCACACATTCGCCATAGTTTAAGTTCATGGATAGGGGTTCCTTACAAACACTTCTAACTAATGGAGAAGCTGTTGCATTTGCAGGTGTAGGAGAAGAGAGAAACATGAGAAAGGATGCAGTGAACAATACATAACGTAAAGGTTGTGGGGAGGCCATATTGGTCAATTTCTAGGTGATATTTGTGGTGCCAAAATTAGACCTTGCAATATTGCTAATTATTTGACTGTGTTTGAGTAATGAATGAATGGAGTATCATATATATATATGAACCCCAAGCCAGGTATGGGTCTAAAATTAGGTGCAAAGAAGATGGGGAACCATCTACTTGTAACGTTGATTGGAACATGTTTTTGTTTCTTTCTGTTTGTTTTCCTCAAACCGCCTTAAAATCGGTTGCTTTTCACTGGAACCTGATTGAAATTTGATTTTTTGTTTATTTTTTAAATTACGCATAGTATTCAATTTCGTTTGTTAAGCTTATAAGTATTTTTGTATACAGGGTTTAGGCTATTGACTTGCAGATCAGATGTCTCGCGTTCAATCAATTTAATATCTTGGTTGTGCGTGTGTGAGAAAATCCATTCGCTTCGCTTGTAGTTTAGACTATCGTTTGTTCTAAAAAAAAACCAACAGAGTTGCTGATTGTTTTACCTACAATCCGCTGTGAGTATTCTCAAATATAAAGTTCAGGAACGCAATATATAGTAGATAACATCTCGAGTCTCGACTTTTATGTCTATAGACATACAGTGAAACATGAGATTTGTTCTAAGAGATTAAGAAAAACATAACAATAAAGCATCTCAATCGAGTTGAATTAATTTATGAAAGTATGTCTAGCTAGGTCCTATTTATATGCTGTTTTTGTACTGATCTTGGGCTTCTGAATCATCAAACTGCTTCGTAGTAAAATATAAGAATCCAACCCAAAACCAATTGGTTATCGTTGAAGAGGCCCAAGATCTTTCAAACACTAAAAAAAGTTCCATCGTTGGATGACCGACACCAGCAAAATCACGTAGATGGTAATGACATTAGTTGTTTGATTAAGTAAAAGTGAGAGGCAAGTATTAATATGCATGTACCTGTAGTATGCTTGCAGTATATTAGTACTAGTTGGGGTAGCAAAACTTATGTTGTTCAAGCTAGCAGATAGCCTATTACCATTAGGACCCCCACAAGTTGCATTAGCACCACATGATCGTTCATTTACAGAAACTGAGATGAAGATTGTACCACTGTAAAGTTGTGTTGTGCAATTCCAAAGAAATTTTTTTCGTTCATCACGGCATTCACTACACGAAGAAGATAGGTTTTACCATACACAACTGGGAGACTATAGTTTCTGCAAAATACGTCTACTCGGAATTTTTTTTTTCATGAACAATAATTAGCTACATCATGAAGGGGATCATGGCCATTTGTCTTTCTGCGGCTATTTATCTTCCTAATTTTGAAAAAAGTCCCGAATTCGAATGCCTCCTTCCTTCCTCATGCATTTTATTTGAGAAAGTAAAAGACATATGGCATGTGCATATATATTACTGCTATTCATTGTTTTCAAAAAATAATTAACACTTAGAACTTTTGTAAGTTTTGTTGTATACCGTTGAAGCAATTGTATAAAACTCCTGGCCAGCCGTTGATGGTGAAGCCATCTGAAGTTTTTGTGTCACCTCCGGTTTCCATGGCTGTAGTGATGCACGTTGTAAGCCACAGAGAGGAGAAGCCCATCAAAAAACAAGAAACCCCAGCAAACCAAGCATAGAACTCATTTTCTTTTTCAATCTCCTGTGTCATATATATACAAGTACAAGAAACAGACGCGTTCTTGTATATGTATATATTTCTGTCATTTTCAGCTGCCGTTTCATGTGAGCTAGGACTATATTTTAGGCACAAACCAAACTGGTGTTTAACGAAGATAAATTATTCATTTGAAAAGTTTTAATGGGTTCGGTCCAGTCAGCGATTTTTTGGTAACTAGTCCCTCCGCACGCACTTCCGCGCCTGCGAGAACATATTATATATATTTTTAAATGTTTAAATTATAATTTGTTAAATTACTCTAATTTGATAAATCGTCTAATTTTATGCTATTTCATCTCAATGTTTAAGTAATTATATATTATGCACTATCTATATAATTAAGCTTCGATTAGTTATAAACTCTAGTAATTTATTGGGTGGGAGATGAAAACTTGTTCCGATATTCATTAGCCTCTGGAATTTATTTGGTGGGTATTGATGTGGAACATTGCTGTCAGTCTTGATCACCCCTTATTCAAAGGTACGACATGTGTTTGGTGTGGTTCCATATGATTTAGATGATATTGGTCATTTGAAGGACACTATTTGTATTTGTTTCTGTAAATTTCCCCATTTTGTGTCTTATCTTTTGACGTAAAAAGGTAAAAACTACTTTTATTATTATTTTTTTGGAGAAGAAAATTGAAAGTTCAAATTCTCTTTCACAGTTTTACTCTGCTGCAAATTGCTCGCTTTATAATTATCTCTTGTGTATTTGATCCGGCTTATAATTCCTTTTCCTACTCCTCAAGTCATCTTCATCTCCAAAACAAAAAACAGAGAGAGAGAGAGAGAGAGAGAGAGAGAGAGAGAGAGAGAGAGTGTGTGTGTTGATTTTCGATTGTAATTTCAATCTGAGGAATTAGGGATGAAGAAACAAGTGCCGCTCCAAGTGTGTTTCTCTTTCAAAATGATTCTGAAAGTAATGCCTCCTCCTACTCCTACCATTCTAACTTCAAAAACTCTTGTTGTCGGTTCTCCAACACTGCTCACAAGAAGATTAATGGCTTCCAACTCCAAATCCAACGGTGACATGGCCAAGAGGATCTCCGTGTCCCCTATTTCTTCCTTCCCTTCCTACGGAGATCCCTGCCAAGATCTGTTTTTCCACGTGAAACCAGCCGACACAGTCAGTGATGACGACATGAAGCAGCAGCAGAACCAGGCCTCCCTTAACTACCTGAAGCAACTGCTGCCAGTGGCCTGGTCTCACAATCCCCTAACCACCCTCAAGCTCATCTTCAATCTCCTTGCTATTCGGAGCAGCAGAAAATCTTATCAGGAAGGCTTCTACAAGGCTGTGTTTTGGCTCCACCAGAACCACCCCAAGACGCTATTATGCAACCTCCCCTCCATTGCCCATCCATTCGGGAGTTTTTTTGTCCTTCTCGAGATTCTCTACCGCCTTATAGAACAAGGCCAAGATGTTGCAGAGCGGCTCCACTGTGACCCAGACTATAAGCTCTTACACGACCAGGTTATGGATGTCTTCGTGGAGCAGTTGAAGTCTGATATTGACAAATTCAAGCAGCACAAGCTCGATTTGAAGCCATCCGATTATATAACTGACGGTGATGAAGACGAAGAAGAAGACGACGACGACGAAGATGACAAAGATGGTACTCTTGATGCTGACACTTATGCTGATCTTTTTGTTAGCGAGGCTGCAGTGTGTTGCATTAGCAAACACCCCGAGGACACCCGTGCTTCCCGCGCCGTTTTGCTGTATGAAAGCATTGCGAGGAGGCTTTTCCCACCCAAACCAGATCAATCAAATCAATCATATCAATCATATCAATCACAAGAGTGGGAGCGGCTTAGGAATGAGGTTTTGGCGCCCTTGTACAGGTACTGGAACCGTCAAGGCATGTTTATTGGACGACATCGCTCTGAAGTTAAGATGTATTTGGAGGAGGTGAAAAAAGCAGGAGGAGGAGGAGGCAATTTGAGTGGCCATGGCAGCATAATAAAGCCGGATGCTATGCTCCCAAATGAGATCATACGCTATGTAGTAGAAGATGGGGATGTCGGGGAAGCGGCTGAGCTTCAGTGGAAGGCAATGGTGGAGGATATGTACCTAAAACAGCAGCAGCAGCAAATGCAGGGGCAGGGTTTGGGAAAATTTAAAGACTGCTTGGCAGTGTGTCACATCAATGATTTCATGGGCATACGCGGCAGAGAATTGGCGGTGAGTTTGGGACTTTTGGTGTCTGAACTGAGTGAAGGGACGGCATGGAAAGGAAAGGTGATCAGTTCCGGTCATTTGCCGGATCAGCTGCTGCTGCATTCGATAGAAGGGGATGATCTCAAGTCCAAGTGCGAGTTTATGATGAGGACATGTAGCAGTGAGTTGGGATCGTATGTCCATAATTGGAAGATATGGGATGTCATTCTGGAAGTCGCTGTGAAAGAGAACTTGAAGGCAGAGCAGATGGTTAAGAAGGTGTTTGTGTTCACCGACTTTGGATATGGTGGTGGTACATTCTTGAAGACTCTATATGAGGCAAAACAGAGCCAGTTTAAGGAGCAAGGGTATGGGGATAATGCAGTGCCACACATTTTGCTTTGGAATATTGGGTACTGGAACAAGCTTTGTATAGAACATCATCCAGGGGTGACACTGTTGAGTGGCTTCTCTGAAAACTTGCTCAAATCTTTCTTGGACAATGGTGGGGAAATTGGCCGGTGCCATCTCATGGAAGCAGCCATTGCTGACAAAGAGTATCAAGCTCTCTCTGTGGTGGACTGAACTTGAACTGAGATCCAGATCACGATCACGATCACGATCACGATCAATCCATTCAGTATTTGGAGGGACTGATCTGATGATTCATCATCTGGTATCATAAATTTGAAGATTATCAGTACGTAGAATCTCATTGAATTACTTTAGTAACCTTGAATTTAATTTGCTTAGAACTTTTGCACTGATGTAGTGTCTGACTTTAGCCTAGCCAGTTCTTAGATGGATTATGTCTTATATTCCTGATCAACATTTCCAATCATCATTGTACATCATCTGTTTTAGTTAAATTTAATCTGACTAGAGCATTTACAAAGCATTGGACATATTGAGACATAAATCCCAAACGCCATGAAAAACACTAGCAAAGGATGCATGGACTTGGAACAAATTTCTTATTGTGACTATTCCTTCACAAGACGGCGGCGGAGAGAGAGGGAAAGAGACAGGGAGAGAGAGAGAGGGCTGGGATGAAGGGGAAGGGTGTGCGGCTGATCAGAGGTTTTCCTTTTCTCAGCGACTCCAATGAAGTCTCAAAGAGAAGAGAAGAGAAGAGGAGAAGAGAAGAGAACTCAGTTTTAATATATATATATATAATTAGAAAAGAACTAAAAAATTTACGTTAGCAACTAGCAAGTGAAACTTTTGGAAACTAAAATCAGGAAAGAAAGATGCAATATACTTGAGGGGCAAGGGGAGGGGGTATTTAATGACTGAAATCATATGCATTCATTGTCCTCATGCAATTAAAATGAATAGGGTAGAATGTGGTTAACATGTTAACATGCAGATGGTAAGTGAACATGATCAAGAGATGAACTGACCTTTTATCCACGAACATGAGAAAGCTATGGACAAACCACAAGCTATGGCCAAGGGATTGAACTGACCTTTTTATCCTTCCACGCAGTGCGCACAGTGGACTCAAATTGAACATATATACTATGGACAAACCACAAGACGCACGAGGAGCATCTGTGCAATTTAGTCAATTTGATATTTTCAGTTTCGGTTTGAATTACAGTGGAAAAGTGTTCCCACCCTTACTAAAAACATTGGTGGTGAATCATAGTGGTGATTGCATTTCTTACAAGGATAGGGGAAGGGAAGTAATATACATTTCTTACAAACTTCTCAAATGTAAATTGAGATATTCTTTTAGGAGAGAGAGAGGTTTAATTGGGAGACACCATTTTAGGGCCTATCGTGCATTGTATTCCAATAATCTAAATCGTCTAAAAAAATCACTCTAATTTATTAAATCACTCTAATTTGATAAATCGTCTAATTTTATGCTATTTCTTCTCAATGTATAAGCAATTTATATAATGCACTATCTATATAATTAAGCTTCGATTAGTTATAAACTCTAGTAATTTATTGGGTGTGAGATGAAAACTTGTTCCGATATTCATTAGCCTATGGAATTTATTTGGTGGGTATTGATGTGGAACATTGTTGTCAGTCTTGTTTGTGCCTTGCATGGCTCTTCCTACTCACCCCCTATTCAAAGGAACCGTAGTACAATTTTGACTGCTTTTGCAATGGGATTAGGTACGAAATGTGAAGGACACTACTTGTATTTGTTTCTGTAAATTTCCTCATTTTGTGTCTTATCTTTTGAAGTAAAAAAAGTAAAAACTACCTTTATTATTTTTTTTTCGGAGAAGAAAATTTGACAGTTTTACAGTTCAAATTCTATTTTACAGTTTTACTCTGCTGCAAATTACTTGCTTTATAATTATCTCGTGTGTATTTGATCCGTGTTATAATTCCTTTTCCTACTCCTCAAGTCATCTTCGTCTCCAAAACAAAAAACACACAAAAAAATATTAAGTGTATTTCCATATTTGCATTGTTTTTATTGTTTGTTTAAAATATAAAATAAACATATTCTTCAATAACTCTCTCTCCTCCCCTTCACGCACCTAAACCCATCTTCTTCATCATACCCAACCCACCACTCCAGCCAGCCGCCCTTAGCACAACCGTTGTCCCTTTGCTTACCCCATATAATAACAATTTAAGGTAAAAGGTAATATAATAATAATTTAAGGTAAATAACAATATAATAATAATTTATGGTTGATAATAATATAATAATAATTCATGGTAAAAAGTAATATAATAATATTTCGGATAAATAACAATATAATAACTATTTATAATAAAAAGTAATAGAGTAATTATTTAGGGTAAATGATAATATAATAATAATTTAGGGTTAATAACAATATAATAAAAATTTAGGGTAAAAAGTAATATAATAATAATTTATGGCAAATACTAATATAATAATAAATTAGGATTGATAACAATATAATAATATTTTAGGGTAAATAACAATATAATAACAATTTAGGGTAAAAAGTAATAGAATAATAATTTAGGCCTCTATAGTCAAAGATAACGTAAGGAGTTTATAGCAATTTTTGGTGTATTTTTTTTTATTTTTAATTAATTTCTTGTGATTTTGTTAAGATAAATTTGGAAAAAGTAAACAAAATGGCATGAGGCGGAATCGTAGGACCTATCAAAAACAATGACTACTCTCCTCCTTTGAGTGGCTGCCACGTGTGATTCTCTAAATTTAATATTATTTATTTTGGATTTCACTTCTAAAATTCATAACAAATAAATTAAAAATCCAAAAAATACACCGGAAAGTCCTACGAACTCCTTGTGACATTCTCTAAGCAATCAAGCTATAAAAATGTAATTTCACCTATAAAAATATAAATTGATGACAACAACTCACATTTATTTCTAAACAACCTAAAACACTAGTTGATGCTCTATAATATAACACTCATGTTCTTTGATTCGATGATTACCGTGAACATAAATTTGTGAAATCATGATTTTAGACCCCCATAGTCAAAGACAATGTCATAAGGAGTTTGTAACAATTTTTGGTGTATTTTTCTGATTTTTAATTAATATTTTATGATTTTTTTTAAAGATAAACTTGGAAAAAAAAACAAAATGACATGTGGCACAATCGTACAATGCCACCTGTCAAAAAAATGACTGCTCTCCTTTCAGCTACAGCCACGTGTGATTCTCTATAATTTAATATTATTTTTCTTCGATTTCGCTTCTAAAATTCATCAAAAAATAATTAAAAATCAGAAAAAATACACCGAAAATTGATACAAACTCCTTACAACATTGTCTTTGACTATGGAGGTCTAAAATCATGATTCCACATATTTATGTTCACGGTAATTGTCGAATCAAAGAACATGAGTGTTATGTTTTAGAACATAATTTAGTGTTTTGGTTTGTTTTGAAACAAAGTTGAGTTTTTGTTATCATTTTCAAATTTTATAAGTCAAAATTATATTTTTGAAGTTTGAGGGCATAGAGAATGTCATAAGAAGTTCGTACCAATTTTCGGTGAAATTTTTGGATTTGTATTTAATTTATTATCAATTTTATAAATTAAATCCTAGAAAAAGAATATTAAATCGTGTGGGGCAACACATGGTGGAAGCTGAATGGGGCGCAGTCAGTGTGTCTGATGGCTGTCCTCCTATCGCTGAGCCATGTGTCAGTTTGATACTTTTATCAAATTTATGTTTAAAAATTCATAAAAAATTAATTAAATATCAGAAAAATACACCGAAAATTGCTACAAACTCCTGATAACATTATCTTCGATTATAAAGGTCTAAAATCATGATTCCACATATTTGAGTTCATGGTAAGCGTTAAAATCAAAGAACACAAGTGTTATGTTATAGAACATAATTTAGTGTTTTGGTTTGTTTTGAAACAAAGTTGAGTTTTTGTTATCATTTTCAAATTTTATAAGTCAAAATTATATATTTGGAGTTTGAGGACGTAGAGAATGTCACAAGAACTTCGTACCAATTTTCGGTGTATTTTTTGGATTTGTATTTAATTTATTATCAATTTTATAAGTTAAATCCTAGAAAAATAATATTAAATCGTATGTGGCGACACATGGCGGAAGTTGAATGGGGGCAGTGTGTCTGATGGCTGTTCTCCTGTCATTGAGCCACATGTCAGTTTGATACTTTTCTCAAATTTATGTTTAAAAATTCATAAAAAATTAATTAAATATCAAAAAATACACCGAAAATTGATACAAAGTCCTTATAACATTATCTTCGATTATAAAGGTGTAAAATTGTGATTCCAAATATTTGAGTTCATGTTAAGCGTTAAATCAAAGAACAAGATCGTAATGTTATAGAACATAATTTAGTCTTTTGGTTTGTTTTTAAACAAAGTTGAGTTTTTGTTATCATTTTCAATTTTTATGAGCGAAAATTATATTTTTGGAGCTTTAGGGCATTAAGAATGTCACAAGGAGTTCCTACCAATTTTCGGTGAATTTTTTGGATTTTTATTTCATTTATTATGAATTTTGTAAGTTAAATCCTAGAAAATTATTATTAAATGGTGTGGAGCGACACATGGTGGAAGCTGAATGGGTGCGGGCAGTGTGTCTGACGGCTGTCTCCAGTGATTGCACCTTGTCTATTTTGATCCTTTTTGTTGTTGTTGTTGTTGTTTTTGTTTAAAAATTCGTAAATAAATAATTAAAAATCAGAAAAAATACACCGAAAATTGTTACAAACTCCTTGTGACATTATCTTCAATTATAAAGGTCTAAAATCATGGTTCCATATTTTAAGTTCGTGTTTTTGAGTTCATGATTCCACATCTTCGATTACAGCGACACGTGTCATTTCTCTTATATTTTTATTATTTATCTTAAAAAATTCATAAACAATTAATAAAACATCAGAAGAGTACGCCAAAAAAGGTACACACTTTTTAGGGTAAATTATAGAATAATAATTTAGGGTAAATGATAATATAATAATATTTTAGGGTTAATATCAATATAACAACAATTTAGGGTACAAAGTAATATAATAATAATTTAGGGTAAATATTAAAATATAATAATAATTTAGGATTGATAACAATATAATAATAATTCAAGGTAAAAGTAATATAATAATATTTTAGGGTAAATAATAATATAATAACAATTTGGGATAAAAAGTAATAGAATAATAATTTAGGACTTTATAGTCAAAGAAATGTAAGGAGTTTGTAGCAATTTTTGGTGTATTTTTCTGATTTTTAATTAATTTTTTTAAATAATTTTTTAAGATAAATTGGAAAAAGTAAACAAAATGGCATGTGGCGGAATCATAGGATGCCACCTGTCAAAAACAATGATGGCTCTCCTTTTAGCGGCTGCCACGTGTTATTCTCTATAATTTAATATTATTTTTCTTGTATTTCACTTCTAAAATTCATAATAGATAAATTAAAAATCCAAAAAATACATCGAAATAAACAAGCAATAAACAGACAATACACATGCGATATACACACAACAAACAAACAATGCACATGCAATAAACAAGCAATACACATGTAATAAACGTGCAATATACACACAATAAACAAGCAATACACACGCAATAAATAAGCAATGTACACAATGGGAGAGAGCTTGTGTTAGAGTTATCTTGCTGAGCATGTTTATTGCAATAAACAAGCAATATACATGTAATAAATCTGAAATTTATAAGTTTTTTGTTGTCATCGTATTGCCCTTGTATTGTAATTTTATCGTTGTCATTTCACTTTTTTTTCAAGTTTGTCTTTGCCTAAAGTATAATTCAAGTAGTTCGCAGCAACTGCAACCTCATCAGGAGTTACTTTCCAATCAAAATCCCTGCACACATATTGTAAACCTCATACCTTTAACCAGTGGCGGATCCAGGAATTTTCATTCCGGGGGTCAACATGTAAAATGTTAAAAGAAATTCTATATAAAATAGACCCATCAAAATGAAACTACAATATTATAATTCATAGTTAATAAATAAAACCATACAAACTAACAAATACAATCTAATAAAAAATCATACAAGCTAACAAAACCCTAATTTATTCAAACTAACCAAATTAAAATCCCAACAACAACCAATCAAGAAAAAAAATAAATATATATATATATATGAATATTCATTAATTAACAAAGAAAAAAATTAATCCAATTACCAAGATACAATCTAATTAAAGCATACAATATAATAAAAAAACTAACTAATTATTTTAATAGAAAAAACCCTAATTTATTCAAACTAACGGACACAAAAATTAATCCAGTTAATTCTTTTTAATCAAACAAAAGAGTAGATAGAGTAGACTTTTCTTAAGAGGATGAACATGCAATTGAATCTAATATAAGAAGAAAATTGAGGAACATAGCAGAATCGTGGCCCGAAATCCTTTACAATCGATCTTCTAAGATTTAGCAGGTACTCATCTTTCCTATCAAATTAAATGATAGTGATCCTCCAAGTGTTCTTTCATCAATTTCTTGGTACAGGTTTGTTTTATTTTTTATTTTTAAATCTTCAGTCTTCTCTCTATAGATGCTACAAGAAAAGGCAGGAACATATTCATTAATGTCTTTTAATAGCGCAAGATATATAAATTTCTTGTATCATGGGCATTTCTAACTATTAAAAAAGAATACCTACAAAATACAAACAAACAAATATAACTTCGGATTGGGTTGGGTAGAATTAGGGGTTGGGGATGGGGATTCAGGGTTTGAATGAGAGCATTGTGTTAAAAACCCATTCCCCAATCTATTTTATCAGGCAGCAGCTGCTGCCTAAGGGTTTTTTTTATTTATTTATAATTTTTAAACACCTGGGCCAAAACGACGTCATTTTGGCTAGGTTTTTTAAATTTAAAAAAAAACTTTAGTGGAACGACGTCTTTTTGACGTCGAGCGAACAAAAAAAATGAAGGCGCGCGTTGCGCTTCTTCTCCTTCAGCTGCACACAGACACAGGTTTGCCCCTTTGGGGCATTTCGTCGAACACATTGTGAGGGTCAACTTTGGCTGCTCCAATGGAGGATTTCAGAGGTTGCAGGGGTCAATTGACTACCATTCCTCCTTTGTGGATCCGCCCCTGCCTTTAAGTACATGGACAAAATTCCAATGCGGTACCATCCATCAAAGTTTGACATTACTAGTATCCCTCAAAATGAGTTTAATAACAACTCAAACCAACTACAGATTGAAAGAAAAGAAAAGAAGGATTGCTTCCATCCAGTAGGAAGTAGATTTCTAACAGAACTCATAGGAAAAGAAAACGAAAAACGAAACAAGACGAGTTCACCTGTCAAGTAATTGCCAGCGATCACCAATATGCGCATCTATATCATCAATTTCCGTCTCAAGATTTTGAAGCATTGCATCCACCTGATACACAGAAGAAATGATAATCCATCAAGTGAACGAGGGTAAGTATGTTAAAAGTAGATAATTCGGAATTTAATATATAACCTTGTCTATGAGCGCTGATGAAACCTTGTCACCTTCAGCCTCAACAGAAGTACCGTCACTTTCATCCTGAGCAACTTTATATGCCTTCAAGGCATCCTTTTCACCATATGTATCCTCTTTTCTCCACCATGCTATTGTTAAGTTCAATCTGGAAAGATCAAAAGAATCAGCTTAAGCAAAATATTCCCAATGACAATGCATTTGGACTAAAACAAGGACATACATAAGTATTCTTCTGACTTGAACATGATGCTGAAGACAGTGTTGCATGCATGCATATATTGTGTAGAAGACAGCTCATAAGTAAATCACATTAAAAGTTAAAAGGTCGTCAATCTACACATCCTTCAAAACTACGGACAATATTTGTCTGTTTATTGCACAGTACAAGCAAAACATCATCCAAATTCTTCCAATACATGCACAGTACAAGCAAAAACATGGAAATCAGAACTACAGACAATATTTGTGATGGTCCTTTTGATAAACTGCAAGCAGTTAACCCTCCAATGTGTCTGCATATATCGAGCATGAGAAGACTTGCATGCCATACATACCTATGGTAAGGGTACTAACGATAAATGCTTCCATCTTAATAGATACCCAATATAAACTAGGAGTAATTAAGGGTTTTAAATTACCTCCAAATTGACAAGTCTTAGGAACTCTTCACGATCCCTACTCACTGACTGAAACAATGAGTCAATAATAGAAAAAATTAAAAACTATTAAGCCATAGTGTAGATGATAGTGCTTGAAAATTTGGAAAATGAAAAAGAAAAAAGAAAAATCAATAATCATAATCATTGAGACTTATTAAGTCCAGTCCTTATAGATGCAGAAGCCAAAACAGCCAATGCACGACTTATTTCGCAGAACTTCTCTTCCTTTCTAATGTCCTTGCCCTGGCTTGTTCTTGTGCTTCTTTTGCTATTGGAATAGTCATCTCTTTCAATGCCAAATCCTCTTCACTGGTGGCTTTAATTTCCTTCATCTTGGCTTGCTATTCTTCCTCTCTCTTCCTCCTCCTGCAATATAATAATTTAGAATCTCTGAAACCACTCCGCACAATTAAAGAACTGAAGTGTCACATGTTAGATTTAATTTTTTTGGAGTTTGGTTTTCATTATATAATATTAATAATTTAGAATCTTTGGATGATAGTCATAATATTGATTTCAGGAGTTTTGTTTTCAACATTATTATTTGATTGCGAATTTCAGCCAAGTCCAAAACAAACGAATCAAAACTAGCTTAACAAAATACGCACATATTTTCCTCATGATGAAATGCAGATTAACAAGTTTAGTTCTGCAGCTTCCTAAAGCACCAATAGTTATCTACAAAGCTATCAAGATAAAAGAAAAAATATTCCAACCTTCATCAGTTATTCCTGCATCTGAAGGAAGTCCAATTTCCTCCTCTTTTCAGATATAGAATCTTCAGATGGCAACGACGTAACACCAACAATATCTACCACTTTATTTGGCAGAGAATACAGTGTAGCTAGAACAACATTTGCTGGATCCAACCTTCCAGACACAATGAAGGCCCTGTATTACACACATCAAACAAAGAACGATTAAAACTGGCTCCACTATCAAGATATACATGAAGTGTAAGGCTTCTGAATGCAAAAATAAATAAGAAATAAACAAAACCCAAAAAGTTGGGCATACATTTGATGGAGCTTAAGAATACCTGGAAAGGATCAAAAGCGAAGACGGCATGGAGTGATTGAGAGACAAATCAAACCAATCACGAAGCTACATAGAGATGTTAATGAATTGATTGTTAACTAACCCGCCTTCTAGATCTTGTTCTTTAATGTAACCGACGACAATAGACTAAACTAGCAAATATTAGAAAACTTAGAAACACACAAGAATTATACTGGTTCGGCAGAACTTTTGCCTACGTCCAGTTATGATTTCTCTAGGTAGATAAATTACCGCTCCTTTGATTAATAATAGAGATTACAGAGCTTTTGCAATCCTAGAACTAATCTCAAAACTCTTGGCTATCTCTGGCTGTTTTTCCTCTCTTAAAATAAGCCTTGCCACACCCTATTTATAGATATAGAGTTGGCTTACATGTCCTAAGGCTGATTGAATTCATATTCCTAAGTGGATTAGGAAATTACACTTATCCAAATCCTAATAGACTTCTGGAAATCCAAACCCAAATTGAATAAGGAAAACTGAAATTGTTTCCTAATCCTTCTAGGACAAGAATTGGTATACATCTAATTTTCCTAAAACAATCCTAAACCAACTAGGACATATTTGACGAGCCCAAATCCTAACAATCTCCATCTTGGTGAGTCAAACCAAGTCTTGATCGTTACACCCCAGAGTATCTTTGAACCTCCTTGAAGCAGTTATGGAAATCTTCAAGAGTCTTCACCTTGGCAATCTTCTTCTTGCCTCATTGCACCTCAAGTGAGGAGGTGCTCCACTTTAATCAATCAACGAGATTGATCAAGTTCAAGCAATGCTTGAACTTCTTGGCTGGCACTATCTTTGTAAGGAAATCTGCGGCATTGTCATCCGTATGAATCTTTTCAATCGAAATCTCCTTAGACTCCACCCAATTTCTAATTCTGTGATATCTTGCTTCAATGTGCTTTGATCTTCCAGAAAAAAACTTGATTCTTTGCCAAGTGAATGGCACTTTGACTATCACACTTCAGCTTCACACAATCTTGGGTGATTCCCATTTGACTTACCAAGCCACTAAGCCAAATTGCTTCCTTTCCAGCTTCGGCCAATGCAATATACTCTGCCTCTGTGGTCGACAAAGCTGTAATTGGTTGCAGTAGTGCTCTCCAACTGATCGGTCCTCCTGCGCATGTAAACACATAACCAGAAGTTGACATTCTCTTGTCCAAGTCCCCTGCATAATCAGCATCCACATATTCCAACACCATTGCATTTTCTTTTTGCTTCTCAAACATAATCCTTTGTCGCCAAGAACCCTTCAAATAACGCAAAGTCCACTTGACTACATCCCAATGTTGCTTTCCTAGATTTGCCATGTATCTGGAAACGACACTGATTGCCTGAGCTATGTCGGGACGTGTGCATACCATTGCATACATAAGGCAGCCCACAACATTAGCATAAGGCACCTTCTCCATTACTTGCTGCTCTTCCTCGGACTTAGGACACTGTTGCCTACTTAACTTGAAGTGAGCTGCCAAAGGAGTCGAAACTACCTTTGCTTCTTGCATGTTGAACTTCTCAAGAACCTTCTAAATATACTTGGCTTGTGATATCCAGATCCTTCTAGCAGTCCTATCTCTATGAATTTCCATGCCAAGGATCTTCTATGCTGCACCTAGATCCTTCATGTCAAACTCATTGCTCAACATCTTCTTCAAGTCTTGAATTCTAGACTTGTCTTGACAAGCGATTAGCATGTCATCCACATATAGCAATAGCAATATGATCATCCCATCTTGGAACACATGATAGTACACACAACAGTCATATAAACATCTTCTAAAATTGATTTTCAGCATGAAGTAATCTAACCTCCTGTACCACTGTCTTGGAGACTGTTTCAGGCCATACAGGGACTTCCTTAGTTGACATACTAGGTTCTCTTTCCCATATTCAATAAACCCTTCTGGTTGAGCCATGAAAATTGTCTCATCTAGATCCCCATGAAGAAACGATGTCTTCACATCCATCTGCTCAATCTCCATGTCATGCTGAGTTGCCATTGCTAAAAGCAATCTGATAGAAGTATGCTTGACTATGGGTGAAAAGATCTCATCATAATCCACCCCTTCCTTTTATGAGTACCCTTTAGCCACGAGCCTTGCTTGGAATCTCACAGCATCTTGTTTATGTAGTCCTTCCTTTTTCCTAAACACGCACTTGAATCCAACTAGCTTTCTGTCTTTGGGCTTAGGAACCAACAACCAAATAGAGTTCTTGTAAAGAGGCTCCATTTCTTCTGTCATAGCACTTATCCAACTATCTCGCTCATCACTTGTTATAGCTTCTCGATAAGTAGTTGGATCTCATTGACTAATGTTGAGAGCTTAATTAACTTCGTCTTGGTCAAACCCAAACCTGTTGGGTTTCTTGTTCCAATTAGGTTTGTCCAGTGCTATGCATCTCTGGAATGCAAGTGGATTGTTGGTTGGAGTTCGAACCCTTTGGGATGTCTAGCGGATTACAGTGCCTTCAATCTACCCTGTTTCTTGCTCCACCTGATTCCAAACTGGTGAACGATGCTGATGCTCTTCTTCTTCCTCAAAACCATCAGATTCGGCATCTTGCTCAATTTGCTCCACCTGAGCTTCTTCTTCGTCTGAACTGATTAACGGAATCTTTGTTGCTTCAATTTCAGCGTCGTCTTTCTTCTCCCTACTGCTCTCGACTTTATTCAGAGGCATGGTTGTCTCATCAAAGACAACATCTCGGCTGACAACCTTTTTCCTGTTGTTGATATCCCAAAGCTTGAAACCCTTCACTCCTTTCTCAAAACCTAAGAATATGCAATGTGTGGACTTTGGTTTGAGCTTGGACCTTTTATCACTTGGAATATGTGTGTAAGCACTACAGCTGAATACCATGAGCTTGGAATAGTCCACCGGCTTCTCAGACCATACCTCTTATGCACTCTTAAAACCGAGAATTGTAGATGGTGATCTGTTAATCAAATAACTTGCATGATTAACAGCCTCTGCCCAAAAACTATCAGGCAATCCTGCATGAAATCGCATGCTCCTCTCTCTCTCTCTCTCTCTCTCTCTCTCTCTCTCTCTCTCTCTATATGAAAGTTCGGTTCATCCTCTCAGCAGCTCCATTTTGTTGGGGATTATTCTTTACTGTGAAGTGCCTTGTGATGCCTTCTTGCTTGCAGTAATCGGTAAACTCATTACTTGTATATTCACCTCCATTGTCACTTCTTAAGTACTTGATCTTTCTTCCAGTTTGATTCTCGGTTTCTGTTTTCCATTCCTCGAACTTTGCAAAAACCTCAAATTTTTGCTTCATGAAATAAACCCAAACCTTCCTAGAAAAATCATCCATGAAAGTAACAAAATACCTAGCTCCACCATTTGATTTGGTTGGTGCAAGGCCCCAAACATCTGAGTGAATATAGCTGAGTTACTCATTGCTTTAGTTATCTGCACTGCTACTCGTGAATGATACCTTCCTTTGCTTTCCAAGAACACAATATTCACAAAAGTCCAGTTTGCAAGATGACACGCCTTCTAACAGACCCTGCTTGTGTAATTCTTGCAACCCTTTCTGGCTTATGTGCCCGAGCCTATGATGCTAGAGTTCAGTCTTGTCTTCTATACCTTGATTTACTGAAACAGCTGCTCCCCCGACTATAGTGGTCACAATTAACTTATATAGCTTATTGGATTGTAGGTCACCCCGCATTACCACCAGTGATCCTTTGGCTACCCTGAGTCTTCCCTTTTTAGACTCGTACCCATAGCCGGCCTCATCGTATGAATACATATGGTACAATTTTGTTTTTTGTTTTTGTTCTTTGGTTTGTTAGTTTTCTACTTGATTGGAGAAGATTGAGATGAATTGATCAGTTCCACTATTTTGTTTTGGAATAGTGAACATGCGTAAAATGGTTGTTTTAATTATGTAAATACAGTTTCTAAAATGAAAAATCAAGTTCTTCTATGAGCTGCGTCAGTGCGCGGCTCTAGTTTGATGGGTTAGGTCATTGGATATACTGAACGGGGAATTGTAAAGAGGAGTTTCACGTAGAAATGGGTAAAATAAAGGGAGCTTCATATCATCATTTTATTAGTCCCTATAAACTTAGATCCGATTTGCATTTGAGTCCATCAATTTTCAAAATCGTTCTCGTTGTCTTCATCTTTAGTTTCGTTAGGACAAATGGTCTGGCCGTCAATTCTCTTAACTTTTCTGTCAAATGCAGGGACAAAATGATATTTTTAAAACAAGCCCACCCTAGAAACTCACAGAACAAAACTAAAAAACAATCAAAAGAATCCCAGGCCATTTTTTTTTAAAAAAAAAAAAAAAAAAACAAAAAAAAAAACCAACATAATAAAAAAAAAAAACATGGACACATCATGCAACCAAAGGAGTCGTCTTGGCCACTGTCTGACCTTCTCTCTCCACGAACATGAGAAAGCTACAAACTCACTCCATGTGAAGCTAATTAAGCTCAACATTTTTCTTTGGCCAAAAGTCACTTTTGGTCCTTGTAGTTTTGTTATTCAACCACTTTTGACCCTATAGTTACAATTTCGTCAATTTTGCCATTGTAGTTTCGTATTTGTAGCAATTCAAGGACATGTTAGTATTCTTATCAATTTCTTTAACGATGCAAGGGGCAATTTCATCAACCCAAAACCCTTAAGGGTAAAAGCTTGTTTGAAATTCTCTCCATTTCATATTAGGGCTCGAAATTCAACCACTAATCCCTATTTTGAAGAACCCTAAACACAAATGACAAATTTCAAGCCCTAATATGAAATTAGGGGAGTTTCAAATGAGCTTTTATGCTCAAAGATTTTGGATTGACGAAATTGCCCCTTGCATTGTCAAAGAAATTGACAGGAATACTAACTTGTCCTTGAATTGCTACAAATATGAAACTACATGGTCAAAAGTAACGGAATTGAAACTACAGAGTCAAAAATGATTGAAGTGCCAAACTACAGGGACCAAAAATGATTTTTAGCCTTTTTCTTTTTGTCTGTATAATAAGATTAGTGCATCAATTAAACTAAAATTAATTGGCTCTACCACATATCGTTCCTTAAATTTAAGACCTTATTTTGGGATTTTAATCTAATGAATTGCACATATCATACACTGTCAAATTTTTTGAACTTGCTTGAATCACAACTAGTTTGCTACCTTCCTTTATGCGTACCCTCAAAAAGCTAAACAGAGGCAGCTATGGAATGAAATTCTTTATGTCAAACTTGCTGCCTCTTTGCCCTGGGTTCTCCTAGGAAATTTTAATAATATATGTTTAACTGAATTAATTTAGTTAATGGGCTCTTGCACATATCGTTCCTTAAATATAGGACATGTAATATTATTTTATTTTTTAGCTTGACATGATAATATTATTACGGTAACTTATTATATCATTATTAAAGAGTAAATGAGTTAATTATAAAGACTAGAATGTCCATGGCAAAGCAACTTGTAGTTAGTAAAGAAGTATTTTTTATTATAGAAATACAATAGATTGCATTCATTATTCAGACTTGACGCTGTCAATTGCGAAGACTGGATTTAACCGACCTTTCTATCTACACGTGGTGCACACAGTGGACTCAAATTGAACATATATACTATGGACAAACCAAAAGACGCACGAGGAGCATCTGTGCAATTTAGTCAATTTGATATTTTCAGTTTCGGTTTGAATTACAGGAGAAAAGTGTTCCCACCCTTACTAAAAACATTGGTGGTGTATCGTAGTGGTGATTGCCACTGTCCCTTTAAAAAGGATAAAGGAAGGGAAATAATATACATTTGTTACAAACTTCTCAAATGTAAATTCAGATATTCTTTTAGGAGAGAGAGAGGGGTTTAATTGGGGGACACCCTTTTAGAGTCCACCGTGCCTTGTATTTCAATAATCTAAATGTCTACAAATTCACTCTAATTTTATGCTATTTCTTCTCAATGTTTAAGTAATTTATATAATGCACTATCTATATAATTAAGCTTCGATTAGTTATAAACTCTAGTAATTTATTGGGTTGGAGATGAAAACTTGTTCCGATATTCATTAGCCTCTGGAATTTATTTGGTGGGTATTGATGTGGAACATTGCTGTCAGTCTTGTTTGTGCCTTGCGTGGCTCTTCCTACTCACCCCCTATTCAAAGGAACCATAGTACAATTTTGACTGCTTTTGCAATGGTATGATTTAGATGATATTGGTCATTTGAAGGACACTGTTTGTATTTGTTTCTGTAAATTTCCCCATCATTTTGTGTCTTATCTTTTGAAGTAAAAAAAGTAAAAACTACTTTTATTATTATTTTTTTTTGGAGAAGAAAATTTGACAGTTCAAATTCTCTTTCACAGTTTTACTCTGTTGCAAATTGCTTGCTTTATAATTATCTCGTGTGTATTTGATCCGTGTTATAATTCCTTTTCCTACTCTTCAAGTCATCTTCGTCTCCAAAACAAAAAACAGAGAGAGAGAGAGAGTGTGTGCGTGTTGTTGATTTTCGATTGCAATTTCAATCTGAGGAATTAGGGATGAAGAAACAAGTGCCGCTCCAAGTGTGTTCCACTTTCACAAGGATTCTGAAAGTAATGGCTCCTCCTACTCCTACCATTCTAACTTCAAAAACTCTTGTTGTCGGTCCTCCAACACTGCTCACAAGAAGATTAATGGCTTCCAACTCCAAATCCAACGGTGACATGGCCAAGAAGATCTTCGTGTCCCCTATTTCTTCCTTCTCTTCCTACGGTGAGCCCTGCCTAGATCTCTTTTTCCACGTGAAACCAGCAGACACAGTCAGTGATGACGACACGAAGCAGCAGCAGCAGAACCAGGCCTCCCTTAACTACATGAAGCAATTGCTGCCGGTTGCCTGGTCTCACAATCCCCTAACCACCCTCAAGCTCATCTTCAATCTCCTTGCTATTCAGAGCAGCGGAAAATCTTATCAGGAAGCCTTCTACAAGGCTGTGTTTTGGCTCCACCAGAACCACCCCAAGACGCTTTTATGCAACCTCCCCTCCATTGCCCATCCATTCGGGAGTTTACTTGACCTTCTCGAGATTCTCTACCGCCTTATAGAACAAGGCCAAGACGCTGCAGAGCGGCTCCACTGCGACCCAGACTATAAGCTCTTACACGACCGGGTTATGGATGTCTTCGTGGAGCAGTTGAAGTCTGATATTGACAAATTCAAGCAGCACAAGCTCGATTTGAAGCCATCCGATTATATAACTGACGGCGATGAAGACGACGAAGACGAAGACGATAAAGATGGTACTCTTGATGCTGACACATATGCTGATCTTTTTGTTAGCGAGGCTGCAGTGTGTTGCATTAGCAAACACCCCAAGGACACCCGTGCTTCCCACGCCGTTTTGCTGTGTGAAAGCATTGCAAGGAGGCTTTTCCCACGCAAACCAGATCAATCAAATCAATCATATCAATCATATCAATCACAAGAGTGGGAGCGGCTTAGGAATGAAGTTTTGGCGCCCTTGTACAGGTACTGGAACCGTCAAGGCATGTTTATTGGACGACAGCGCTCTGAAGTTCAGATGTATTTGGAGGAGGTGAAAAAAGCAGGAGGAAGAGGAGGCAATTTGAGTGGCCATGGCAGCATAATAAAGCCGGATGCTATGCTCCCAAATGAGATTATACGCTATGTAGTAGAAGATGGGGATGTCGGGGAAGCGGCTGAGCTTCAGTGGAAGGCAATGGTGGAGGATATGTACCTGAAACAGCAGCAGCAGCAAATGCAGGGGCAGGGTTTGGGAAAATTTAAAAACTGCTTGGCAGTGTGTCACATCAATGATTTCATGGGCATACGCTCCAGAGAATTGGTGGTGAGTTTGGGACTTTTGGTGTCTGAACTGAGTGAAGAGACGGCATGGAAAGGAAAGGTGATCAGTTCCGGTCATTTGCCGGATCAGCTGCTGCTGCATTCAATAGAAGGGGATGATCTCAAGTCCAAGTGCGAGTTTATGATGAGGACATGTAGCAGTGAGTTGGGATCGTATGTCCATAATTGGAAGATATGGGATGTCATTCTGGAAGTCGCTGTGAAAGAGAACTTGAAGGCAGAGCAGATGGTTAAGAAGGTGTTTGTGTTCACCGACTTCGGATATGGTGGTGGTACATTCTTGAAGACTCTATATGAGGCAAAACAGAGCGAGTTTAAGGAGCAAGGGTACGGGGATAATTCAGTGCCACACATTTTGCTTTGGAATATTGGGTACTGGAACAAACTTTGTATAGAACATCATCCAGGGGTGACGCTGTTGAGTGGCTTCTCCGAAAACTTGCTCAAATCTTTCTTGGACAATGGTGGGGAAATTGGCCGGTGCCATCTCATGGAAGCAGCCATTGCTGACAAAGAGTATCAAGCTCTCTCTGTGGTGGACTGAACTTGAACTGAGATCCAGATCCAGATCACGATCACGATCATGATCAATCCATTCAGTATTTGGAGGGATGATTCATCATCTGGTATCATAAATTTTGAAGATTATCAGTACATAGAATCTCATTGAATTAGTTTAGTAACCTTGAATTTAATTTGCTTAGAACTTTTGCACTGATATAGTGTCTGACTTAGCCTCGCCAGTGCTTAGATGGTTATATTTCTTAGATTCCTGATCAACATTTCCAATCATCATTGTACATCATCTGTTTTAGTTAAATTTAATCTGACGAGAGCATTTACAAAGCATTGGACATATTGAGACATAAATCCCAAACGCCATGAGAAAAACACTAGCAAAGGATACATGGACCCGGAACAAATTTCTTATTGTGACTCCCTTCACAAGACGGCGGCGGAGAGAGAGGGAAAGAGACGGGGAGAGAGAGAGGGCTGGGATGAAGGGGAAGGGTGTGGGGCTGATCAGAGGTTTTCCTTTTCTCAGCGACTCCAAACGCAATCTCGAAGAAAAGAGAAGAGAACTCAGTTTTAATATTTATAATTTGCCCCCTAAAAGCAATGGATACAAACTGTAAGAGAATTTTTGTTTAGAATTCAAACACAAAACTACTATCAACCCAATAAACTAAACAGAACAGAACTCACTCCATATATCGAAGAAGCGTGGTCTATCTTCATCCTTGCTCTTGCTATTGGGGCCGCTATCACCGCCACCATGAAAACGGTGATTGGTTTGTTGAAGTGAGTTTGACCAGAAGAGGGAAAGTTTCTCTCGCACAAGAGGCTGAAGTATCTAGTCTAGAGAAAACTTGCCCTGTTTTTTTGGTCTGAAGTGCTGTGTGGGTTTTTGGGATTATTTTTGTTGAATGTGTTTATTGAATTATGGGTTTTACACAACTTCGGGTAATCAATCAAAGCTATGTCCTTTTCATATTCTTTTTTCGTCAAAAATTTCCTTTTCATATCAGCTGGATACTCCACGGATACTTTTGTTTTGTTTTTGTTTGGTGTGTGTGTTGTCTTTCTATTGATTTTCCTAGTGTTTTGTAGTTTTGTTTTTGTTTAGTGTGTGTGCTGTCTTTCTATTGATTTTCCTAGTGTTTTATAGTTTTGCAATTCTGAGTAGAAATAAAGAAAGCAAGTATTTCTCTCGGAAGAAAAAATAATAATAATAAAGCAAATACAACCTCAAACGTATGTATGATATCGAAACAATCTTAGCCAACATAGCAGATGAACTGTTCAACATTCACCATAACCTCATCCATCAGTGCCCATTCACACGTTAAAAAAGGTATAATGGAGACGGCTAATTTCTGTATTGGTTTCAGATGACCACACGTTTAACACGAACATGACCGAAGCTAAAAGATGCGGTGAGAATAACGGGAGGGTACAAGTCATTCAAGAAGGAAGTTTATGACATGTCCGATTCAGTCAAGAAAGAAGTTTGTGAGTCAAAAAAGAGGGCTAATGAAATTATATTGAAAGACATGGAGGAAAGGTTGAACAAACAACAAGAGGCCATGGAAGAGTCCATAGCTTCTCTTAGGTCTGAATCAAAAGTTGCTGTAGAGACTAAGGAGGACGCTGCTAACCTTTGTGAATTGGTGAAACTTAAGCTGTGGAAGGTAAAGTTGTTAATCCATGATTCCGCCCATTCACACGTTAAAAAAGGTATAAGGGAGACAGCTACTAAAGCTGTGACACGATTCCTTCCTCCCTCATCTTTTTTAACATGTGAATCGGTGGAATTGTGGATTAACAACTTTACCTTCCACGGCTTTAGTTTCACCAATTCACAAAGGTTAGCAGCATCCTTCTTAGTCTCCACAACAACTTTTGATTCAGACCTAAGAGAAGCTATGGACTCTTCCATGGCCTCTTGTTGTTTCTTCAACCTTTCCTCCATGTCTTTCAATATAATTTCATTAGCCCTCTTCTTTGACTCACAAACTTCTTTCTTGACTGAATCGGACATGTCAGAAACTTCCTTCTTGAATGACTTGTACCCTCCCGTTATTCTCACCGCATCTTTTAGGTTCGGCCATGTTCGTGTTAAACGTGTGGTCATCTGAAACCAATACGGAAATTAGAAATGTGTTAGTAGAAAGGAAAAAAAAATATATATATATATATATATATATAATGAGAAAAGAACTAAAAAAATTTACGTTAGCAACTATAGCAAGTGAAACTTTTGGAAACTAAAATCAGGAAAGAAAGATGCAATACTTGAGGAGCAGGGGGAGGGGGTATTTAATGACTGAAATCATATGCATTCAATGTACTCATGCAATTAAAATGAATAGGGTAGAATGTGGTTAACATGTTAACATGCAAATGGTAAGTGAACATGGTCAAGGGATGAACTGACCTTTTATCCACGAACATGAGAAAGCTATGGACAAACCAAGGGATTGAACTGACCTTTTTATCCTTCCAAGCAGTGCGCACAGTGGACTCAAATTGAACATATATACTATGGACAAACCACAAGACGCACGAGGAGCATCTGTGCAATTTAGTCAATTTGATATTTTCAGTTTCGGTTTGAATTACAGTAGAAAAGTGTTCCCACCCTTACTAAAAACATTGGTGGTGTGTTATAGTGGTGATTGCATTTCTTACAAGATAAGGGAAGGGAAGTAATATACATTTCTTACAAACTTCTCAAATGTAAATTGAGATTTTCTTTTAGGAGAGAGAGAGAGGTTTAATTGGGAGACACCATTTTAGAGCCCATCGTGCATTGTATTTCAATAATCTAAATCATCTAAAAAAATCACTCTAATTTATTAAATCACTCTAATTTGATAAATCGTCTAATTTTATGCTATTTCTTCTCAATGTTTAAGTACTTTATTTAATGCACTATCTATATAATTAAGCTTCGATTAGTTATAAACTCTAGTAGTTTATTTGGTGGGAGATGAAAACTTGTTCCGATATTCATTAGCCTCTGGAATTTATTTGGTGGGTTGGTATTGATGTGGATCATTGCTGTCAGTCTTGTTTGTGCCTTTACAATTTGGACTGCTTTTGCAATGGTATTAGGTACGACATGTGTTTGGTGTGGTTCCACATGATTTAGATGATATTGGTCATTTGAAGGACACTATTTGTATTTGTTTCTGTAAATTTCCCCATTTTGTGTCTTATCTTTTGACGCACAAAAGTAAAAACTACTTTTATTATTTTTTTTTTGGAGAAGAAAATTTGACTGTTCAAATTCTCTTTCATAGGTGTACTTTGCTGCAAAATGCTTGCTTTATAATTATCTCGTGTGTATTTGATCTGCGTTATAATTCCTTTTCCTACTCCTCAAGTCATCTTCGTCTCCAAAATAAAAAACACACGGAGAGAGAGACCATGTTTACCTACCGTCTACATGTTAACCACATTCTACCCTATTCATTTTAATCATTGAAACCATGCATCCATCGTCCTCATATGATTAAAATGAATAGGGTAGAATGTAGTTAACATGCATATGGTAGGTGAACATAGTGCTTTTTCATTTAGTGTGACTGAATTAAATGGATGCAAGGCTAGTACCAAAATAAATACTTAGTCATTGAATAATTACTAATTAACAATAATGGCTGCTGGTAGCCATTAATCTTAATTTTCATTATTTAATTTTGCACCTACAGTCTACATGAAAAAGAATTTTACTCACACTCTCACACTCATTCATCACAACACCAGTAGATAACAAGAAATAAAACAAAAAAATAAAACAAAATAAAGGAAAGGGAGTGGGTTTAGAGTTGTCCAATAGGCAGTTTTAGGGTGGGTGTCCATTAAATCATTCCCATAGCATGTGCCCAAGGACGATTCCATTTTGAATCCTCCTTTACCGAACTTGCAGATTCATACGGTTATGGTTTTGGGCACTAGTACATTCGGAACAACGAAACTACCATTCAAAACTCAGAATTGGCCTTACTCTGCGTGGGCTGAATTCTACTTTTGGTATTGGGTTCATGTGCTTAAATGTTTATCCTCATAACGAATAAGATATTTTGACTGTCAATAGTATTTTTCTTCTCAATATTAATTTCAAAAAATTAAAATCGACCACTGTCCTATATTTCAACCTACCTATATTCCTGGGATTACACCATGACAATTTTAAAAAGAACGTTAGTTCTTTTGCATTGACCATTTTTCGTAAACTATAAATTGGAGAATAAATTGCAAAAGAAAGTCTTACAATAATGAGTAATCAAATATTCATACAAAAAGGCCAACGAGATTGGTTCAGTTGGTAAGATTTCTGCACTAGTGTAGCCTCACCAGTGTTCGAATCCTACTGCCAACAGTCCTCGTTGGTACGCGATTTGTAATTACCGACATAAATCCATACTAGTTGCAACTGACAGTTGGGTGCCACGTATAAGTCCTTCTAGCTTGAGGTTGAGAGTCTGCTCTGGCACAGGTGGTGAGAGTAACCAATCTCCTCCTAAACTTTGCTCGTAAAAAAAAAAATTACTCATACAAAAAAGAGACAAACTTATTGAACATCGAGAGCCTGGAAGGTAAAGCTTTTAATCCACGACTCAGCTCCACCTTCAACGGAACCTATCCTCGGGTGTTTCAGGTTCTTGGGTCACACTTCTTTGAAACTTCACTGGCACCAATTCATCGTTTGTGTTGTTACATGATGTGATCACCTACAATGGTGTTCCGCAAAGCAATAGAAATGTCAGGTAGTGCCAAAAGAAACAAGAACTTCATAGAGAGAAAAATTAAAAAAGAAAATGACAATAAGAATAATCACAGTGCAAATGTTAAAATCTAATAGAGTTTTAGGGTTTGCTTGGGCATTATTCTGACAGTGCCAAAAGCACTTTCAAATATCCAAAAGTGCTTCTCATATTGTTTGGCAAAACACAAAATGCTTTGGGCTATGGAAGAACTTTTAGGTGCGTCATCAAAAAACACTTCCAAAGCGCGTGTAAGAAGCGGTTGTGTTCTATACTCCTAACTCCCTAACTGCCCTTATAGCAAAACAAAAAAAAAATAAAAAAAAAAAAAAAAAAAAAAAAAAAATAAATGAAAATGAATGAGTGCAACTTTGAGTCCATCAACTAAACTAATATTAATGGGCTCTTGCGCATATCATTCCTTAAATTTAAGATTAAGACCTTGTTTTGGGATTCTAACCTAATGAATTGTAGTATTTTGAATTACCATGAGCGTTTCATACATTGTCAAATTTTTAATACTTGCTTGAATCACAACCGGTTTGCTACCTTCTTTCATGCTTATCCTCAAAAAGCTAAACAAAGGTAGCTATGGAATGAAATTCTTTTTGTCAAACTTGCTGCCTCTTTGCCCTGGATTCTCCTTGGAGATTTTAGTAATATATGTTTAATAACTGAAAAGCTGGGAGGAAACCCCAACCCTACCTTGGCAATGTCTTTGTTAGATAAGTGACCTCGCTACCATTGCTCTATATATTTGTATTCCTTAAAACTTCTCAAACCGAGATATCCTTTTGGGAGAGAGAGATAGAGAGAGAGGTTCAATTGGGGTCCACCCTTTTAGAGCCCACCGCACCTTGTATTTGAATAATCTAAACCGTCTTATTTTAGGTCGCATGTCAAGGATCGTCACTGCAAAAAATCACTCTAATTTGAAACCATTTAACTACTCAATTAAATAGTTATCATTCTAGTGTGTTTTCTTGAGACACCGTATTCATATATTTTACATATTACAATTAGATGTCTTCAGCGTTTCTTAATTGTCTACTATTTTGTAAGAAGGATCTATGAAACACAAGAAAAATAGACGGTTCAAAACCCTTGTATGATGTACTTGGACACTTTTATTGTTCATCACATACATTTTGCGTATCAAGTCGTGTCAAGAATTCAAGGTTCCAAGAACGTAAGGAGCAAGGATTTCGGCATGCAGTATCTCTCTTCTACACAAGAGGCCTGGGTTGTCCAAGTTTAATTAGCTTGGGTGGAGCACCTTCCTACTTGAGGTGCTTTGAGGCAAGAGGTTTCTTGCCATGGTGGAGCTCTTAGGAATTACTAGAACGGTTTCCAAGAGGTTGAAAAGATTCTAGGGGTGATTGATGGTCACCAAGGTGGATATTGTTGTGTTTTGGCTCACCATAGATGCGGGAGGAATAAGGAAACTAAGGGGTTGCAAGGAAGGAGAAGAAGAAGTCACGAGGAAGCTGGTGTACAGGCGACCAGTCTCCTAGGGTGACCAGTTGGTTTTGGTCGAGAGCTCAAGTTGACAAACTGCCTCCAGACGACGAGTCACCCATTCCTGGCAATTGGTTGGTTAGTGAACAATTTTGCGCATGATTTTGATGTTTTGGGGTATTTTGATGAAGTTTCCAATATTTGGGGTTTTGTAGCCTAATTTAATAAGGTTTTAGTTTCCTATTCCTAGTAAACTTGTAACCCAAGTCCTATGAGTTATAAATAGGAACTTTGGAGCTAGGTTAAATTTTCAGACCCAAAGAGAGGCAAAAGAATTTAAAAGAGAGAGACACAAGATATAATTCAAGAGGTTGAATTCTTGAGTGTTTATAAGGGCATCAAAGAGTTTGAGAAAGGTTGTGAGAGAAATTAAGACCTAGGGTTTGAGAGGATAGAGAGCTAGGGGGTTGTTGTAACCAAAGTTGTTCCTATTCTTCTAGTGTAATTTCTTGAGGGGATTACCAAAGAGGATGTAGGCATGGAGCTGAACTTCTATAAATCTTTGTATTCTTTTGTATTTGCTTACTCTCTTCAGGTGTGTATGTGTGTGCTTTATTCTCAAGGGGGGTTTGTGTGTCTGCCGTCACATAGTCCATCAACAACAAGGTCTTGGAGTGTTTCCGCACAACAAAAAGAGTCTTTGGTAAGGACTAGAGAAAACGTTTCATTGTAGTGAATTCCCTCCCTTTGAATGAATTCTTTTGCTACCAATTTAGTGGTGGTAATCCATGGATCTAAACCCAGAAAAATCCTATGGTAAGTTTCTAGTTTTGGAATCGCTTCCCCCTAGATTCCCTCCTCCAGTATCACAAATGAATTATGGAAAGAGCACGGCTCCGTGTCTAATACGCGTCGCATATCTCTTGAACTCACCAATCTCATGGATTGACACCCCTTCATGTGTTAGCGAGTGATCCAAAACTTCTAGTCGATAGAACTATGAATTCCTAGTTTATAGGAATAAGGGAACGAGAGGAATTTTAAGACAATTTAGAGAAACAAAAGGAAGAAGCTAAGGAACTGCTTTGAGTTCTGCCTGTTTTAATTCATTCAACTACAATGGTTTATATACAAGCCTGAATGCCTAGAATAGAAAACTAAAAATAATAAATGAATTTAAACCACAAATGTTAAATGGTTTAAATTCTTTAGGTAATTCAAACCATTAATTTTTAAATGGTTCAGAACCATTTCTTCTTAAACCATTCGAGTCGAATGGTTGATAAATTATTTAATTTAAATAATATTTATTATTTAATTATCTTGAAAAGATCCACCTGGATCATGGCTCTCCCATTTAAGACCTTGAGCTCCTGCTCAAGTTAAATGGTGAGATGTGGAAATTCTTGAGTAGCCTTGTCTCGAATATACCATTTCGATTTGCTGGGAAGTTGCCCTTTACTGCCAATACGAAAATACTCATACTTTCCATGTCGGGTCTCACGAACCTTCTGTTCCAAGATACAATCCTTCAGCAAAGGGTCTTCTAGTTCAATTTTTAAGTCATCAACTGATGGAAGCCGAATGTCTTCGTCGGGATCATCATCAAGTAGAGATGGCTCAAAAAGCTTAAGATTCTCGGCATTGATGACCGAGTACATATGCATGTATGGTGGTAATTCAAGGTGAAAGGCATTATCACCAATTTGTTTGATGATCTTGAACGGTCCATAACGAATAGGCTTCAGTTTCTTGCCTTCACCTGTTAGCCGCTCCTTTCCAAGGTGTAAATGGTTTGTGAAAAGTGCCGAATAAACTTTCGTAAATATTGACATGCACCTATAAAGCTCCGAACTTCAGTCACTGTTTGGGGAATAGGCCATTGAGAAATCACCTGCACTTTCTCTAGGTCCACTTTCAGTTCTCCTGCACCAACAATGAATCCCAGGTATACAAGGTGTTGTTTCCCAAAGTCACACTTCTTACCATTTAACTGTAACTGATTTGTTCGTAAAACCTCCAAAACTTGAGCAATATGATGAAGATGTTCCTCCCATGTGACACTAAATATGAGAATGTCATCTAAGTATACAATGACGAAGTCGTCAATGAAAGGGCGGAGTACCTCATTCATCAATCGCATGAAGGTAGCTGGAGCATTGCATAATCCGAATGGCATGACTAACCACTCGAATAGTCCCTGCTTTGTTTTGAATGCAGTTTTCCAAGTATCTTCGTCATGGATGCGGACTTGGTGATAGCCAGATTTGAGATCAAGCTTAGTGAAGTAGCGTGCACCATGTAGTTGATCTAGTAGGTCATCAATCCTCGGCAATGGATACCGATTCTTAATGGTTATTTTGTTGAGTGCCCTATAATCTACACACATACGCCAGTCTCCGTCTTTCTTAGGCACAAGTAACACTGGCGAACCACATGGTGAGCAGCTGGGTTTGATGACTCCTTGTTCAAGAAGTCCTTGAATTTGCTTCTTGATCTCGTCAGATTCCGTCACAGAAGTACGATACAAACCCAAGTTTGGTAGAGGTGAATCTCCTACCAACTGGATCTCATGCTCCACAGCTCTCCGTGGTGGCAAACCCTGCACATCATGAAATAAGTCCTTGAACTTCTCCTGTAATTTCCCTATGTCTGAGCATTGTGCAGGAGATAAAGACAATGTAGACAATGTCACAGCTCTAGAACTCTGATCTTGCGGTCGAATCATCAACAAAACGAATCGCCCACATGAATTGACTAACCTCTTGGCTTGGTTAGCTGTCAGCAAATTATCTGTAAGCAAATTATTTGTAGCTTGAGGCTTGCAAGCGTTGATGTGGAACTCCTTCCCATCTTTCACAAGTCGATACTTGCGAAGCCTTCGATAATGGATGGCATCTCGGTCCCATAAATATGGACTACCTAATATGACTTGGCAAACATCCAAAGGAACCACCTCACATGTCACCTCATCGATATATCGATTGGTGATAGCAAATTTGAAGGTACATTGCTTCGTGATCTGTAAGTCAACATCCTTCTGAATCCATCCTAACGGGTACGGCTTAGGATGTGGTGTGGTGTTTAAACCCACTGTTCTTACTAAAGCCTCTGAAATCAGGTTTTTCTGACTTCCAGGGTCAATAATAGCTTGTACAACACTTTGCTTCACCTGGATATTCACATGAAACAGCTCTTCACGGTTGTACGTGTCTTCAGTATCTGCTGGTCTTGTCATAAGGGTAAGTGTAACATCAGGTTGCTTCAACTCTGGAAGCTCTTCTGCCCGTTGTGCAGTTAATGTGGCTTTTCTGTCATTTCTCCCTTGGTTGTTTTTCTCGCGCTTTGGCCGTAACTCTGGATGGAGTATCCAGCACTTGTCTTTGGCATGTCTGCTGGTTTGACAGTGATCACAGTAGACATTCTGTGTCTGACCTTCCTTGCTCTGCTTCCCCTTTTTCTGCCAGTCAGTTTTGTTGACAGGTTTTGATCTGTCATCCTTCTTGTCAGTTCTTTTATTTTTTGCCTCAATGGCTATGGCCTTCACAGTAGCATCTTCAATAGTATCTACGGTGAACAATTTTAGTTCTTTCCGTATGTAGTCGGCAAGACCTCCGGTATACTTCATGAAAACGTCGTAGTCGTCAACGTCAATGTCCAGAACCATAGCTTGGTTGTGGAACTCTGTTGTATACTCTTGTACAGGCTGCCCAAATCTTTGTCTGAAGTGTTGCCACTTATACCATCTTTCATCTTCATAGCCAACTGGATAAAATTGTTTTCTCAAAAGCTTCTTGAAGTTCTTCCAAGTCAATTCTGAGACATCATACCGTCTCTGATAGGACTTCCACCATGTAAGGGCATGGCTTGAAAGTTTCAAACTCGCATATTTTATTTTTTGCACATTAGAATACTTATAAACTGTGAAATAAGTTTCTAATGTGTCTATCCAGTTATCTAGCTTTTCAGGATCAATATCTCCTTTATAAATAGGGATGTCAACCTTAAAATCAATCTTTAAGGTATCAATAGAATTTTATTGTCACCTGATTCAGCTTCCTTTTTCGTTGGATCAGCTTGTATGTCGTCTTCATCTTCGCTATCCTCAACAACCTTTTTCTTGAGCTTTTGATCAGGCTCAGATGAAGTTGATGGACGTGAAGATTTTCCAGTCTTCAAACTCTCCACGAGTTTAAGGATTGATGCAGACAAGTTTTCAACTTGTTGCTCAAGTTTAGTGATGCGATCGCCATCACTAGATGTATCCTGTTTGTTTTCTCCAGTCATATTGTCTCTCTTGGACCTTGGCTTTCGGTGTACGAGCAAAGGACCTAAAAGTTCTTCTCCAGAAGCTTTGCGTTGGTTGCGAGTTGAGACCATAAACCACCGTCACCCTCTCGGATCTGGTGCTCTGATACCACTTGATCCAAAACTTCTAGTCGATAGAACTATGAATTCCTAGTTTATAGGAATAAGGGAACGAGAGGAATTTTAAGACAATTTAGAGAAACAAAAGGAAGAAGCTAAGGAACTGCTTTGAGTTCTGCCTGTTTTAATTCATTCAACTACAATGGTTTATATACAAGCCTAAATGCCTAGAATAGAAAACTAAAAATAATAAATGAATTTAAACCACAAATGTTAAATGGTTTAAATTCTTTAGGTAATTCAAACCATTAATTTTTAAATGGTTCAGAACCATTTCTTCTTAAACCATTCGAGTCGAATGGTTGATAAATTATTTAATTTAAATAATATTTATTATTTAATTATCTTGAAAAGATCCACCTGGATCAGCGAGATCCTAGCTGAGTTAGGATATTTATTTCCTAGTTTATTAAGATTATATTTCTTTCCTTTTTGTACAGATATTGTGTAATTAGGTTTTTATCTTGTTTCTTAGTTTGACCCTACTAGGGTTACATCTTTGTATTATAAATACTTTCTTTTGGAGAATGAAATATAACCTGAAAAATATTCTACCCTTATTGTTTGACTTGGCATCAGAGCTAGCTTTTCTGGTGACCTGTGTATTGTGCCCACCTGTGTTCTATCCCCATATTTTTTTTCTCTACCTGTGCCGTGTGTGCCCTCTTGGGTTTGTGTGTTGTGTTGTAGTGTTTGTGCCATTCCTGTGTTGGTGCATCTGCCGTATTTGTGCCTTTATTGTGTTTCGCTGTGTACTCAGCTGTGTTCGTATCTGTCTTCTTGCATTTGCCGTATTTATGCCTCTGCTGTGTTCCGTTGTATACTTTGCTGTGATATGTTGAGTTTCTGCTGCAATCATGGGTGATAACTCCATTGTTGGTGCTGTTATAGTTTCTGCTGCCTCTATAAATTTGTGTGTTTCTGATTCTATTCCAGGTATTGGCTCTAATACTTGAATAATTGACACTGGTGTTTCTGATCATATGACTTATGATGCTAAATTTTTTGATGAGTTGTCTAGTCACACCTGTGACCCATACATAACTAGTGCTAATGGCTTGCCCTCTCCAATTACTGGTGAGGGCACAATCTCTCTCACTCCTACTATGTCCTTGTCTCGTGCGTTACTAGTTCCCAATATCCATTGTAACTTGTTATCTGTTGGTCGATTACTTGATACACTTAATGCTTCTGCTACTTTCTATCCTACGCATTGCTCTTTTTAGGATCTCAAGACTCACGAGACGATTAGGCATGGTAAACAGATAGGGGGTTATATTATTTGACATTAATTGCCTTCTGCACCAGTTCGTGATCGTGTCGTTAATACTGTTCAAAGTTGCAGTATCAAAAATAAACAACAAATTTGGTTATGGCATCGTCACTTGGGACACCCGTCATTTGGCTACCTTAAGCGTCTGTTTCCATCTTTATTTCGTTCTTGTGATGAGTCTAGTTTCAAGTGTGAGACATGTATTTTGGCCAAGAGTCATCGCACTGTGTTTCCTTTGAGTGACTTTAAAGCTGCAAAGCCTTTTGATTTAGTGCATTCTGATGTGTGGGGTCCGGCTCGCGTTACTTCGAACGGGTTTCGTTGGTTCGTCACATTTATTGATGATTGTACCTGACTCACTTGGGTTTTCTTGTTGAAAAATAAACATTATGTTGCTTCCATCCTTCCAGAGTTCTGTACTATGGTGTCTACTCAGTTTCATGCTCGGGTCAAAGTATTCCGGACTAATAACGGAGGTGAATATGCGAATAACACTTTGGCATCTTTCTTCCTTGCTCAAGGTATTATTCACCAAATGACCACCCCATTTACTCCTCAGCAGAATGGTGTGTCTGAACGCAAGAATCGTCAGTTACTTGAAGTTGGCCGCTCCCTTGTGTTGGATATGTCTGTTCCCCATCATCTTTGGAGGTATGCTGTTTTATCTGCTGCATATTTGATTAATCGTACTCCTAACAGGATTCTTGATTTCAAGACTCCACATGATGTGTTTGGTGACCATGTTTCCCCTGTCTCAGTCTCCAAGTTGCCCCCTAAAATGTTTGGGTGTGTTTCCTATGTTCATGTCTACTCTCATCAATGGAGTAAACTTTATCCTTGTGCTCTGTGATGTGTCTTTATTGGTTACTCTTCTACTCATAAAGGTTATAAATGTTATCATCCACCTACCCAGAAGGTGAATGTTACTTTGGACGTGACTTTCCATGAAGAAGTGCCATATTATGTCTCTCCTTCCTCTCCAATTTAGGGGGAGAAGGGGAGTGAATTGGAGAGTCTTAGATTGGAGAATGATGTGATTGAAGATACTGCTATCAAGAAGGAAACGACCTATCGCACTGAAGCAAGTGACCGGTTGCCTATATCTGGAGATGAAGTAGGTGCTCTCGGTGTCGAAACAACCGGTCACACTGAAGCAAGTGATCAGTTGCCCATATATGAAAATAATGACAGTGATTCTTGTATGGATGAGTTCGATGCAATACCCCCCTCTGCCCTACTAGTGCCCCAATCTACTCGTGATAGTGAACCAAGTGAGGTAATTTCTAATGATCTATCTATGTCAACTTATCAGTTACCCCCACAAACCACTCATGGGAAACCTAAAGTACAATATTTTCCTGATATACATGCCAAGTCTAAATATCCCATTAGCCATTATGTGTCAACTAATCGCTTGTCTAAGTCATATGCATCATATTTGTCTCAATTATCTAGTGTATGTGTGCCAACTAAGCTGCATGATGCTTTATCTAACCCCTGTTTGTGCCTAATAAATCATGGTCATGAACTGATTGAAGGGACTTCCCTTCGGCCTTGGCGCCTATCGTTTCGTCAGGCATTTCGCCGTCCTAAGAGCAGAAGGAAAGCTGCAAAGGTAGAATCCCCTTGGCCTCGCGACCGCAGTTTTGAAGGCCGAGGCCGAAGGCCGCAAAAGACACGGTATGAAAAAGCCGTGGTTGGAACGCCACGTGGCCTCAGGGCCCCACGCTCTATTTAATGAAGTAATGCCTCTGACTTCGCAGCAAAACGCACTAGTCACAAGACGCATTCAATGCACGAGGGAAGTGACTGAAGTCGGGATTTGGTGATGGGAACCAGGGTGGTTAGGCGCAGACATTCTCACAAGTAATCTTACGACTTAGGGTCAGGTCACCAACCACCAGACCAGGGCATTAAATGCGTTCCCACCGCCAAGGGGGTAGAACCCACGATCAGGGCGGTGGCCGAGATTTGCCGAGATTTATGGGGGTCACACCACCATGCTTCTAAACCCCAGACCACCATGCTTCACGATCCCAAATGCCAATTTGACTACCCACTTGCCCCGGTCAGACTCCACCACGCAGGTCTTGTCAGCCTCGAATGTCCCTCCAGGACTCGTATAAATACTAAGCTCAAGACTACATTCAAAGGGTTCAAACACCAAAACCAAAAGCCTCCCATGAAGCAAATTATATTTTCCTGTAATGCACTTTCAATACCTTTATTCGCTTTCTTAGGAGTAGTGGTAGACTGTAAGAAAAATCTGTTCATCAATATATCATACGACCCTTGATTTTCAAGGCGCCGGAGCACCATTTCTGTTATCACCTCACTCACGCCATATATCATACGACCGTCGCTCTCTGAGCAACGCACCGGAGCACCACCTAAAACCCACCACCAACACCACCACTAAACGGCCTTGTAGCTTAGGCCGTGAACCTGACGGCTGAGATTCATTCCTCACTCGGCCACAATCGTTTGATTAGGAGTCGAACGCAAAACAGGCGCAACATTTAAACCATCTTCTACCCGAACCTCATCATCATCTCGACGCACGGTAGACCGTGCTGGCACGCTCGCGCATAATCGCACCCCATCCAAACGAAGGACGTCACGTGTTGACGCGCATCCCCTCGGCCCAAAGCACCAGGCCGAGAGATTTGCGACGGACCAACAACCCTAAATGGATGGATGCCATGAATGTTGAAATTGATGCCTTGAACAAGAATAAAACATGGGATTTAGTTCCTTTGCCATGAGGGAAGAAAGCTGTTGGATGCATATGAGTGTTTACTTTGAAGCATAAAGCTGATGGTTCCATTGACCGTTACAAGGCTAGATTGGTAGCAAAGGGTTATACTCAGACCTATGGAGTGAATTATTTGGAGACCTTTGCTCCAGTGGCAAAGCTCAATACTGTGCATGTCCTGGCTGCTAACCGCGATTGACCCTTATTACAATTCGATGTCAAAAATGCGTTTCTACATGGTGACCTCAAGAGGAGATTTACATGGATCTCCCTCTTGGTATTCCTATAACCTCTAAGGAATGTGTTGTGTGTAAGCTGCGGAAGTCTTTATATGGATTGAAGCAGTCTCCAAGAGCGGCGTGGTTTGGGAGATTTGTGGCATCTATGAAGAAATTTTGGTATGTGCAGAGTAACTCAGACTATACTTTGTTTCTAAAGCGTCGTAAAGGTAAATTGATAGATTTAATTATTTATGTTGATGATATGATTGTGACTGAAGATGATAAGGCAGAAATGCAAAATCTTCAGAAGTATCTGGCTTCCGAGTTTGAGATGAAGTCATTGGGTGATTTGAAGTACTTTCTTAGGATTGAAGTTGCCAAATCTAAACATGGTATCTTTCTGTCTTAAAGAAAGTATATTTTCGATTTACTTGCAGATACTGGAATGTTAGATTGTAAACCAATTGATACCCCTAGTGAACAGAATCATAAGTTGGGGTTGTATCCTGATCAAGTCCTTACAGATAAAGAGCGTTATCAATGACTTGTGGGGAAATTGATTTATTTATCTTATACACGTTCTGATATTGCATATGCAGTGAGTGTAGCGAGTTAGTTTATGCATTCTCCTAGTGAAGATCATATGGGTGCTGTGATGCGCATCTTGAGGTATTTGAAAGTAACTTCTGGAAATGGGTTAATATTTTACAAGTATGGTCATACAGATGTGGAAGGGTATACGGATGCTGATTAGGCTGGTTCAGTCACTGATAGATATTCTACGTCTGGGTATTTCGCATTTGTTGGTGGCAATCTTGTTACTTGGAGGAGTAAAAAGCAAAAAGTGGTGTCTAAGTCTAGTGTCGAGGCCGAGTACCGTGGGATGGCTCAAGGTGTGTGTGAATTACTATGGTTGAGAAGATTGTTGAGAGATCTTGGGTTTGGACCTCGGAAACCCATGGATTTGTATTGTGATAATAAACCTGCAATTGCAATTGCGCATAACCCTATGTAACATGATCGTACAAAGCACGTGGAGGTTGATCGACATGATCTTACGAAAGCTGTGTCTACTACGGTCTTTCTCAACTCGCTTGACAAGTTGAGCATACGTGACATCTTTGTGTAATTATGATTATATTTCTTTCCTTTTTGTACATATATATTGTGTAATTAGGTTTTTATCTTGTCTCCTAGTTTGACCCTACTATGGTTACATCCTTGTATTATAAATACTTTCTTTTGGAGAATGAAATATAATCTGAAAAATATTCTACCCATATTGTTTGACTTCATGGCCTCTTCATAACCCAGTAAACATATCAGTAAATGAATTTGATGAACCAATCGGTGTGAAAACACCTCCATTGCCAGGCTGTAATGAAATCATACCAAAGCGTTAGAGAGCTCTTTGCCTCTAGTTTAACCCCTCCGAGTTCTCGCTCCGAGAGCTTCAGCTTTGACCCAAAGCATTTCCCAAGTTCCTCTAGTTCCATGTTCTCTTTGTTGCAAGAACTGTCGTCCTATTGCTTCATAAAGTCCCCTCCCAGTAGCAATCGTCGTGGGAGAAATCTTGCTTGAGTCGTCAATAGGTTGTGGTAAACCCTAAACTCTAGCGCCTAAGTTTGTCGCTCACGAAAACTCTCCTAGTGAGAGACCTTTTTCCTATTATTTACTTACTCCTCCTTTTCAAAAACTCCTCCTTTGGAATCTTATCAAAGTGTGTGTCGCATGTGTATAAAGCGGACTCATAGTCCTGGGCAGAGGTACATATGCATTGATTTTAATCAACTCATTTCGACCGAAAACAAAACAAAAAAGCTTACGCATGATTTGTCTTACTAGCTGTAGAAGTTGTAACAAGCAGAATAACGGTCTTTGTTATTTTTGTCCCAGTCCGCATTGGGAACTATGCTTCTCGAACAGCCTGCACTTCATTATTTTTGTCCCAGTCCGCATTAGGAGATAATTTTATAATTTTCTTATTAGATGGGGATTGTATTTATTTACTTTTCTAATTGACTTCTATGTATTTGTAAGAGCATGTCCAATAGTACTAACAAATTAACGTTTTTTTTTTACTTATGCAGCATTTGAAAAGGTTAATTTGCTACTTAAATAATTTTTTATCCAACATTATAAGTAATTATGGCTAGAATAATTTTTGATCCAACATTATAACCAAATACTGTCTCTTTATTGTTGTTTCTTGCATTGGTAAAGTTGTACAACTTGAAGGTTAGAATTTTTTTAATCTTAAAAGTAATTATGGGAATAACCATTCAAATATCCAAGTACCTCCAACAAAACAAAGTGTGTACAACTTGCATCTGCATCCCAGTTATTGATTTTCATCAACTTGGTATTAAGAAGGCCTACCTAATCAAGCAAATTACAGAGGTTGCTCATTTTTCCAAGTTTGGCATACTTGTAAGGCCTACCTATTAGAATATTCTTACTTAGTTTTATGATGGCAAATGCACTTTGTACACATCATTGACTATGTGAGAAAATAGGTCTTTTTGTGCTGTTATTGTGACATGTCAATGAAACGTACATGGGTTGCCAAGCCCACGAATAGTCTCTGAGAACTAACATTGAGATTGGGGAGACCACTCAAGGCTGGTCTCCTCTGCGTGTTCCGCAACATTGTTAAGACACTTTTTTTTTCTCCATACCTTCCTTTTTTTAAGGGGCATGAAGGTAAATGGATTAGAAACCATGGGCTCAAATCTCAACACAAAAGTAGACACCGCAGTCTGTGCAATAGGTAATACCTTAGTTGGGATGCCGCTATTTGTCATACCTTCTTCTAGAGTCTCGGTCATATGGTGATCCCCAGGCAACGTAACCTCCTCATATGGCATTAGCATCTGGGGCTCCTATACAGAACCAACTCTCCCATTCTTATTCACTACTTTATCTCAAGCTGGAGACACATTACCCATCACAATATCCCCACGGACTGGAAAGGGTACCGCCTCAATTTGGCCACCAATTCTTGCTTTGCTTTGTACAGCACTTGAAACTTCCTCAACTCTTCGGGTAGTAACTTCTGGAACCACCAAACGATCAAGAACCTCTTGGGTCCTCAACTTACGAGATTTACAAGGACGTAACTTCAATAACTTCTGGTATCTGTTACCTCTAATTGCTCTATACTATTTGTTCTCCAAGATTGTGTCCTTGTAAAGGACTATTTTTTGGGTGACTCTCGCTGCCAAGACCCTTCTCCTCTAGAGGATTTCTCATTAGATTTTGATCCATTTTACAAGGATAATTTCCTACGGGCATGTGTACTGTTTACACCATAATCAACCGAGCATCTCCAGCCTCAAAACAACTAGCACCAAGGCAGACACGCCTTCTCCCCTGCTGAAGAAGGACATTCTTCGAAGGTGCCAGACACCTACCGAAGCTCCTGATTGCCGAAGCTCACAAACTGCCAAACCTAATCTCCATGACACATGTCACCATCACAGCGACTTGCACAAAGTCCCACATCGGAAATCTACACAAACCTCCCATTTTCACTCCTTTATAAATAAGGAACAGTACTCTAGTAAGAAGGGTAACTACTTTCTTACCTTTTACTGTTACTCTACCAAAGTTACTACTCTTAACTGACTTAAGCATCGGAGAGCTTTCGGCAGACACCACACCGGTGTCCGAAGCTTAACGATTGCTTCTCCTACTTTGTCTTCTACAGGCAAGGTCCTCACCTTCTCTACTGCTGAAGACAAACCCATTTTCTCTAAGTTGACCCTCTCCGAAAAAGAGCATCAACATGTACCAATTAGTTTGCCCCACAGACCCTTCCAGTCCGGCAAAAGCATACGTAAAACCAACGAGTTCATGAGCGATAAATTTTCTAGGCAACGCCTTGTTGAGAATTAAGTTGCATAGTCAGCTTAAATCAACTTGCAGATGACAATCCTGCAAATTGGAATTGAAAAGATGAAGAATTAGTTTTGTTTTTAAATAGCCGTTAGTTTAAACATGTAACAGCTAGCTTTATTTCTGTTTTTAGAAACCAGCACAGCTGTTATTTTTGTCCTATTTGGTTTGTACTGGGTCATCCGATCTTTCTCCAAGTGGAAAAATCGTAGCCTCATATGGTCTGAATGGTTGGAGATGAGTCCTTGCTCCCTAAAAACTAGGGTCTGTTTTTGATTGAGATAGGAATATAGTCATGTAATACCTCTGCGTTTTCTGATAGAGAAATATATTGAAACATTCAAATCCTCTGTTTTCTCATATCCTTCTTTCTCTGAGGTGTATTTCTCCTAAAGGTTTCAGCTTCTGTTATCAACCTAAAGTATTAAGCTTGATACTAATTCAACATGGTATCAGAGCCCCTGGTCTGAATCTAGAGAAGGGCATGAGCTGTGAGAAAGATGGGCTTCCTGAAAAATTCCCAAAAGGGATAAAGGTTGCTATTTTATTGATTGGTTCACTAAGACTCACTAGGAAAATAGTGGGATCAGGTTCTTCAAGTGGAGATTTACGAATTCCACAAATTGATGGTGCAAACTATGATTTTTGGGCTGTCAAAATGGAGACCATCCTCATAGCATATGATCTATGGGATGTAGTTGAGGTCGGAGTACAACCTTAGCCAGTTCTTGAGGAGGAAGAAGGCTCTGGAAGTGAAGGAAGTGAGGCTGAGCACGTTCTAGTGAAAGCACCCACCATCTCTAGAAAAGACAGAATAAAAAATGCCAACGCACTGAGTCTCATTCAAGGAGCTTTAACTGATGAGCTTTTCCCTCGCATCAGAAATGAAAAGACTGCAAAAGGAGCTTGGGATACTCTGAGAAGAGAGTTCAGAGGAGATAAAAAGGAAAGAGCTGTAAAACTTCAAGCAGTTAGAGCAGATTTTGAGTATATGAGAATGACTGATGGTGAAAGCTTAGATAGCTATTTGGCTAGATTTTTTGGTACTGTGAATAATCTGAAATCTCTTGGTGAAGATGTGTCTGAAACAAGAATTGTGCAAAAGCTTTTGATGAGTCTAAGTAGAAGATATAAGTCCATTGTGTCTATTATTGAAGAAACTCGAGACCTTGATGTTCTTAGAGTTGAAGAGGTCATTGCATCTGTCAAAGTTTATGATAAAAGGGAGGACTTGCATGATGAAATAGATAAATTGGCTGGGACTGAGAGAGCTTTCAGTAGCCTCAAGGTTGGAAATACCCAAGTTCATGGTACTCATAAGGGCTCACAAAAGTAGACCAAATCAAAAGTGGCAGGGACAAGACAAAAAGGGATCAAATTGGTCTCAAAATGGAAGCTTGAACAACAATAATGGCTCAAGCTGGAATAATAGTGCTGGAGGAAATTGGAACAATAGCTTCAATTCACAGAACAAGCAAGGTAGTAGCTGTCAAGGAAGTGTGAAACCACAATGCCAAGTATGTCAGAAGTATCATTTTGGTGTGTGCAGGCACGAGGGCAAACCTAGATGTGGAAAATGCAATAGGTTTGGTCATACTGCAAAGGACTGTGAAGGTCATAGTCACAAACAAGTAGCCAACTATGCAAAGGAAGAAGAAGTAACCATAGGAACTATGTTCTATGCTTGTCACTCTACAAGTTTGCAAGATAAAAATGTATGGTTTGTGGATAGCGCCTGCAGCAACCGCATAACCTCTCAAGAGTCTGTGTTAATAAACATTGACATAACCGTGACTTGTAAAGTTAAAATAGGCACTGGAGATCTTGTACAAGCAACTGGAAAGGGTACTCTAGTGGTTGAAACTCAGCATGGGAGAAGGTATATACATGAAGTGTTGCTTGTTCCGGGCTTGGATGAGAATCTATTGAGTGTAGGCCAAATGATGGAGCATGGTTACTATGTCCTATTTGGGGGTAACATGGCAGTTATCTTTGATGATGGCAGCCTAAACAATGTTGTAGCAAAAGTGGTCATGGGAGGAAATCGATGTTTCCCTCTTTCACTAGAATCTATGACACCTGCAGCAAGAAAAGCATCAGTGATTGAAGACTCTTCAATCTGGCATAGAAGACTTGGACATTTGAATTTTGTTAGCATTAAAAAGATGTAGCAGATGGAAATGGTGACTGGACTACCTGTGTTAACCGAAATGAAGGATGTGTGTGAAAGTTGTGTTTCAGGAAAACATCACAGAGAGAAATTTGATAAAGAGAAAGCATGGAGAGCAAGTTGTCCACTGGAATTAGTGCACACAAAATTGTGTGGACCAATGCGAAATAAGTCAATTGGTGGAAATATGTATTTCATCACATTCATTGATGACTTCTCAAGAATGTGCTGGCTATACTTCCTTAGAAATAAAGCTGATACCTTTAATGTGTTCAAGAAATTCAAAGCTTTTCTTGAATTGCAAAGTGGATTTAGTTTGAAAAAGCTAAGGAGTGATAGAGGAGGTGAATATACCTCACATGAATTCCAAGATTTCTGTGCAAGCATAGGAATGGAGAGGCAACTAACCATTGCCTACTCTCCTAAGCAAAATGGAGTTGCTGAGAGGAGAAATAGAACAATCTGTGAGATGGCAAGATCCATGATGACAGAGAAAGGAATTCCAATTATTTTTTGGGTAGAAGCTGTAAGTACAGCTATGTATCTCCAAAACAGATGTTTTACAACATCTGTGTCAAGCAAAACACCATTTGAAGCATTCATAGGTAGAAAACCAAGAATCAAGCATCTGAAAGTTTTTGGTTGCATCTTTACACTCATGTTCCATCACCCTTGAGGCAGAAATTTGATGACAAGGCTAGAAAGAGAGTTTTTATGGGATATGGAAGTTGTGAAAAGGGTTACAGGGTGTATGATATGCAATCTAAGAAGATTGTACTCTCAAGGAGTGTAATTTTCAGTGAGGACAAGTCATGGAATTGGAAGAGTAATCAAGAAGAATCTGTTCCAATACCTTTCAATCTTGAAGGGTATGAAATTGAAGATGAAAACAATAAAATAGAACCTGATGGAACTTAGTTTGATGATGGTGGAAGTTCTCATCAAAACTCCACAATTGGTGATTTAGTTGAGAATGTTAGTGGTAATGGCAGTCCAAACTCCACACCTAGTTCTACTCCAGTCAAATTAAAAACTCTGGAAGATATATATGCAAGGTGTCACATGTGCATCATAGAACCAGAGAATTATCAAGAAGCAGCTGGTGATTTAGCTTGGCAAGAAGCCATGAATGCAGAGTTGGAGATGATAGAGAAGAATAATACTTGGGAATTGGTTGAGAGACAGGCTGATAAACCTGTTATAGGTGTGAAATGGGTGTTTAAGACTAAGCTTAACTTGGATGGAACTGTTCAGAAACACAAAGCTAGGCTTGTAGCAAAAGGGTATTCACAGAAACCTAGGATTGACTACAACGAAACCTTCGCACCAGTGGCAAAGTTAGATACAATTCGAACTCTTATTGCACTTGCAGCACAAAAGGGTTGGAAACTATTTTAGCTAGACTTCAAGTCAGCATTCCTAAATGGTGTGCTCGATGAGGAAGTATATGTAGAACGGCCTGAAGGTTTTGAAATGAAAAATGCAGGTTACAAGGTTTACAATACAGTGAGATTGATGCATATTTATCTATGTGCTAGTTTAAAAGAAGCATTGGTGAAGCTACTCTATACACTAGATCTGATAATGAAGGAGGTTTGATCATTGTCTCAATCTATGTTGATGACATTGTTTATACTGGAAACAGTGAGAGGATGCTTGCTGAGTTTAAAAGGGAGATGATGCAAAGATATGAAATGTCAGATCTTGGACTCCTTCATCACTTCTTGGGCATGGGAATACTACAAACTGATCAAGGGGTTTTCATTCATCAAAGCAAGTATGCCAAATCCTTGCTTGTGAAGTTTGGGCTTGAAGACTGCAAACCTGTCTCAATTCCTTAGCCTACTGGTGAGAAACTCAAAAAGGTGGATGCGAGTGAGTTAGCTGATGAAGGGCTCTACAGGAAAATAGTAGGAAGCCTACTATATTGAACTGCAACTAGACCTGATCTAATGTATGCTGCTAGCCTGTTATCAAGGTTTATGAATAGTCCTACAAAAAGGCATATAGGAGTTGCAAGAAGGGTTCTGAGATATGTGCAAGGAACTCTTAGCTATGGGATTGAATACGTGAGAAATCAGTCAGCAACCCTTGTTGGATTCTGTGATGCAGACTGGGCAGACAGTGAGGATGATAGCAGGAGCACTTCTGGCTATGCATTTAGTTTTGGAAGCTAAGTATGTCTCAGCATCTGAGGCAACAACATAGGCCATTTGGTTAAGATTTGTTCTTGATGATTTTGGTGAAATGCAATATGAGGCAACACCCTTGTTCTGTGACAATATGTCAGCAATTTCGATGGCCAAAAATCCAGTTTTTCATCAAAGAACTAGACACATAAACAGAAGGTATCATTTTATAAGAGAAGCTTTGCAAGAAGGTGTGATCAACATGCAATTCTGCATAAGTGAACAGCTCGCAGATATTTTTACTAAAGCACTGCCCAAAGACAGATTCAAGCATCTAAGGTCAAAACTTGGAGTTAAGTTAGTAAGCAGCTTAGGAGAGGCTGTTGAGAATTAAGCTGCATACTCAGCTTAAATCAACCTGCAGATGACGATCTGCAGATTGGAATTGAAGAGATGAAGAATTAGTTTTTTTTTAAAATAGCCGTTAGTTTAAATATGTAACAGCTAGCTTTATTTCTATTTTTAGAAACTAGCACAGCTGTTATTTTTGTCCTATTTGGTTTGTACTGGGTCATCCAATCTTTCTCCAAGTGGAAAGATTGTAGCCTCCTATGGTCTGAATGGCTGGAGATGAGTCCTTGCTCCCTAAAAACTAGGGTCTGTTTTTTTAACTGAGATAGGAATATAGTCATGTACTACCTCTGCTTTTTCTGATAAAGAAATATACTGAAACATTCAAATCCTCTGTTTTCTCCTATCCTTCTTTCTCTGAGGTGTATTTCTCCTAAATGTTTCAGCTTCTGTTTTCATCCTAAAGTATTAAGCTTGATACTAATTCAACACGCCTCATAGTGCTTCACACACTCGTAAGTGGAATGGCCTATCTTGGCACATGCACAATGGTAGTCAGGCAAGTATTCATAGCCAAAATCCACCATCTTTCACCAATCTCTGGGAAAGTAACTAGAACTTTCCGAATTAAAAGCAAATCAACATAAAAAAAAACATGAATGCAGATGAAATACCCCACACAATCTTCTCCAACACGATTTTCCACCCACTTGACCTCACCAAGAGCCACCCCAATCGCCTTGGCTACAACTACTGACATACAAAACATTGGGACCCCGTACAACTAGACCCAATAATTCCCATGGGATATCAACTGGTATGGACGTTGCCATCATCCGAAGCCTCCTTCAGGAGTACCACGGAGCATCAATAGGCCCAAGGTTCCATGTCCAAAGCTCGTCATAGATCACGCTCGAAAATAAATTGTGCCTAGAAGCGATTAGAAGCTCTTTTTTTTTGTTAAGACCTCGTCTGAACTCGCCCTAAACTGGAAAAGGTCTTCACGAAGTGATCCCGATTAACTTCCTCATTCGACGAAACTTTGACTACTAGGATGTGGATAAAACCTACATATTGATCTGAAACTGCAGCCTCTCCAATCACCACCCCCCACACATTCTCTATCGGTTAACACCAGTTGCCTAATGAAGGATATTTTGATATCGTCAACCTCCATACGGCCGTCAGGTTTTCGATGCTAAAGAGAACCCTACCTAAAACATCCTTGAGAGCTGAGGGAGACGAGAAAACCACTCCAAAGACTGAATAGGACAACTGAGAACAAGATTCTACAAAGAAAACCAGAAAAATTGTGTCGAAAACCCTAGAAAAGCAGTAGCAAACTCGATGGAAACCCTAGCCACTCAAAGCTCTCCTCGCAAGAAAACGAGAGAGCTTCCCCGAAATTATCCTTTTAAAGCATGAATGATTTTTAAATGAAGAAAAAAAAACTGCGTATTATTGAAAAAGTGAACTTAATTAATTGTATATTATGTAAAAATAAGTATTTCTGATTGAGTACATTAGCAATTTCATATATTAAAAAGTAGTCATTTATTCATATTCGAATCTTACTTATTAAGTACAATTGATAGTCTAAACTACTGAGTAAGGATTTCTCTCATACACACCACAATGTGATGGGGTTTTGAACCTCAGACCACTAGTCTGCAAGTCAAGGCCCTTTTCACTAAGCTGAACCTCATTGGCTTTATCTATATTCATTTCCATTTTCTTAGTATTTGCATTCCTCAAAGATCTATTATGTAGACGATGCCCTACACATTAGTAAAACAGGTGATGTTCAAATCTGATCATACAACTCCCATAGATAGCACGCCCACTTGTCATTCTATAACTATGATCTAGAAGTTCACTTATTGCAACATTAAGACACTTCTTACAATCTTCGGCAGAGATGTTGAGAGTACATTCAACTGTAGCATAAAGCTTAATCTTGTGGGATACTCGTAGTTTCCCATGAGCGTACAACTGTCCACGAACAACTTGAGAACTTACTCGAGTGAGCAACTCAAAAACTTTACATTGAATTAACATGGGATCATCGACGAATTTGTATTCTTCCCATAAACCTTGTTATATGTGTCAACTTTACAAAATAAATTTTCATATGAGTATTTTAAGAGATAGCCTACCATCCAAATTATACATCCTCGATTGAGAGGGCAACACTTGCGGAGTTCTTGGTGCCCTGTACTGAGATAATATTTGCAGGATGCATAGTGTTCATTCATAGTATAAATCCAATATTGCGCTAGATACAGAAGTATTTTGTTATAGACGTAGATGTTGCATTGATGATTCCAGCTTTGTATCCGGAATCTGTAATGTCTTTATATAACACTACTTGTGTTAGTAACGTATTCAAGTTATCCTGGTAATACCCATTGGCTGGGAATTGTACCCTCTTGAAACAACTATGCCCCAGAACAAGAGGTTTATAAACATCTTCAAATGTCCTTACGAGGAAAAAAGAGAAAGCTAAAAGACTAAAAAGAATTATTGGTTTGGAGTGAAACATGGTCAATAGATTGAATCTATATCCAGTTTGATTTTAACAAACACACAGACGCATGATAATACGATTAGAAACTCTTATTAGCTTTATGTACTGTCTTATTATAATATCCTACTAGTTCTATTTTAATTCGTGTTTTGGCTACTTTGCTGTAAATGTAGCCAAACAAGACATACATATATAAATAAAGATAACTAGGGGCCAAGCCTTTACATGAAACCATTTCTTTCTCTCTGGGAATCATAGCCTACTTTTGTACCAAAGGGTTGAGACTTCCCTTCTGACCCTAGTTCTTGGCACTGGGAAGAGTCTCTATAACCTATAGGGTAAGGAGCAAGCTGTTGGTTGAACCAATAGGGGCTCTGGCAGAAGATACTACCAGACACCCAATCCCAGTAAAAGACATGTTAGTAGGATGAATCGGCTGTCTTTGATGTAGGCGAAGGCCATTGCCTCTGATAAAAAGAATACGTAACCCTGTATTGATAGACTGGAGTTCCCCCAACAGTGTGAAAAGAAAGGTCAACTACATCGAACCTCCCGATCAATAAAATAATAAAGTATGAAAAACTAGATTAAGAGACGTTCAAAGTCTTGTGGCGCCCGCTAGTCCAATAACGCGATCCGGTGGGTGGCTTTGTTGCCTCTATTTTGATTTATTGTTGAAGCAAAAAGAAAGGGAAACTGTTCTCGAATCAGCAATGCCACATCTGACTCAATCAAAAAATCGTGGCTTCTTGTGCTATATTCTAATTGTGAGGAGAAATTCCATCCGATGGAAGGAAGACAAATTCTTTATGATCGAGTGGGCTTGGCCAGGTGAAGAGGAAGAGGGACAAAGGGAAGAATGGGGCTTATAAGGCCCAATAGTGCTGAGTGTTATACATGCGAGCCTTCAGCGTCAAAAAGAAGAGTCACGCTCTTTAAAAGCCCTAAGAAATAGGCTTTTAGTCTCCTTTTATTGAGAGCAAGGGCGGAACTAGAAATTTTTTAATGGGTGAGCTAGTTAAAGTTGTTATAGCTTAAAATTTAAGGACCAATTTTTGTTTGGGTACTTACTGTTTCTATAGTTTTTTCTAGAAATATATTAAAGTACAAATTGGGATAAATAGTAAAAGGTTGAGAGTTAAAATCATGTGTTTATTAAGAGATTATTTTATTAATTGAGCAAACAAATTAAATATAACATGATTATATACCTACAAAAATTGAGTGGACAGTGGGTTACAAAACTACATTTGAGTGGGCTACTAAGTTTTTATGTGATGAATAACATTAAAATATATGTAATATATTTTAATTTTATAAAAGGCTACTTGGGCTAGAGCCCATGGTAGCCCTCTACCTAGTTCCGCCCATGATTGAGGGACACCCTTTAGGGTCTCTTAAATATCACTTAAAGCTCTTATTTGAGGGTTTAAGTGATACATAAATATCACTTAAAGCTCTTATTTTTATAATATGTTTCTTTTTCCAGTCATTTGCGCATGATTTATAAGTTGCTGAGATATATAATATGTAAGATATAAATTAGTTTTTTGGTCCATTCGTCCCCAAAAGAGTCATGTTTATATATAATTCTTAATAAGTTAACTTTTAAAATTTATATAGCTGATGGGGTGAGAGAATTCATTTTTCCGTTTGATAAAAGTATATCCCGTTGAGTATAATGATGGGATATTGCTTGCATCTCTTAGAAAAAAAAACTGGTCAATCACTACAAAACGAAAGAAAAAAGAAAGAGAGGTTATTTGAGGATATTGCTGTATTTTAATATAATATATATATATATATATACACACACACTTAAACAATTGATAATTTGCATCATTAAATTATAATCCTTTTAAGACTCACACTGCATATTTTAATGATCCTAACTGTTATTTTTAAGGTATTCCTTCAAAAATCACTTCAGCAAAAACTACTTTAATCCTATACCATTTGGCTGCTAAATTAATTATTGTTATTTAAGTGTTTTCTTGAAGTATTATGTTTGTATATTTTGTTGGTCACTACTAAATGTCTTATTGGTTTTCAATTTTTAAGGATGGTGTATGACTGAATATTTTAAAAAATAGACGGTTTGAATCGGTGGGCCACACAGAGAGTCTGGTAAACAATTGATTTAATTAAAGGATCCCTTAATATATAGTCTATCTCTAGTCCAAACGTCTCCATTTTTCTTAGTATATCCGGATGTGTTGTTTTAGGTGTTTTTCTTGCATCTAAGTACATTAGATAACTCAAAGGTTTGCCTTCAGTTGAAACAAGCAGGAGTTAAACATTAAAAGGCTGTTGAGATAGGTGTTGAGGTACAGACTTTTAGCTAGCTGTCAACGTAATACCAAAACAAAGCAGCTGCCAATTGATTGGTTTGAATTTCCATCACCTTCTCATATAAAAGTAAATCAATTAAGTCCAAATAAAAATAAACTTAAGAATCTTCTTTGCTCTCAACCAAGTTTACATGGTGTGAAGATCTTCTGACCCTCATTTCATGTGTTGTGTTCTCCTGGACCCTATAGTCCAAGAGAGTTGTGGTACCTTTTGATTTAATCTAAAGGTTGAGAAAATAATAATTTAATATCAATTTACTTTTTTCTTTTATATATATATATTATTAATTAAATAAAAAAAAAATTTAAAAAAAAAAAAAAAAAAAAAAAAAAAAAAAAAAAAAAATAAAACTGAAATAAAACACGTTCTCGTGTGTTCTTCCTCCCGTCGCCACAGCAGCACCTCCAACTCCAGCATCGGAGACGAAAATCCAGAGCTGCCCATCCCCTCACATAATAAACGAAGGTCTGCCAAATAAAAATCAGATTATGTAATTGCAGGATTTCCCACCCGAGACAGATTCTTGTTCACATGTCATATATGGAAAACAACATAGTTTCAAGAGCCTACAAAATATATGAAAAACTATTGTAAAACCCAAAAAATTAAGAGAGTAAACATTTTTTTTAATTGACTGTGTGGGTGGTGTGGGAACCGAATTAAATCAGAACCCTAAGTCAAATAATTCCTTCTATTTGGGGATTATTTGACCTAATTGAGAATTATTCAACCTAATTGGGAGTTACTCAATTTAATTGGGAATTACCCAATTAAATTGAATGTTACCTAATTAGGTTGAGAATTGATTTGATTCCTACCACAATTGCCAATTAATTGGGAGTTACCTGAATTAATTGAGAGGTTATTTGATTCAGATTGGGTGTATTTGATTCTTGCCTTAATTAGGGATTTGATTAATTAAATCCCTAAATACAACAACCTCACCTACCTCGTTGAGGCCCCCTATAAATACTTGGCTACGCACAAGGATTGAGGTACGTCAGAATTACTATTAAAACTCTATAGAGATCTTCCCCTCACAAACCCTAGCCACCTCATATCTCTCTCTCTCTCTCTCTCTCTCTCTCTCTCTCTCTCTCTCATTTACATAAGGCTCCGGCCTCCCGGTTTACACCATAAATATATCTCCGTACCCTATTAGCTATTGTTTTCTATACGAACCAATTAAACTAACTTAGGCATGGGAGGGGTTTTGGAAAAGCAACTCTGCAGATTATTCCTTTAAATTAAGTAAAAGATCCCAAAATTAAAAAATAAATTGAAAATTTCCCATATCTAGTTTCAATTTCCCGGATGAGAAAATATGTGCATAGAGCAAATATAAATAACACGGTTTGCACCCGATCCAAGTTTATCCAACGGTCCCTGACTTCTCTTTTAAGATTTTAGCAAATAGGTAGTTTCAATTCAGGAATCAAACTTAGGCTTAGAAGAAGCATTAAACATGTGCTTCCAAAAAAATAAAAAAATCAAACAAGGGCCGCTGGTGTAAAATAACTTTTACTGTGTCTGAACAAGTTTATTAGGATTTATATACAGATAAATAGAAGAGTCAACCAAGCAGAGCGGTGACAACATCTCCAATACTGCTATACAACTGGACAACATGGTTTCTTGCAGATATTGCAGGAACCTTAACCCCTTTAGAACTCAAGGCAGTTTCGCAATTGCCGGCATCGTCACCTGCGATTTTGGCGTCATAGTTGGCCGTCATAGGGTCCTCCTCGATCTCAGCTTTCGAGCTTTTGAACGATGCCACCACAGCTTTGTATGAAGAAGCACACTCTTTGATAGCATCCCTTGGATCACTCTTGAGCAAATTGTTGATGAATGTTTGGCTGTCTTCTGCATTGGCTATGGCTAACCCGAGAGCCACTTGAGCAAGATCTTTGTAACTGGATGCTGATAGGGCTTGAGGATTGGAGTCCAGAATATTCAGGCATTCTGCGTTGTTTATGGTGTTTTTGCAAACATCATCGATCAGTTGAGTCGATGCATTCGCTAACGAAGAAGAAGAGAGAAATAAAAACAAAGCAAAGAAGAATGCCAAGGCGTAAGAAAGTGGAGACTCCATTGTATGCAAGTAATGTTTCAAAAGATGTTATGGTTATGTTATATACAGTAGTGAGAGTGGTTGGTGCTATTAATGAGACATTATTAGGATTCCCATAACGCGTGCTTACCAAGAATCCAAAGATTTGGAGAATCGACCAATTTAAGTAAAATTTCAAGTCAATTCAGTGAATGCGTGCATATACATGAATAGGAAATTTTTTATATACTGAAAAAACAAAGAGATGCCAAATCCTAATAATTGACTCAATCTAACATTGATTAATATTTGACCCCTCAAAAGAAAAACAATTGACTAATATTTGGCTCTGATGTAGGACGAAATATGGGGTCAACTATGGTGTGAAAAATTATTAAAATAAAGTGGCTTAAATGTTAATTATGGCACTAGGAAAAGAAGGAAGGCATATCGTTGGGATTTTCAAATCGATTAAAGAAGTTAAAGCAATTATGATTATGTCAAGATTTGTATTTAATTTAATGTTTAATTTTATATTTTTAAGAATAAGTTATCTATTAGGATATTATTTTCCTAATATGACTAGGATTTTTATTATTTTCTTGTTAGCTAAGTTAGGAATATTCTAGAACCTAGGGTTTCCTACGATATTAAGGTTTCTTTGTTTTCTATTTAAGCCAACTCATGACGTTGTTTTTTCCAGTTTATTCATTTTATTTTTAATCAATATATTTGAGGTTTACTCAATTTCTCTTATTGTTCGATCTCCCTATCCCTTATATCTCGCTGCATCAGTTGGTATCAGAGCTAGGTTTTGCTTGACTCGAGGTCCTCCAATGGGTCGTCCAGACGAAGAAGATAGGACCTGTGCAGACAAGGAACCAATCACTTTTAGAGAATTTGATGTTGCAGTTGTTCCATACTTCAAGGGGAGTGACTGCATTGATGGCTTTCTCCAATGGATTGTAGGCGTAGAGGAAATATCTGATTCAATAGCAATCCCAGAGGAGAAGATGGTGAAAATTGTTGCGTCCCATTTAGAAGACGATGTCGATCCTTGGTGGGATCAGTTGCGACATTCTAGGAAGCAACAAGGTAAAAATGCTATCAGTTCTTGGCATTGGATGAAGAGACTGCTTGTGAAAAAATTCTTTCCTTTTAATATGATATATATTTGTTAAGAAATGGTTACAAGATTGCTCAACCCAATATCATGGTAAGTCAAGAAAAGATGGAGGAAAATCTCGAAAAGGAAGAAACTGCGATGGATGCTGAATTAATTAAAGATGTAATAATCCACAAGATGGAGGAAGAGATTCAAGAAAAACAAGATATTGAGCCTATTGAAACTCCTATTGTTGTTGAAACATATATTTCAAAAGATGAAGAACAACGATTGGCTTGCTTTGAAATTCGAGGTATGGATAAATCTGATTATTCCATCCAAATATGAGCAAGTCCATACGCCACAAATTGAAGAGCTTATCTACACAACAAGTTCTATGTCTACTTATGTCGCTAGGAAAATAAGGAAGGCGTATCGTTGGAATTTTCAGGTCGATTAAAGAAGTTTGAAGCAATTAAGATTATGCCAAGATTTGTATTTAATTTAATGTTTAATTTTATATTTTTAAGAATAAGTTATCTATTAGGATATTATTTTCCTAATATGATTTTACCTAGGATTTTTATTATTTTCTTGTTAGCTAAGTTTAGGAATATTTTAGAACCTAGGGTTCCTACGATATTAGGGTTTCTTTGTTTTCTATTTCAGTTTATTCATCTTATTTTCAATCCATATATTTGAGATTAACTCAATTTTTCTGGTGGATTATAGTTTGTTGGTGGATTCTGATATTTCTACTTGTAGGGTTATCGTTCGATCTCCCCATCCCTTTTATCTCGTTGCGTCGTGCATGCTAGGGAAATCAAATTTATACGGGAGCATTTTTACTCATCAAATTAACCAAAGTTATTCTCATCTCATCATCACCTTTAACTTTTTTAAAGAAGTTAGAAAAAAAAAAAAAAAAAAAAAAAAATTTAAATTTAAGTAAGGGACCCAGGGCATGCCTCTCTTAATTGAATTCTTTGTGAGAGGATCACCATGTTGTAATGGATTAAAATGGACACATATAGCAGTAATTCAATTATTTTAACACATAAATTAAATAATAATAATTTGTTAGAAAGTAGCGAAGTATGGATAGAAAGTAGCCTTCTATTTGGATGGAGGAAAAGTCGGGAATTGAAGAGGAGAAATTGATATTTCCATTGTTTGGCAAAGTATGGAATTTATTAAATGACGCGCAAAAAAAAATCGTGAAAATTGGGAATCGAGATTAATTTCCACCAAAAAGGCATCATTTTGCAATTTCCATTGAGCAGGAATTCGTTTTTCCTTGTAATTGCTATCATTTACAAAAGAGTGCTGCTAAATGAACCTTAAAATTAACTGAGTAGACCATATGATGTAAGTACACCCTAATATTTTAATCAAAATGAAAAATTAACTAAGTACACCTTAGTAAACTACCAAAAATACCCCCGGTATACCCTAATACACTCTATCACACAATACCCTAATACTAACCCTAAACCAGGTTTCTCTCTATACATGAATTCATGCCATCTTTTCAGATTTGGGTTTGCATCAAAGTCTTTAATTTCATAAACTACTGTCGAAGTAGATTTGCTTATTCAAAGCTTGATTCTTGTAAATCCTTGTGAATTTCTTTATTTATTTCTTATTTTTTGATTGAACTTGTTGCCCTCCATTTGCAAGTTTGCCTTTTCTTTTGTTCTGATGCGTTTCCATTTTGTTCAATGCTTGTGCCTTTTGGTGGTTTTACCTTCCTCTACAGTTGGCTTCATTCGAGAAGGTTAAGGAAGTATTTGAATTCTTCAAAGTCCATCCCAACCCCTCGATAGCGAGAACATTGAAGCAGAGCATTGAGTGGGTACAGATTAACGCCAAGTGGGTTCATGAGATTGTTGGGAGTGAGAAAAATCTTGTCGATTAACGCCAAGTGGGTTCAGAGTGTAGCTAAACCATGAAATGATTTCATTCACAGTCAAGGAAAAGCAGTTTATTAGTTGTAAAAATCAAATTAAGCATCAATTTCTACAAACACAAAACTTGGAGATGGAGAACGAGAAGCAAAAGAAAAAACCATTCCTTACAGAGCACATTGACATGCCTTTCCTTGCGCCCCCACCAGTGCTCGCTGCGTTGTTCGCCGTGGGCACTAAGCAATACGAAAACTTCTCTACCTTTGATTAGGGTTAATATGGTAAGTATAGTATACTTAATAAAATTATATATGTTTCACAATAAATACTTTGGTAGTAGGGTGTTAGTTAATTTTAGGGTTCGTTTATGTAACATCTAGGAAAAAAAAATTATTATTTATTTATTTGAACTTAATTATGTGTTTGAGTGATTTTAGTGCATTGGAGAGTATTTTGAGTCCCTTGAGTGATAGAGAAACTGAATTACAAGAGTTTTGAACTTTCATTATCGGGTTGGGTGGATAGAGCAATTTTTCAAGTGTGGATGTTTACTATTTTGTTTCCATTTTGAGTTTTTTTATGAGTTCCCATGATAGGTATGAACTTTAGAAGAGTTTTCGAAGCTTTAGGGACAATCTAGGAGTGTTAGAATGGTGGAAAACAACTTAAAGGCAAATCTTGAAGTTTGAGTTTTCTGGTTAAGTTTTAGTCCGCGAGCCTCAATTTGGCTATCTTTTTCTCCAAATCTTTCTAGTTATTGAGGAATCCATTAATTGAGTTTAAACGAGAATGGACATCTGATCACATGCCCAACCTCTTATGTACGTTAGTCCTTGGATCTAATCTTGAACGAGCACTCAATCTACTTTAGGGGGGGTTTACAAATGCTTGTGACATGCATGAGCACTGAGCAGCTCGTTCTTGTCCTTTTTCTTGCTTGCTCGATCCTGCTCTACCTGCCAGGGACCTACTGAAATGTTGCCGGTGCATTCATCCATTCTTCTCTCTCCAAGGCCAAGGTTTTAGACTAAGTCAATCTGGTTGAGTAGTTGTCGAACCAAGTTGTTTTGGTCGTCTACTCTTTGAGTCAGCTAGTCAACTCTAACACTGAGATCTGCTTGACAATGTGGATCAGGAAGAGAGAATTATTTGGAGCCCAATTGCACATGGGCTAGGGTTTCGTTAATGGTGTACACAAGAGCGTACGTCAAGCACGGTGGCAAATGAGAGAATGACTGAACTTGTTCCACAACGGAGCCAAAGTTGGCAACGGCGACAAATTGGTCATAAGCAATGATGTTGGGATGCACCATGGTGCTGTCATGGTGGTGAGCCTCCAATCCGGCCATGAGGCTGTTAGGACGGTGGCTGGATCAAGCCGTAAGGCGATGAGGCTAGAATTTTATGGTGTCCATGGGGTCGTGTGCTTGAACCATGGTCTTGGCCATGGAGCCTTGTGGCGGTGCTAGGCTCACTTTGCTAGCGCAATGTGGTGGAGAGGCGGTGATGGCTAGAACCATGGTGGCAGCCACAATTTCGGCAATGGAACGTGGTGGAAGACTCAACACTGCGTCATCATGATGGCTCATACCAGTCGCGGATTGAGTTGTAGCAGCGGCACGGCTTCTCATGTGCATGCTTCCAACCATGGTTGTTTGGAAGGCTTCGATTGAGTGATGAATATGAGGAAACAGACTCTTTTGATTCAAGAACACGCATTGAGTATAACTCGTGCTCTCAATGAAAGCACCAAATATATTTGAGCAAATTTCCACACCAGGAATATTCATGGGTTGATTCCTTGATCTTCGATCGTCCTTCTCTTTCTTCTCCCTTGGTTCCTGTACAACAAATCTAGCTCAACGGACCACACCTGGAGGGTGCTGCCCAAAAGCCCTATGATGCCTAAGTTAGTTCGATTGGATCTTGAAAAAGATACGACAATAGCTAAAGTGGATAGAGTTTTCTCTCATGGAGAGAGCCAGGTGGCTGAAACCATGTGTGGTGGCCGGAGTCGTGTGGGGAGGAGAGAGAGAAAATTTTTGGCTAGGGTTTTTGGATTAAAAAAAAAAAGAATTCCTTGTGTAGCCATGTATTTATACGCTCTTTGTATGTTAGGGTTTTGGGAGAATAATCTTATTTGGTTAGGATTATTCTTATCCAAGAAGATGATAGGAATTAATCCAAGAGATTTGGTGGAAATTGGTTCCTTAATTTAGGGAGATATTCTTGTATTAAATAGGATTTAATTAGGATAATTAGTTCACCTAAGAAATATTCCTTTTCCACATGTCGTGTTCTTATTGGCCCCGCGAAATATGTGTTCCCACAATTATTTTATGATGGAGTTGAGTGTAGGATTTGGGTTAAATATGAAATCTATGATATTCTTAATTATATAATTTTGTAGGATTATTGGTCTTAATAGATGTTGAATTTAAATTTTAATTCTCAAGTGATCAAGTGCCAGTAGTCATTTTTGATATAAGGAGGAGAAGTAGCGCCACAACAGAGTCTGAAAGATCAAACCCAACAGGGTGCTTGGAGCACAAGAAAGACTCCCGAGATTAATTGACAAAAAGAAACACAAAAGACTCTCAGGTTTATAGCAAACAAACCAACAAAAGAAGTACAAAACTTTGACCGAGGGGTTTACCTCAGTGGTGAGGTCCCTCCCCCTCCCCCCCTTGGTCACCACTTCGAATCCCAGGAAAAGTGCCCCCTCCCGAAATCGCTGCATTTAAAAAAACAAAAACAAATAAAGAAGTACAAAACTTTTGTCCTTAATCAAACCTGCAAAATAAGAAAATTGCATGTTCTCCCCTAAAATTACAAATACTGCCGACAAAAAAGACTAGGCAACTTCATAACGTAGCCAGCGCCAATTAGTGTCAGTTCAGAAAAAGGGTGGAGAAGCTGCAGCAAAAGAAACAAAGAAAACAAAAGATGAGCAAAACAATAAGAAAAGGGAGACATCCTGTTGAGAAAATTGTAGACAAAGAAATTTTGGTGCAATAAATTCCATTGGACGAGAAAATAATTAGGGTTCGGTGGATTAAATTATGGGCTCTATAATTCACCCATGTGGCGTGTGACTCATCAAAGTCGGATTAGTTGTCAAAAAGTGACATGTGACGACATCTGACGGAGTGCATCAAACGGTTCAAGATGAAGACAAAATTAAGGGAAAGAATCTTCTGTGATTGACTTTGATTTAAATCAAATATTAATCAGGTCAATCAATTGAAGATAATCTGGTTAAATTGCCAGATTATGGGAATTGATTTAAATCAAATCAAAATCCCACAAAACAAGGTTTTAAATAGGGAAAGTTATTTAGGTCAAGTATCCTACAAGAGCCTATAAATAGGAGGCCTCAAGACGAAAGAAGGGGTTTAGAAAAACCTAGCATTCAGAAGAAGCAGAAAACTCCCTACATTCTTCATCTATACTTTGGAAGAGCCACCAAGCACAACAAATACGTGCCGGTTCCTCCACCCTAGAAAATTCCAAACACCAAACAAGCCTTGTGCTACCCGCTACGTCCCTTGCATCAAATACAAATTTTCTTTATACACTTTGGAGATCGAATCAGAGGATTCAACACAGAGATTGTAACCCTAAATTAAATTAATACAAATATTATTTTGTACACGTGTTCTTGTCTCATTTGTTGTAGGAAATTCGTGTTTACAAATTTGGCACGCCTGGTGGGACAATCTCTACCTCTCATCTCTTTTTTCAGTTCCAAAATCAACCAACACGCCAAAAACTATGGCCTCTAAGAAGATTCAAACCATTCATGCGGGGAAAGGGAAAAGCGTGAGCGCCTCCTTCTCAAGCGGAGATTCAGCTAGGGTCATCACCAGGAGCAAGGCCAAGGCAATATCCGCAACTCCACAGGTAACTTCCATACCGACTCAAGCCAAGGCAAAAGACGTGAACCGAAGGCGTGAACCAGTTATCAATCTGGCCTCCTTAGGGGCAAAGAAGAATATCTCCTGGGCGAATGAGAGAAACTCTCGGAACGAATAAATGAGTTTTTCGGGCTCGAAGAATTCAAGAGAACGTTCCCTCTCGCCTGTTTCAGACACTGACTCGAGCACAGACTCATACCATGGATCCCCGCTTGACAACCAACAAAAGAAGATTGTCTCGGCGTCCATAAGTGAGTCTTATTCTATGGCCATGCAGGTTATGGTGACGGGAGCAATTTCTATTGAAGAACAGCTAGCCCATATGAGCGAAGCGGTCAGGAAACTGACGAAGATGGTCGAAGAGAAGGATGCGCAGATTGCTTCTCTCTTCAACAAGTGGGAAGCGCATCAAGATAAGGAGCCTGGTCAACACGTAAACAAGAAAGGACCACATCATGAGGCTGAATCCAGCGAGAAAGGATTGGGTCATGAAACAGAGTCGAGTGAGAAGTCGCACGGAAAAGTTGACGTCGCCTCTGTGGGTTCTTTGTCGGTCCAACAACTTCAGAACATGATCATGAACACTATCAGGGTTCAATACAGAGCACCTTCCCAAGACATGCTCATGTATTCTAAGCCATACACCAGGAGGATAGACAACTTGCAGATGCCGACAGGATATCAACCTCCCAAATTCCAACAATTCAATGGAAAGGGCAACCCAAAATAGCATGTTGCACATGTCGTTGAAACATGCAACAATGTCGGGACAGAGGGTGACCACCTAGTGAAACAATTTGTTCATTCCTTGAAAGGAAATGCAGTTGATTGGTATACAGACTTGGAGTCCGAATCCCCTGATAGTTGGGATCAGATGGAGCGAGAATTCTTGAACATATTCTATAGCACTCGTCACACTGTGAGTATGATGGAACTCACAAATACCAAGTAATGGAAAGATGAACCTATCATCGATTACATCAATCGGTGGCACTCGTTAAGCCTGGACTGCAAGGATAGGCTTTTGGAGATATTGGCAGTTGAGATGTGCATTCAGGAGATGCATTGGGGGTTGCTCTACATTCTACAAGGAATTAAACCCCGCACGTTTGAGGAGCTAGCCACGTGTGCCCATGATATGGAGTTGAGTATAGCTAGTCGCGAAGGAAAGCATGAACCCGTCATGTAGCAAAGAAAGGAGAAAGTCTTTGGACAAAAGACAGACAATCCCGTCAAGAAGCCTACCAAGGAAGCAATGAAAATAAACAGTATCCCAGTCAAAATCTCCACCCGAGATAAGAAGAACGAAGTCAAAAGGATGGAGCCATCTCGAGAGGTGGATAGACGTCGACGCACTTTGAAGGAGTTAGAGGAAAAAACGTACCCCTTCCTTGACTCCGATGTCGCAGGTATGCTCGAGGACTTACTTGAAAAGAAGGTGATCGAATTGCTAGAATGTAAGCGGCCTAAGGAGATGAATCGAGTCAACGACCCTAAGTTCTGCAAATACCACTGAATTGTCAGCCATCCGGTAGAGAAGTGCTTCGTCGTGAATGAGCTAATTATAAACTTAGTCAGGCAAGGAAGGATTGAGTTAGATATTGTTGAAATCGCATATGCGAATGTTGCCACAATTGTGTTTGGATCCTTCGACCCAGTGCCATTGCCCGTATTGTCAAAAAGATCGGAGTTTCAAGCAACAAGGAACCAACATCAGGTGACTAATCTGTGTACAAAGGAGCTGGCTAGCAAACCAAAAAATTGAGGAGCTAATGGCTTTGTTGGTGACTCATCTTTCGATGACAATGAAGGATGGACGCTCGTTACTCGGCGGAAGTCTCGTACAAAGTGCATTCCTCAAAGACAAAATACTCAATCAAAGAGGGGGCGATGAAAGAGGAGTTCGCACAAACGCTCTAAAAGCAAAACCAAAATAATGGTGAGGAGAGATTCTGACCAAGAAAGTGGACCATTAACCCAAGAACCACGAATTCCAATTATGCTAGGAGAATACTTTCCCAAAGTGTTCTTCGTAAGAGGACCAACGGAGACTGTTCATACGACAACTTGCTATCAAGTAGATGACGAAGATGTCTTGAAAGGAAGATCTGAAACTCATGAAGAGCAAAATGTCTTGACGCAGCCATTGTACTTCAATATTGAGGAAGCGGTGGAACTTCTTGAAGCAATAAGCATAGCCTTGGTAAATGCGTTGATGGATCTTAATATTCATCCAAATAGAATAAGAGAGGCCAAAAAATTAGAACCTGAGTTTCAAGACCGTGCTATCTGTTATGCGACATGTGCTTCCATCACATTCACCAATGAAGATCTTTTGTTAGGGTCCAAACCACACAACTGTCTACTTTTCGTGTCTGGGTATGTGCGAGAACAGAAAATTAGTCGCATGGTCGTGGATGGAGGTTCACTAGTAAACATAATGCCTAAGTCCACAATGACAAAGTTAGGCATCACCATAGACGAATTGTCTCGAAGTCGTCTCATGATTCAAGGCTTCAATCAAAAGGGCAAAGAGCTATGGGCATGATCAGAATTGAGCTCGTGATAGGTGATTTAAGGTCCAACAACTTATTTCACGTGATTGATGCCAAGACTTCCTACAATCTTCTCTTAGGAAGGCCGTGGGTGCATGAAAATGGGATAGTGCCTTCGACTTTACATCAATGTTTCAAATTTTACAGAGGTGGAGTAAAGAAAATCTTGGGTGATGTCAAACCATTTAACGAAGCCGAGTCTTATTTCGCCGATGCCAAGTTTTACATGGATGAAGACATGGTATATGAAGTTATTTATGCTGAGGTCCACTTGACAGGCAAGGCCATACCAAGAAAAGATGAGCAGTCAAAGTGTCTTTCCACTGAAGAGAATGGCGATAATAAGTCAAAAAGCACTGGCTTTGGACAAATGGGATCACCACCGATAGATTCACAGAAGGTATCTATTCTTGTTCTCCGTAATGTTTCATCATCCCGAAGGAAGGAGGGCCAATCCCCATTTGGAGAAGAAGTGAAACCAAGGAAGTTAGGAGAAAGTGACATGAAGTTCTTGAAGGAGTCTACAACCATGCATTTACCCAAGTTGAGCAATTCAGATGTGTCGAAATCTTCAATTCCAGGGTTCGTCAGACCATCACAAGATGCAGCAAGACGTGAATATCTTTCGGTCAAAAGAACTAAAGAAGGTTTTGATCCTAATGCTTATAAGCTCATGTCAAAGGCAGGTTATGACTTCGGCTTATCTTCTTCAGTGGGGGAGCTTAATCCAGATGTCACAGGAGAAAGGACACATGGCCTTAGCAAAACCCAAAAGAAGTTGAAGGAGCAAGGTTACATGATTGACTCAGCTAGAGCAGGCCTAGGTTTTACTCATGTCGCACCTGTCAAGATCTTTGCTAGAAGAAAAGAAAAGAAGGAAGAAGCTCAACACATTAGTGTCGAAGTGGTTGAGGAGGAAGAATAACCAAAGGCTATTAAGAGAGCCTCAATGTTCAACCATTTAGCCAAGCCTACTCAGCGGATCTCAGTTTTTAGCCGCATCAAAGAATCGACATCACGACCTTCTGTGTTCAAAAGGATATATGGACATAAGACTCAAAGGAGAATCCAACCAGCTCCACACAGATTGACGCTAGAAAGACTCGGAGCACTAAGCAAGTCGTTTGAAGAGAAAAGCCAGCGAGAGTTGGAAAGTGGAGTTCGTATTGATTCGACAGAAGATAATGAAATCCGAAGCCTAATCCCGTCATGTATGAAACGTCACTCAACATTAGACATAACTTCAAGTGACCAACTCAAAGTGAAATGACGAACAATCATACAAACTCAGAAAACTTTGAGTCAACAAAATGAAAGTGACGATGAAGAAGCTGAGATTTTAGCTATTCATCACATTACCATTAAAGAGCTCGATGAAGAGGAACCCTTTGAGGATGAGGTTCATGATGCTCCTATGCATTAGAAGATGGGGGCCAAGCAACTGTTGATGAATTAAAAGAGCTCAACTTGGGCACAAATGAAGACCCAAGACCTATCTTCGTTAGTGCACTTTTGAATCCTAGCGAACAAGAATCATACCATCAATTGTTACTTGAGTATAAAGATGTATTTGCTTGGACACATAAGGAGATGCCAGGCCTCGATCCAAAAGTTGCAGTCCATCACCTTGCAGTCAAACCTAGAACGCATCCAATCAAACAAATTCAATGTCGCTTCAGTCCGGAGCTCTTAAGTCAAATTGAAGCCGAAGTCACTGGATTTATTAGGGAGGTGAAATACCCGATGTGGATAGCAAACATTGTTCCGGTGAAGAAGAAAATCACTAAACAAATTCGTATTTGTGTTGACTTCCGAGACTTAAACGAGGCTTTCCCAAAAGATGACTTTCCGTTGCCCATAATTGAGCTCATGGTTGATGCAACCACAGGTCATAAAGCCTTGTCTTTCATGGACGGTTCATTTGGATACAATCAAATAAGAATGTCACTAGAGGACGAAGAACTCACATCCTTCCGCACCCCAAAAGGAATTTACTGTTACAAGGTGATGCCATTTGGCCTCAAGAATGCAGGTGCGACCTATCAATGTGCAATGCAAACGATCTTTGGTGACATGCTTTACAAGAATGTCGAGTGCTACGTTGATGACCTGGTGATTAAGTCAAAAAGAAGAGAAGATCACTTGAAAGACTTGAGAATGGTGTTTAACATATTGCGGAAGTACCAACTCAAGATGAACCCTTTGAAGTGTGCTTTCGGCGTCACGTCAGGTAAATTTCTTGGCTTCATCGTTAAACATCGAGGCATCGAAGTAGACCAGACAAAGATTAAACCTATCCGAGATATGCCCGTGCCATGAAATTTACTTGAGTTGAAAAGTTTACAAGGACATCTCGCGTTTATTTGGCAATTCATCTCAAACTTAGCAGGGAGGTGTCAGCCATTTAGTCGCCTTATGAAAAAAGATGTTCTATTTGTTTGGGATGAAGTTTGTCACAATGACTTTGAAATCATAAAGAAGTACCTATCAAGTTCACCACTGTTAGGAGCTCCTATTCCAGGCAAACCACTCATGTTGTACATTGCGGCTCAAGAGAGGTCAATTGGAGCCCTGTTGGCGCAAGAGAATGAGTCACATAAAGAGCAAGCACTTTATTATCTAAGTCAAACTCTTACTGGTCCTGAACTAAACTACACGCCTATAGAAAAGACATGTCTTGCACTTGTTTTTGCTATTCAAAAGTTTAGGCACTACATGCAAGCGTTCACGGTTTATCTAATTGCACGAGCTGACCCGGTAAGGTACGTTATGTCAAAACCAGTCTTGATGAGGCGTTTGGCCAAGTGGGCGTTACTTCTCAATCAATATGAAATCATCGACACTCCAGCAAAGGCAATTAAGGGGCAAGCTATTGCAGATTTCCTAGCCGATCATCCAATTCCAGCAGACTGGGAAATTTCAGATGACTTACCTGACGAACAAGTTTTCTTCACTAACATTTCTCCTGCTTGGATGATGTTTTTTGACAGATCGGCTCGTAAAGATGGGGCGGGGGCTAGCGTAGTCTTCGTATCACCCGAGAGACACATCTTGCCCTATTCATTCTCTTGAAGTGAACTTTGCTCGAACAACATTGTAGAATACCAGGCTTTGATCATGGGCTTACAAATAGCTGTGGAGATGAAGATATCAAGCTTAGAAGTATATGGTAATTCCATGTTAGTAATCAACCAATTGTTGACCCACGACGAAGTTAGGATGGATGATCTAATTCCGTACCACCAAATGGCCGCGCAATTACTAGAAAGGTTTGACTTTGTGACACTGGAGCATGTGCCAAGAAAAGACAACCAAATGGCATATGCCTTAGCCAACCTTGCCGCTACATTGGCGTTGACAAAAGATGAAGCGGTGAATTTTCCAGTTTGTCAACGTTGGGTCATTCCATTAACACTTGGGGCATTGCAAGAAGGAGTCAACGTTATCTCGGTATTGTCCATTGACGTTGACGACTGGAGGCAACCTTTAATTGATTACCTTGAGCATGGAAAACTGCCAAATGATTCAAGACATCGATCAGAGGTACGACGTCGGGCACCTCGATTCATTTATTATAAAGAGATTCTATACCGTCGTTCATTCGAAGGCCTATTTCTAAGATGCTTAGGCGAAGAAGATGCATCTAAAGCAATGGAGGAGGCTCACTCAGGTATTTGCGGAGCTCATCAATTAGGGCCAAAGCTACATTTCCAAATAAAAAGGATGGGCTACTATTGACCGACGATGGTCAAGGATTGCATGGATTATGTGAAGAAATGCCAAGCATGTCAATTCCATGCCAACTTTATACATCAGCCGCTGGAGCCGCTACATCCTACAACTACTTCATGGCCATTTGATGTGTGGGGTCTTGATGTGGTGGGACCAATAGCACACAAATCTTCTGATGGTCATTCTTACATTCTGGCAGCAGCCGACTACTTTTCAAAATGGGTAGAGGCTGTACCCTTAAAATAAGTAAAGAAAGAAAATGTAGTGAGCTTTATCAAAATAAACATTATTAATCAGTATGGTGTGCCACGTTACATCATCACAGATAATGGAAAGTTATTCTCGAACTGGTTAATGGACAAATTGTGTGAAGACTTTGGTTTCAAACAACGCAACTCTTCAATGTACAATGCCCCAGCCAACGGTCTTGCGGAAGCGTTCAACAAAACTCTTTGCAACCTGTTAAAGAAAGTTGTTTGGAGAACTAAGAGAGATCGGCATGAAAGGATAAATGAAGCATTATGGGCTTATCGGACGACATACCAGACGCCTATTCAGGCTACACCATACTCACTCGTGTAAGGCGTGGAAGCAGTCTTGCCTCTAGAAAGTCAAATTTCATCATTGAGGATGGCCGTACAAGAGGGATTGGCAGATGAAGAGAATGCAAAGCTACGTCTCCAAGAGTTCGAAGCACCAGACGAAAAGAGACTCGAAGCGCAACAACGCCTAGAGTGTTACCAAGCTCGGCTTTCAAATGCTTTTAACAAGAAGGTTCTCCCCAGGTATTTCCAAGTATAAGATCTTGTCCTCGCATTACGTAGACCTATCATCACAACACACAAAACCGGAAGCAAGTTTACTTCAAAATGGGATGGGCCCTACGTAGTACAAGAAGTGTACATAAGTGGCGCTTACAAGATCGTAGCAGAGGACGATTTAAGAGTTGGCCCTATCAACGGAAAGTTCTTGAAACAATACTACGCATGAAATGACACCAAGCACCTGGCCTGCATGACACAAAGTGCCTGGCCTGCATGAAATGACATCATGTTCCTACTATGGCACCAAAAAAAAATTGAAAGGCTCGTTGGATTGAAAACCCGAAAGGGCGATCCAAGCAAAAGTTAGAGCACAAGAAAGTCTATTGAACTGAAAACCCGAAAGGGCGGGTCAAGCAAAAGTTAGGACACACAAAAAAAATTCCTTAAACTACGAGATGACTTGATCCCCTGTTTTAATTACCCATGTAAATTATTTAAGTGAAATTATGAAATTACACTTCATGTAGGGGTAATTTGGTCCTTTATTATTCAAAAGGACTTTGGGACAACAAGTGGTATGGTTACGTGGGTCTTATTGAGATGAGTCCGTACACACGTAGTGGGCTCGAATCGGAGTTGTAACGAGATAGATATGATCAAAATACCCTCAGTGGCATTACCGTAAATATTGCGAAAAGGGTTTGATAAAAGTCATAAAAGCCCTCACCCCTCTCTCTCTCTCTCTCTCTCTCTCTCTCTCTCTCTCTCTCTCTCCTCCGCCACTCTCTCTCTTTTCGAAACTCCGGCCACCGGCCACGGCTACGGACAGGACCGGTGCAAAAGGACTGGCTCAGCCTCGGTGTCACGACCCGACCCTTCCCCAACATTGGCCACCGCTCCAGCCGCAGGAAAGTGTGGTTTTTAGGCCAGTTTTTGCTCAAAACTTCGCCAGCTTCGATCTCTCTCCTCCGGTCGCCATTTTTGGCGATCAAGGTATGGAAATTCATCATTTCTTCATGATCAAGCTGATGGTTGGGTAGGATTGCATCAATTTTTAGCCTAGGATGTCTGATCTTTGAATTGGATTCCGGCCAGGTTTCGGGATGAGATTCCGGCCACTTCCGGTCAGTTTTTGGAGTAGGTCCAAGAATAAAAGTGGTTCCAAATAGGGTGTTTCACCTAGAGTAGGAGTCTTGAGCTGTGATTTGGAGTTTTTCCAGTAATGGGTTATCGCTTCTGACACCCACACGCTGCCTGCGCGTGGGCACTGTAGAAAAAGGGCATTGTGTTCCGATGTAATCTCCTGGTCCTCACGAGTGCGTAGGTGTGCTCGGATTTCTATTTGGATACCATTTGAGTCTCGAACGGATATCGCCTATTACGCATTATCCGGGTTTGATAGGTTTGGAGCGTTGGTTGGTCTTGAATGTATTATATGTTAACCTGGACGTCCTTAGGATCGTGCAGGATTCAACGGATCGTAAAATGGAGTCCCGGATACTCTGGAAATGCCAACCCTAGGGCTAAGGTTACAGTAACCTTCTGATCATGCGATCGTGAGTGATCTGACCGTCCGATCTGGACCAAACTTGCAGGACGTGTGTCCTAAGCCTTGTAGAACATAGAGGAACTTTCGAATCGGAGAACAGGGGTCGTAGGCCTCGTGGGCCCGTTTGACCAAGTTCGGGTAGTTTGACCCTTGGTTGACCGTGAGTCTTCCGAGGTAGTTTGACCGTGACCCTCGTGACAGGTCTTAAGCGTTGTTGAGTTATGTTGATTATGTGGGATTAGGATATTGATTTATTGTGTTAAAGTGAGAGACTGTCGGTTGCTATATTGTGGTTGAGGTTTTTGCAATGGAGGAAATTATATATATATATATATATATTATAAAGATGTTTGATTACACGGTGTAAGTACCATTTTGTGATATGATTGTGAGGTCCCACGTGTCATAGGATTTTCCAGCGTGCGAACAGACCCCATATGTGGCGTTGTTAGTACCGACATATGGGGAGATATTGTGATATGCTTGAGAGGTCGCACGTGTCGTAGGAGTAACCGGCGTGTTGACAAACCCCATACGTGGCGTTGGTAGTACCGACGTATGGGGAGATATTGTGATATGCTTGTGAGGTCGCACGTGTCGTAGGAGTAACCGGCGTGTTGATAGACCCCATACGTGGCATTGGTAGTACTGGCGTATGGGGAGATATTTTGATATGCTCGAGAGGTCACATGTGTCGTAGGAGTAGCCGGCGTGTTGACAGACCCCATACGTGGCGTTGGTAGTATCGGCGTATGGGGAGATATTTTGATATGCTTGAGAGGTTGCACATATCGTAGAAGTAACCGGTGTGTTGACAGACCCCGTACGTGGCGTTGGTAGTACCGGCGTATGGGGACATATTGTGAATGCTTGAGAGGTCGCACGTGTCATAGGAGTAGCCGGCGTGTTAACAGACCCCATATGTGGCGTTGGTAGTGCCAGCATATGGGAACATATTGTGATATGATGATGAGGTCCCACATATCGTAGGATTATCCGGCGTGCGGACAGGCCCCATATGTGGCTTTGGATGTTCCGGCGTATGGGGAGATTTTGTGAGTATTTGGGAGATAAATTAAAGATTGTGATTGGTGAGTTGTGATTTAAAGAAAAAGGGTTTTAAGAAAGAACTACATGTGAATTGATCCCTTAGTAAGGGTACGCAGGCAGCCTAGGGTAGTGCCTAGGTGCAGCCGCGGGCTAAACTTTGCTCATGTTGTTTTATTGAGATTGGTTCAGACCTCGTCGTTGGTCCTGAAATTTGGGTGAAAACCATATGTGACTGTGTTAGGAGGTTAAAACCTTGTAGGTTGGTTATTTGGGAAGTTATTCTATGTTGATTACAGTAGGCGTTCATAAATAAGTTTGAGTTTATTTTGTGCATTAATTTAATTTAATAACATTGCTGGCATTTCCGTTTTGAATTATTTGAAGGTCGAAGGCCATTAATGTGAATTGCATGTTGTTACGTTGTGCATGCTGCCAGTTGGGTTATATCAAATGTATTTTATGCAGGGAAATGTTCAATTTATAGGGGAGACTCTGTCGAATTTTTGGTAGAAAGTCTCACGCCCTTACTCCTTTTAAGGAAAAGAGGATATAGTTTCAGAAGTGGGCCTTAATCAATTATGTCGGGAATTCCATAGGATTCGCCTCGAGTTCCGAGAAATTTGGGGCGGGTCCTATCATCCCTTTTCACCGTGGGTATAGGCAGCTTGGACAAATAATTCCAAGTTCAATCACATCAAAACAAAAAGAAAGGGTTTCCCGCATCAATTCGAGCCATTCGAAAGAAATAATGAAATAAGAAAATGCTTTTATTTCATTATGAAAGTTGACTAACAAACGTCAACACTTTGACAAGTTCAAAGAGAAATATAAATAAAGCCAAGAAAGTTTACAACAATAGAATTTGTTATTCCCAAGACAAGTCCTTAAAGCAGTTACACTGTCTCTCAAAAGAAACTCATAATGTATCTAAAGTCTCGACATCTGCAGCAGATAGTACAGGAGCTCCTTCAATCGCAATCTTATCCTCTCTCAAGCGGGTAACCTCACGAAAATGATAAGAAAGCTGTACATCACTCTTTGAAAGTGATTTATTTAGTTGATGCAGTCTCAACTCCAATTGTTCTTGTTCTCTCTTCAACTCCTCTATGCTCATGTTGGCAGATTGAATACAATCAAGTACAGAAAACTGATGAGTCTCTTCAGCTTGTTGCAAAGCCAAGGCAATAGAAAGTGAAGAGTCAACTGCAGCTAAACGATCACTCTGAGCCTCGGGAGATAGCTTTTGGGTGTAAGTAGAGTGTGCAGAATGATAGTCAACCGTGGTTACCATAAGTGCATCGATCATGCCTTGTAAAGATGAGACGTCCGCCCCCACATTGTCAAGGATAGTCAACAATTTGCCAAGCTCATCTTTGAATGAAGGAAGCCTTTCTAATGCAGCCTTCAAGATTATACTTTTTATTTTGGTTTCCTAAAACGGAGATTACTTTGCGAAGGGTTTTGTCCGCAACACCTAATTTGGGTTCCCCACATGACATTTCATAAGTTGATGCATGATTAGCCGGCTTTAATAAATGTGGCTGTGCAAACGAACCTATATTGGCCGACGAGTAATTGTTAAGCAAGTAGACTCAAAGATTTTTAAACACTAAGCATGATAAAGATTGGAAGCATACCTCTTAGACTAGCACCTGAACCACTTATCGGGTGCAAAGTATCATTTTCTCGTTCGATAGGCAAATGGTTGAATGGCACGAGCTCGGACATAGTAGGAACATGATGTACTACTTCTCCCTAAAATGTATATAATAAATTAGAATTGGTTGTTATAAAAATAAAAAAATAATTAAAAAAAAAGAGCTCAAAGAGAAGTAAAGTACATACCTCGTTCATTAGAACTGGTTGTGAAATAGCGGGTACATCACAGAAGAATGTGTCATCAAGTGGGTATGCCGTGTCCAGATCGCAATAAAGAGGTTCACGCTTGTCTTCTTATGCCTAAAGTTGAGTTCACTGTCTTCATTGCTACTTATATGCCCTCGCTTCAAACGGCGAATTCGTCGACCAAGAGGAATGAAATCTTCATGGGAATCTGCTACACTTTCTGTTTCTCCTTTATCATTAGGGACTTGAGTTGAAGGAACATCAATCAGAGATGGGTGTTGAACTCGAGGCACAGGAGTAGTAGAACTACCTTCAACTTCTGGATGAACTCGGAGCGCTCTACCACGGGTGAGTTTATCATGAACTAAAGTTTCGTTGCCTTGAGACTTAAAAGATTTTGGCTGAGAAAGCGACGACGACTTGCCTACAGTTGAGACTGTCTTTGATTTTGTCGATTCAAAGCGATGCACCTTTGACCACCAAATAACATAATCAGATGTGATCTCAAACTCCCAAATATTGTCCTTAGTGGGTATAGGGTTATTGTAGATGCATTGCCAATCTTCAAGCATGATTTCCAATGTGAGTACACTGATAGCACAGTTCTATTCCGGACGTCATCTTTAAGTTCTCCTAGCACATGTTGTACATAACAAAATTGTCTACTGAACCGGTGCGGGCTATAAGGTTAAATGACTCGGTAGTTTTTCTGTCGTAGAGAAACGAATCTTGAACGAAGACATATCAAATACTCAAAGTCTTCTTTAGAAATATGATCTTCATCAGTCAGTTGTTTGCATTCTGAAAATACTCTTGCCAGATGAATCATTTTCACTTTACCACAACTCTGGAACAAAGCTCAAGCTATTGAATCTTCAAAAAATTTCGCCAAAAGTCTTCCTAAGAACCTTGCCATGATAGGAATGGACTTCTCGGAAGATGATGTAAAATGTGTGTCGAAGTATTCGCCCAACCACCCATACACATAATGGAAAGGTAGAACAATTGTGCAATTTCCTAGATCATTTGCACTAGAAATATCGTTCAGCCCCTAGTAAATGCTAGCCAATACTGGAACTGCTAGGCCAAATGATACACCGTGCGCCATTTGACTGGCAACTTTGAAAACCCCGGGTATGATCAAAGTTACGTCGTCTTTAGGAAATACAAATTTGCACAACCAACAAGTAAGGAATGCAGCCAAGTAGGATTTTTCCATGTTTTCATCAGCTATACCCAAATCTTCAAAAACCCCTTCCTCTTCCTCAGTGCGTTTCAGTGTCCTCGAAATGATACCAGATGGATCAGAGTCCTCCTTTGGCTTTTTTGACTTGTTCTGTATGGTTTTCCTTGAAGGCTTTTTATACTTGAATGGCCCTCGATACCAGTACTTTATCTAAATAGTTATTCTCACTCCAGATTTTCCTTTAGAATCCCGTAAAATCTTGTGATACGCTAAGAATAAGTAGCGACAAATGTGTGGGATATAAGACACGCCTTTATGATCCTTCATGTTGAGACTCTCAGTGGCTGGAATAACTTCATCATAAAATCGACCTGTAATAGTGAGACCGCCAATTTCATGAAGATCCCAAAGGGAAATAGACATCTCTCCTTGCGACGTATGAAGAGTATTTGTTGCAAGACACCAGTACTCGCGAAAGGCTCTAATGACTGGAGCATGTCGATCATAGCTAAATAATGAGGCAAATACTGCATTATATAGACCGATGCTCTTAAGAACCTGAGTATTTCTACTTAGCACATCTTCAAGCCACTCCTAGTAATACTCAGTAAATGTAGATTCACCAGCCGTCGGGAGAGCAGAACTCCAATTCACTACTCCATTATGGATTCGATCGCTAAGAAGTTCGAATGCCTTTGATGAATTGGTATATGTATGATGCGAGGACTTTAACTGTAAAACAGTGGAGTGAAGGTCCCTATCTGTAGACTTGGATTTTTTGAAGCTACTCATTTGACAAAACACCTCTTGAGACTAAGACGGAATATCAAGAGAATTGTCCACCTCGGATACTTCCGAAGCTAGGAGAGGCACACCTACAAGTAATGTGGTACCTTCGTCCCGGTTATCACTTTCATCCTCAATAATAGTGACGGTGCCCAAGGATTAAAATATCGGCCGTGTAGATAATATCGGGCCTCCAATTTATGGATATTTCGAGGGATATATCGTTATCGTTTTGGGTGTCGGGAAAAAATCAACAAAAATGACAGATATAGGCATTGAAACACATAATTTTGGTGTAAAACTTTCATAGATGTTATGTACATTGTCAATGAATGTATTGAACAAATAAAACTCAAAATTTACTAATAATAAGATATATATATGATGAAATATAAGTGGTATGTAATACGCGTTAATGAAAAGTTTGAAAATAAAAAGTTGATTAGAATGAATAAACCATGCATAAATCCATAGTTTATTTGAACATTGGATTACAATTTAGATGAGTGTCCAACTACATAAATGAAGAGCTCCTATGAGGTTCAAACAATGTGGAACAACCATCTAGATTCATACAATAATCATACCAAGTCATGTAACCCGAGTAGTTTGTAAGCCATGTTTGAACATGGTGCACATATGTCTCTCTTGCGCTCCCTACTGTCCTCCCATAAATGGGATAGTTAGGATTAACCCAACTAGTAGGTCCATAATCTGTTTCATCATCTTGAGCTCCATATATAGTTCCACTATAATCAGACATGACATAACCATAGCCATCATAAGATTCATTTGAGTTAGTACTAGGTCTAGATTCTTTTGATGCATACTCTAAAACATGCATACTCCAAAACATATTTTGAATTGAATATTGCCAAAAGCCTTCACACATATATCTAATCACTGCACATATACCTCCAAAAAATCTTTTCAATTTCAATTTGCTTCAAAACTTTTGAATTTTTTTGGGTTTTGTTATGGGTATCGGGAATATCGGCAAAATATCGGGGATATCGCACTTATCGGGGATATATCGTCGATATCGGGGAAGATATGGCCTTACCCCCCAATATCGGCGTCGACAGTTCAAAATATCGATATATCGGCCGATATATCGGTGTATCGGCCGATATTTCAATCCTTGACGGTGCCTTTCTTGAAGCACTTGAAGAAGGCCATCTTCATAAGACGAACGACATGAAACAATATTCAGTATCAGGCTGGTGACTTCACACTTAAAAAATAAATAAATAATAAATAATAAAAAAAAAACCTTGCTTGTACAAGTTTGAAGAGCAGGATAAAGGTAGAATGTCTTGAGAAACAATTTTCACTTGTCTTCCACCTACGTAAAGCCTAAGCGCTTGAGCGAGTTATCACCAAGTCAGAGAGATTGATCAAACCCAAGTGGTATAGGACGTCTACATTCTTCACTTGTCCTTCACTTACGTAAAGCCTAAGTGCTTGAGCGGGTTATCACCAAGTCGGAGAGATGGATCAAACCCAAGCAGTATAGGACGTCTACATTCTTCACTTGTCCTCCACTTACGTAAAGCCTAAGTGCTTGAGCGGGTTATCACCAAGTCGGAGAGATGCATCAATCCCAAGCGTTATAGGATGTCTACGTTCTTCACTCGTCCTCCACTTACGTAAAGCCTAAGCGCTTGAGGGGGTTATCACCAAATCGGAGAGATGGATCAAACCCAAGCGGTATAGGACGTCTACGTTCTTCACTCATCCTCCACTTACGTAAAGCCTAAGTGCTTGAGCGGGTTATCACCAAGTCGGAGAGATGGATCAAACCCAAGCGGTATAGGACGTCTACGTTCTTCACTCGTCCTCCACTTACGTAAAGCCTAAGCGCTTGAGCAGGTTATTACCATGTCGGAGAGATGGATCAAACCCAAGCGGTATGGGACGTCCACGTTCTTCACTTTCTTTCAAAGTACCTATTGTAAAAATATATATATATATAATATATCATCATAAATATATAAATTGATTGAAAGAGTGATAGCATGTGCAAAAAAAAAAAAAAAAAAAAAAAAAAGGTTATTTCTTGCTGTTTGGACCAGCACAAGCTAAAGGGGGCAGCCCAGCCTGCACACTTCTCGAGCCTAGCCAGCACGCAGCCCAGTCTACCCACTCCTCCAAGCCCAACCAGCGCCCAAAGTCCAGCGCATGCCCCAGTGAGCAAGCCCACGCTTGCAGGCTCCGGCCTAGCTAGTGTTCAGCACACAGCCCAGTTCGAGTTTCAACCTGCTCCAAGCCTAGGCCCGTGCCGCATCACGTCCCCATTCAGCTCCAGCGCAAGCCCACATCTCACCAAGGCCCAGCGCTGCCTCTCCTAGGGCGAGCCCACGTCGCACACCAAGGCCAGCACCTCCAAGCTTCCACTTCGGGCCCAGCCCCTCCTTTAAAAAACAAAAAAAAACAAAAAAAGCTAACGCAAGAACATGATGAAACAAAGAATGGGTTCAAACTTACCGACAAGTTTCTTGATAGACCAACAGGTGGGTTCTTGCGGTTGGAGAAAAAAAATATCAACATCAGTTTTCTTTTTCAACTGGCGGCAAATAGGCATATATATAAGAATCAAACACTGAAGAAGAAAAAAAAAGACAACTCTCACCACTTTGGTTATTGAGAATTCAGATGATGCAAACTTCAAAGTCGTATACTTTCTTGCCAACAAGTGGAGTCTTTGCTGTTCTATTCGGTTAATCTCAATATCCATTAGAGTAGAGCAATTTAAAAGAAGCCAAATGCCATTAAAGCTCCTGATGGTGCTAGGGTTTCTTATTCCTAGTTTAGGAAAATATTGGATTTTGTATCTTACTTCCCAAGATCTTACCAATATTGGATATTATTACGCTTAATAATATCACCCAAAAAAAATAAAACAAATAAAAACGTTGAAAGTAGAAAGCCAACGTTGGAAATAGAGTGATCAATATGGAATGTTATTAAGATTAATAATATTACTTCCAAAAACAAAACAAAAACAAAAACAAAAAAAAACAAAAAAAAAAGGTAACTTTCAAACCTCCACGTTGGAAGCAATCCAAATTATTGGAAAGAACGAAGGAGTAACACTTCAAGCTACACCTCCTACATGTGATAAGCACATATCTACAGTGCATCATGAAGTGGGGGCAATTTGTAGAGAAAGAAATTTTGGTGCAATAAATTCCATTGGACGAGATAATAATTAGGATTCGGTGGATTAAATTGTGGGCCCCATAATTCGCCCATGTGGCGTGTGACTCATCAAAGTCGGATTAGTTGTCAAAAAGTGACACGTGGCGACATCCGACAGAGTGCATCAAACGGTTCAAGATGAAGACAAAATTAAGGGAAAAAATCTTCTGTGATTGACTTTGATTTAAATCAAATATTAATCAGGTGAATCAATTGAAGATAATATGGTTAAATTGCCAAATTATGGGAATTGATTTAAATCAAATCAAAATCCCACAAAACAAGGTTTTAAATAGGGAAAGTTATTGAGGTCAAGCATCCTACAAGAGCCTATAAATAGGAGACCTCAAGACGAAAGAAGGGGTTCAGAAAAACCTAGCATTCAGAAGAAGCAGAAAACTCCCTGCATTCTTCACCTACACTTTGGAAGAGCCACCAAGCACAACAAATAAGTGCCGGTTCCTCCACCCTAGAAAATTCCAAACACCAAATAAGCCTTGTGCTACCCGTTTGATAAAGATCAAGTCTCTACGACCCTTGCATCAAACACAAATTTTCTTTATACACTTTGGAGATTAAATCAGAGGATTTAATACAGAGATTGTAACCCTAAATTTCATTAATACAAATATTATTTTGTACACGTGTTCTTGTCTCATTTATCGCAGGAAATTTGTGTTTACAAAAATAAATAGAAAAAAAAACTATACAATTGCAGAGACTTTTTAGAAAAAGAAGAGAGAAGAGATAAAATACATGTGCAATAGGGTGGAGAAGCTGAGAGAAAGAAGGAAAAAATACTGCAAAATAGTAAAACTGTAGGAAAGTGGGGGCGTAAGTTTCCTGTCAGTTCAATTAGGGTTATTTTTCTCTTTGTTAATTATGAGAAAATTGGGTTATGTTTTAAGGATGATGTGTCAACTTAAAGTACCGTGGATAAAATTTCAATGGGGTGGCGTATCCAAAATAGAAATCAAGCAGATCATGGCAGAGAAAAAACAAGCAGGATCTGGATCCCTGTTTTAGAATAGTGATCTACTTCTATGAACTGTGTATTTTTGTGCATGTTCGAAGAATATTGACCTTCGTATATATATATACCTATATCCCATCACTTCATCATTATGATTTTTACTTTTTATTTCCCTTACACGAAAGTGAAGTTACAGTTCCACCTCTTGGCTATTTCACCTTTGAACGAGACACAATGAAGAATGACAGAGCAAGGCAAATGCACAAGCTATAGGGATGACTACCTTTATGGCAACTGGTCGTTGAGATGAACGAGACTTTCTGCGGATGCATGCACAATTTTGGGAGGTCGCCACATAGCCTATCGTTGACAATAATTGAGAGATCACTTGCATTTGAAAATATCCCTTCTTTATAAGAAAGATTGAGATGATTAAGCAATGTAAACTTGCCAAGAAATTCAGTTATCTCTCCAGATAAGTTGTTGCACGAAATATCTATTTCTTCCAAACTTCTCAAACTTCGAATAGATTGAGGAATTGTTCCTTCAAAATCATTACCTTCCAAATATATGGGCTCCAACATAATACAACTACCAAGAGTTGTGGGGGTTTCATCTGATAACTTATTTCCGATAAATCTAGTTCCACAAGGATTTACCAAATCAAACACTTTATATGGTGACGAACCAGTCAAAGAATTGTTCCCAAATAAAGTGGAAGGGATGAAATTCCGAGAATCTCTCCAGGTATATATGGTGCCTGTTAGGTTGTTATTAGAAAGGTCAAGTGCAAATAGACTTTGGCAGTTTCCAAGACTTGGAGGTATACTTCCCTCAAACCTAGTCCCGCTTACGAACAACTTTCTTAATGAAGTCAAGTTACCTTGAGAGGACGGTGTCGGCCCAGAAAATTTGTTTTCATTCAAGTACAGTTCCTGTAACTTTTGAAGCTTCCCAATTCCATCAGGGACACTACCACTGAAGTAGTTTTTTTCCATTCCAATATGGGTCAAGTTTACTAGGTTTCCAATGCCTTCAGGGATGCTTCTGTGTATCAAATTTCAGATTTTAGTTGTGTAGAAAGGTTGGCTATGAACTTGGAATTTCTCCTCCAAAATGGTTAGTGTCCATACCAAAGTCCTCTAGGCTAGTACAATTAGCCAAAAAGCTGAGAAAGTTCCAGTCGCCAGTTGTTCCACTTCCCAGTCTATTGCGACTAGAGTTTATGGAAACTAAGCTTCGCAAGCTTCCAAGATTTTCAGCAGGGAGTGTCCCGGTGAGACCATTTTCAGCTAGATTAAGCATCCGAAGTCTAGAAGAATTTGATAATGACGCAGGAATAGTTCCAGTGAATTTGTTGCCACCACAGTAAAATTCTTCGAGATTAGGAAGATTAATGCGGACATTTGGTGGTAGCTCTCCGTGCAGTTGATTCTGAGCAACACTGAAATAGTATATGGAAGAAATGTTATAGATTGAAGAAAGGACATTACTTTTGGAACTGTAGTGTGAGCTTGTAACTAAGCAGGGCATTAGAGTGATTGGTTGGTTGATGGAAACCTTCTCAGGTGAGGTATAGTGGTCTTGGGCTATTCAACTTGGCATTGGTGAGTGAAGTCACACAAAGCACACCTCCTACTCTCGGGGTTAGTAGTGTTAATCTATATAGGCTGCACATTTAAAACACTAACCTTGATCGTGAGCCATTGAGTGATGCCATGATAGTTGAACAGAGAGTAACCAAGTTCTTCTACTCAAAATGACCCTTTAATCTATTATTCTAGATGGGGTTTTGAATGCCTTTTGCTGCTATGATCATCTGAGCAGGGACTTGATATTTATATGCATTAGCTCAAGATTCCTAGCCCATCAAGGAATACAAGAGCTATCCTAATTGCAGTGATATAAGGTGTTCTAATTGATTACATATAAGGAATATGTTAAAACAAGGATTTGTGTAAAACACAACTTCCCTTAGAACCAAACACCAATTCTAATCAAGTTCTTAATCAATACAAAGACCTAGATCTCTTATGATGATTAGAAGACCACATTAAATTGGTTTAAGACATAAAATATCCAACAAGTAGGGTCTGCTAACCATAAAGGGTGGGTAGCAAAAGAAGGGACATTACCAGACAGATTATTATCTGAAAGTGAGAATTTCTCTCAGCTTGACAGACGTCCGAGCTCATTGGGTATGCTTCCATGAAAATTGTTTCCGATAAGATGAAGATTATTCAAAGAAGAACAGTTTCCTATCCAACCTGGGATTGCTCCAATGAGATTGTTAGCAGAAATGGATACATAATTCAAATTTAACAAACGACCCATTTCTTGAGGAATTTCACCATGAAAGCTGTTGGTGCCTAGGTTAATTCCTTTTAGATGAGTAAGATTCCCAATAGAAGGTGGTAAGGAGCCTACAAACTAAGGTTCACAATGAAGACTCTTTTGGTGGAATGGTTGCATGTAACGCCAACCCAACCGCATAAATCAATGGAATCATTCCATGAGCTCACGACATGAAGAGGATCTTGAGTGGTTCTTTTCCTCAAGTCCAGCAGCGCCAGGCGATCAATTTCATTTCCAAAAGTATTGCCACTGGGTAGCTTTGCAGACGCCAGAGGTATGCTCATGCATAAAAGAATGAACCCATGAAGGAATGTAAACAAAACCAGCCTGACATGAGTACTTTGTGAATGCTCCATATATCCTGTTCTAACAAAATACAGAGAAACTCAAGACCAAGTGCTGGCATCTTTCGCTTTCTATTTCCCACTTGTGGGCTTTCTTTTAATGAAATAATTAGGGCTTTCTATCTGCAGGCCTTAACCCACTGTGGTGAGCAAAGTCATAATACCAAGCCAGATACTGCAACTCCCTAATGTTTTTAAAAATGCACTGCCTGAGAAAATATCAGAAATTTTGGATCAATCAACTAGTAAAGAGATCTCAATGCATGAATACTGAAAACTTTATTTGTGTTCATATTTTAATACATCAAAACATGAATTTCACCAAATTGTACACATACATACAGAACATAGAGAATTTGCTGAAATCCAGACATTGTATTTAGACCCGTTAGAAGGGAAGGGGAAAAAAAACAAAAAAAAGAATCAGTTATTGTTTGTGACCACACACTCTGAACCATTCTTACATTCATATGCAGAAGGCCCAACTAAAGCTTAGGAGTTGGGAAGGATAAGAGCAGCTAAGAATTCTTGCAAGCTTAATGGAAGATAGAATTTGTAAAAAGTGGACAGAAAACTAAACCAGCAAGGCTGACAGCATGCAGTGTTCAGCAGAAGTTAAAAAATTAAAGACTGGTAGTCCACTAATAAACGTTAAAATCCAAAAGATCTGCAGCAGTTTATAACTAGTTTAAAATCCATTAAAATCTCAATTGAAAACTTACGCACTGCGCTAGCTTCCTACTTCCTACAGGCACACAAATTCTATTCCTTTGGGCACCCTTCTTTTAAAGTACTTCCTAGCGCGATCTCTTACAGTTTCTTGCCACTTCAGTATTTGGTCTTTCATTATTCTGTAGTTGAGGCTCTGTAGAAGCCAGGTCTGGACAGGATTAACAACAATTTTCTCCAGATTTACAGCAGTCTTTGTCAAGTAACGAACCAGCGCAAAATCACTTGTGCGACCAACATACCCTACCATTTCCACAACCTTGAGGAAATTATGGGAGAATTTCGGGGCTCTCGCAAAACTTTTCAACGGACCTTCGTAGTGCATCTGCATCAAACCAAAAACTTTTTAGTCTATGTAACAAGAACCAAGACTATAACAAATAGAAGTGAGAAATTCTCTCAGAATATGAAACAATACAGATGGGCTCAAAACAATCTAAACATATAGATATTAAAAACATTGAAACTCATAAATATTTATCTCAATGGACAGTTGAACCAACTTCTATTTGGCATTGATGTTACATCAAAATCTTCCATGTCTTCAATGAAGTCAAGGTTGCTATTAGGATCCTCTTTTTGTCTTCTTCAGCATTGGTAATGGAGTGAATAGAGGATGAAGATTGTATTCTCCCTAATTTAAATTTATTCTCTCAGCAAAAGTAAAGGACAGCAGGGGCGGCCCTAAAAAATTTCTTCATAAAATGGCAATAAGGAGTTTGAACCCATGACCAAGTAAACAACTTTACCATAAAATACCACTAGGCTATACATGTCTTCATGAAAAATACTTGTGTTCATTAATTTTATTATCAAAAGTCCAAATCCATCAGCCAATCACATAAAAAAATTACTAAGAATAATTTCTTAATCTAAGAATATACACATACCTGCAACACAAGTTTGTGCAAGTAAGGGCATGCCTGAAGGAAGTAAGTTAGGTTAACAAGAGCGAAAGCATCATCTCCCTCAAATATTAAACCCAAATGCCTGAGATTTGGCATTGTAGGAAATATACGATCGCACCTGAACAACTGAAGACAAAGAAAAGTAACATAATCCGAAAAACATATATTTTAAAAGAAAAGAAAACTAACTCAAAATAATAACATAATACTAACCACATTGTAAGTCAACTTGAGAGTCTCTAGCTGAGAAAGACAGTATGAAAGTTGGGTGAAGACAACCTCAAAGAAAAGATTGTTGGGCTCACAAATTGATACGTCAACAAGACGAGGTACATTCTTGATAAGCAAGTTTATAATTTTATGTCCAGCATAAGTAAATGAAACAAGGTTTGCATCACGAATCTCAATGCTCTCCATCATGAAACATTCCCGGATCTCTAAGTACTTCAAGGCAATTGATGTACCGACAATTCTTAGACGAGACACATATCGGGAATTATAGACTGATAATCGTTCAAGTACTGGACAATTGGACAAGAAGTACTGGAGAACTTCTTCTGCAACATCAACATTTTTGAAACAAAGATCTTTGAGGGACTTAAAGCCAGTGTACATGCAAGGGTCTAGATTTGGAACCTCAAATGCAGACCCTTGTTTGAAACCAAAAACTTGGTGGGGAAACAAAGTATAGCTCTGGTGAAAACCATATTCTAGGAAGTCAATGTCAAGCATTTGAACTCCCTTTTTCATTGCAAATCGGATCCATTTATCAATGGAACTTGATGAACGTTTATCGAGATGAAAGCTAACTCTGAATTGTTCGACTTTAGGGCCTCTGTGTTGTTCCACCACGCTATTGACCCAATTGACATACCTGAGGTTTGCCAACTCTTGGGCTTTTCCTCCTGGTGGCCTGGCCGTACGGCATAAAGTGTCCTCATCATCAAAGTTGAGATTCATAGTAGACGTCCACAGATGCTGCCATTGCCTAGAAAGGATACTAGTTGATGCTGCTTCCTTTAGTGACAAGAGAGACAATATAGTGACAAGAATTTCATGGGGTAAATAACTGATTCGGTCCACCAAGTTGTCATGAGTAGTTTTCCTTCTCTTTCTCAAGTTGTAACGACCCTTCACCAAAGAAAAAAGATATAGCAATTTTCACAAGAAAAGGTTGAGCAGGACTAGGATTAAATACCAGGCAAGATAACCCATTCTCTTACTATTGGGTTTGAACGAGGAAAATAAACCCATAATTTAGACCATAATTTTTTAATTTACATACACCAATTCTCCTATTTAGATTCATAAAAACAAATATAATTTCATTTTTTTTTTTTTTTTTTTTTTTTTTTTTTTTTTTTTTTTTAAATAAAAACTTATTAGAAAAATATTTTATAATAATAAATAATTAAATTTAAATTTCAATATATAAATACTTTTCATTTCTAGAATTCTAATAGAGTGAGAGAATTAGAAAGAAAACCAGCACCACCTCAATGTACTACCACCACCTTGTCATGGTCATCATCACCACTGCCCCAGCACTATTACTAGCGCCATCACCTCATCCCGTCAACATCACTGCCACAACCAATTCCACCCCCTTTGTACCACCACCTTACCACTAACTAGAAACCCCGCCACCAACATTAGACATGATGGCACTGCCAACAAGTACAATTAATGTATCTACCCACCACAACTACTTATTTATAGATTGATGCCACTAAAAAGATAATCATGTAAGCGCCATTATACTTTTAGATTAACCAAACAACCATCTTCACAAATTTAAGATCATTAAATCCAATCATTTTTGAATTTCTTAGTATTCCTAAATTTCCTCATCCAAACGCATGATTAAATTGTTAATTTTTATTCCCAAAATGAAGAACAATAATGTTTACAACAAAGACAAAAAAGGATATCATGTTGATGACTTTACCTCTCTCGATTCGACCATTTTGAATGAGAAATAGGTAAAGACTGATTTACGAGAGAAGACGATGTGATCTAGACAAGACTCAAACTCCTCATCCACGCCTCCGTCCAGCACTAGTTTGGTTCGCCAACAGGTTCTAGGGCCTAGACCGCCTCTTAACTTGATTCGTTTTGGCTAGGGCACCCAAATCAGCTATATATTTGATGCAGGTTTTCTGTAATGTTAAATCTAATGGAAAATGTATCGTCATTAATGTATAAAGGCTTTTTATTACAAATAGTTCATGAGGTTTACAAAATTGTCATGAGTCGCCCTTAAGGTTTTGTTTTGTGACATTAATACTCTTTAACGTTACCCTTTGCATATCAAAATTGTCCCTGCCGTTAGAAATTCAATTAAGTGGCTTATGTGAAAGATAAGTGGAGCTCACATGTCCAATGACATCATGACACATGGAATTAGATAAATAAAAATATATTTTAAAAAGTTTAAATTGAAAATCAATTATAAAAATTTATAAAACTAAATTAAAAATTAAAAAGCCATATTTTTTAAAAAGTTGCAGGCTCTCCCCCCCCTCCCCCCGCCCCTCTCCCCTCACCCCCCCCCCTATCTCTCCCTATCTTCTCTCTCTCCCCCTTTGCTCTCCCTCTGCAACCCACGCCCAACCCTACCCTCTCCCATTGCTTTTTATCTCACCCTCTACTCTCCCTCTCTCCCCCATGTGCTCTCCGTCTCCATCTTTTTTTATATCACCCGACCACCCCCATCTCCACCCACAACCCATGCCCTAGCCATAGCCCAAGCCACAACCCACCCTCTCACTCTCCTAAGGGCAAAACCATGAATTTTTCAATGGTAAACTATTGAATACCCCCTTGAACTATCACGCTTGTCAAAATCTCTATCCTGAATTAATTTTTTAGTCAATTTAGCCATCGTATTATATTTATTGGTCAATTTCGCCCCTGTTGTTAGCTTTTCACAATTCCATCCAAATGTCCGTAAAAAACACCACGTGAATGGCACATGCGGCTACTGTTAAGGGTAATCTCGTCACCCAAACCCATCCAACCCCACCGCTCTCATTTGCTTAACCATCACCTCCTTCCAGTCTCTCTCTCTCTCTCTCCCTCTCCCTCTCTCCCCTCCTACATAGAGGACAAATTCACAAAGCACAAGAACCCAGCAACAGCCTGGGTCTGTGTCGAAACTCTTTCCTTTTCTCTCACTTCAATTCCTCAAGAATCTGGTGTTTTTTCCACTTCAAATCTCACACTTTTCCAATCACATAAAAAAAGGTGTTGCTGAAATTATGGATTCGAAATCCTGGGTTTGCTCCAAAATAGAGTCTTGGCTAGGGTGAATGAATTTTGTATAGTTCATGATGTTTTCATCAGCCATCTGCACCAAAAAAAAAAAAGATTTTTTTTTTCATGAGTTTCTGAAAGGATGATGATGAGGAGGCAGATTAGATCAGAACAAGGAGGGTGTAGCTGTTAAGTACATGATGGGATTCTTCTGCTTTCTTTTGCTGTTTGTTTTTCACTTCCACTTGCTCCTAAGTTTGGCCTCAGGAGCCAGAAATTTATCTTCACCTCAACAACTACAACAAGAACAAAGCTAGAGTGATGACGATGAGGTGGGGCTCCTGTTGGCTTTCAAACAATCTTCTGTTCCATCTTATCCCCAAAATCTCACAGCCTACACTTTCCAACTCTCATAGCCTTGCCGAGTCTCCAAAATCTCTATCTGCAAGGCAATTCATTCTCTGTTGCTGATCACTCTGTCTCCAACATAACCTCATGTAGACTTGAGACTGTGGACTTGTCTTCCAACAACATCGCTTTGGTTCTTCTGTGCTTCAGCTTGACCTCTCCAAAATAGAGGTCTGAAGAAGTAGAGAAAAAAAAATCAATTTTTAATTCAACAATGAAGCGTGTGCTTGACATGTGACCTTTTTAACAGAGATTTGGATGGAAATTGCCAAACGCTAATAGTAGGGGCGAAATTGACCAATAAATTTAATACGAGGGCTAAATTGGCTAAAAAATTAATTTATGGTGGAGATTTCGACAAGCGTGATAATTCAGTGGGTATTCGGCAGTTTACCCATTTTTCAATGGATGAGCTAGCGAAAGTTATTAGCTTAAAATCTATGACCTTTTTCTTTTGTACATACAATTTCTATAGTCTTTCTAGAAATAAAAGTAAACATTAAATCATATAAACTACGTTAGTTCATAGCTCCATTGACTAATTTCCAATAAGCATTATCATAAAACAAATACATATGAAATGTATGGATTTTTGTAGAAATGTCACCTGACACACATGGGATGGGGCTGTGATGAGGGAATGGGGAATGGATTTCAAGGAGACGGGGTTGGTTGGAGCTGCCGATGGCACACCAAGGATGGGGGAATCTTTTTTTTTTTTTTTTTTTTTTTTTTTACTTTTTTTTTAAAAGATATACAATTTTTGTTATAATGATTTTTTCATTTTTAAAATACCCTTAAAATAGATGGAAAATTGGATGGTATTAAAGTCAAATGACAAATCATGAATTTTGAAAAATTAAGGTGACATTTATTTTAAATTTTTCTTTAAGGTGACAAATTAAAACGGAGGTATAAGTTCAGGTGATATTTCTACAAAAATCCCTTAAAAATAATCGAAATGGAAATATATCCAATAGAATTGAAAGTCTACCTATTTTAATGTGCATTTTTATTGCTTGCATGCAACTAAATTCGTGAAGAATTGGACTTTTTGGGCTTTAATAAGTTAATATTTATTGGGCTAATATTTAAAGCAAGTTAAATATATAGACTGGATGTTTCTTCCCTCAAAAACATCTATAGCCCTTTAGTGTGGTTCCGCAAGTGCCCTCTCCCTTTGTTTCTCTTCCTCCTCCTCTCCTCTCCCCCCCCCCCCCCCCCTACTCTCAGTTTCTCTCTGTTTTTAATGTTTTTTTTATGGATTTTCAATTTTAAAACTTTTCAAATATATATATATTTATTTATTTATCTAATGCACGTGTCAGGATGTCATTGCACATGTATTTCCACTTATCTTCCACGTCAACTACTTAATAGAATTTCTAGCAACATGGATATGACTTTGATGTGCCTTAATAACGTTAATGACTATTAATGTCACAAACAAACCTTAAAGATGATTCGTGACAATTTCGTAAACCTTAGGTACCATTTTTTTTATTATATATAATAAAAAAAGCCATACATAAATAAAGAAACCAATTAGTTGTAATTGAATTCCTTCTATGGCTCTACATGATAAATGTAGGAACAAGATTTTACCCGAAAGGGACATGAATACATGTAGACAAGAACGTAGGCAAATCAAAGTACTAATCAAGGCTTTTTTCCAGGGTATGGATTCAGAAATCAAACCTCAGTAATATGTGCTTGACTTCGCATTTTGATTTACAAAACAAGAAGCTAAGTAAACGCTACGAGATTGATGGAAGAATTGTTAGTTTTAGGATTGTTAGAATTGGCTTTCCTTGCCAAATGTACACTTTCATGTAATTCCTCTTAGATCATCTTTAGAAATTAGGCATTGGGTATTGGCTACAAGGTTGAAGTACATTGAAGAGCTTATGAGGCTACAAAATCAAGGTAATTTGTGCATTCATTTATAACGGAAATCATTAGGAAAATCAGCATTTGCATCCATATACTTTGTCGAGATGACTAGTCATATAGGCCAAATCAGCATTTGCATCCATACACTTTGTCGAGATTACTAGTCGTACAGGCCAGTATTTCTGCACAAGATTTTTAACCAAGGCACTTGATTTTGTTTATTTTTAGTCCAATCTTTGACTGTCAAGTATCTTTTTGTCCTACCAAAATGGCTGAGGCTGGTCTGGACTCAAGAACTCTCTCATTTGCATTTTTCAAATGGGTTTTTAGAGAGAGAGAGAGAGAGAGAGAGAGAGAGAGAGAGAGAGAGAGAGAGAATTCTAGTGAGAGATGGAGAATAAATTAGGTTTTGCTTTTTGCTAGAATAGTCCATGGGTTCTTGAATTCCTTTCGGGGCTTTCATTGAAATTTCATTTCTCAAACTTTTGTTTAGTGATACAAAGTTTTCATCTCTCGTCACTTTCATTTTCACCATTTTGGAAAACTTAGTTTTCTCTTTGGTTTGTTTGAGAGTGTTCATGGCATAGAAATGGGTTTTCAAGATTTCATTTTGAAAGCTACTTCGTTTTCAGAAAATCTGACCACAGCTTTGCACATCAAAGTTTTTATCTCTCATCTCTTTCATTTGCACCATTTTGAAAAACTTGGTTTTCTCTTTGGTTTGTCAGAGAGTGTTCATGGCTTTTGAAATGAGGTTTTCAAATCATTTTTGAAATATGCTTATGTGTTTGAAATCTACTTCACTCATTGAGAATTTTAAGAGTAAAACTTTTACTTTGCATTCTCTATTTGGTGAGGTCTAAGTTTTCATTATGAGATTTTGAAATTTATTCTTTGAAATCTACTGTGCTTTTAAAATCTGCATCTAGGTTCAATCACGACTAGCCATCTTCTTCAATGTGCATCTAGGTTCATTATGACTAGATCATGTTCTTTAGTCAAGATTAGATTCTTGGTTGATTTCTTCAAGAGGATGGTTTCTTGAAGGAATTGACCCCTTTTCATCTCAAACTCTATATGTCATTTGTTCTGTTCGATCTGGAGCTGAGTTGCGATCCCATGGGGTGAAGAAGCTGATGGACTAGCTGCCATTTCCATGAAGGACAAACTACTAGCTCAACTAAGTTTGGAGAAGAAGGTTGCATAGAGAGGTAGTACTCATTTCCTAAATATACCTAGGATTGTTTGAGCTTGTGATTACATTTTTTGTAAAAATCTTCTTGACTTAGTGGATTGCTTGGTCAAAGTGATGACCCCTAGTATTTCCCAATGGTGGGTTTCTAGGTGAAATTTTCTTGTGTGTTGTTCTTGATTTTATGACTAGCCATGCTGTATGTATTATCTCAGAAATGTTGATGAATGTTCACAGACCTTTCACTCTAGTTGTTGCTAGCACAAGGGATGTCTAGATTGATGGATCCTTCTGAGTGCCTAGGTTGTCACATAGTTATCTTTTAGGCTTGCAGGTTCATATATTTGATTTGTGATGAATCTATGTTGGGCTTGTTTGTTCATAGGTCTATGACTAGTAATTGACTAGTCATATTGTTACTGGTAACAATTAATCATCATTGCTTAGATCTATCCGTTGAGGTTTTAATTTATCCCATTCACCTAAATACCAATTCAAGAACCTAGCTGAAGTCAGTGTTGTGCTCAACTCTTCAAAATCCGTATACGGATACCAAGAGCTGGTTACACAAAAATCCATTTATATTCTATATTTGAAGTCCCCAGGAGTTGGTTCCTTGAAAACTCTTCCCTTGACTTCTATACGAACTGGTCAAGATTTCACTTCTTTTTCTTCGCCACCGCCATCCTCTATCAATTCCTTCATCGGGAAAGAAAACAGCAAACGCTCTATTAATTAAGAAGCAGAAGAAAGGTTGATTCTCATCTCATAGTTAATCATGGCCCATTATTAGTATCTATCTTTGCTAGGTATATAGTACTTGCTCAATAAAGTACCTATATTTGTACAAGCTCAATGAAAGTACCTATATAATTACAGCAGTCTTGTCCATACAAATAAACAAACAATTTTACCAACAATATTTCTGAAATCTACTAATATGGCCAATACTCGAGCCAATCAATCAAGAAACATTTAGGTTGGACAAACCTCAAATGTTGATAATCAAAAGCAGGATCCATAGCTACAGCAAAACCAAGATTTCCTCAAGTCCTAGTCGTAGTGCCTAGCCAAAACCTAGAACTAGTCATTACATACCCTAATCGACCTGTTGAAGAATGGAAAAGAGCCTCACCTTCCAGAGGCTCATATCTCAAACCACCCATCGTCTTACTTTTGCAAGAATAAATAGACCAATGTTCAGAACGAAGGTATAGGAGAGCGAGTGCTTTGGATTAATGCTAGAAAAAACAGAGATAGAGGAAGTCATGGAGAGAAGGCCCATGAAAGAGATAGCCCACTCTTGGGATGATCCTAACAAGAATTGTTCACCACTTCGACCTCTAGGTGGTGCAAGACCTATTTTCCCTATGGGCACGTCTACAAGTCAACCTAAAACCAATGGTGATGATTCATAAGTACAGAAACACGTATAGGAGACTCCTAAGGAGACTTGTGAGTCATGAGATCAACTCAAGCTCTAGTCATCAAGAAAGTGGAAGCCAAACAGGATGGCCACCAAAATATACCAAAGTTGGCTATTTTCCTAGGAATACTGCACGCTCAAATCCCATTATTGAAGTCATACAATCAGCAACGAACAAGGTTGATTTGTTAGGCAAGACCCTTCGCCATAGATAGAGACAAGAAGTAAGCAACTTAAAGGAGCCTAGCAAGTACTCCCCTGAGCATATGGATGAAGATAAATCCATTGCCTCTTGCATAGGCAAAAAGGTCATGATATTCAAGATGTTAGATGATCGCTTCAGAGATTTGAAAGTCATAACCTTCACAAAGTAAGAATAATTGCACAGGGACTGCTGGCAAGTCCTTACTTAGTTAGGATTTTGGTTCCTTAATATGTTAGGATTTTTGGTTACTTACCTATTTGTCTAGTCCTATTATAATTTAGATTTATTTTCTATTGTAATGTAGATTTAGTTCCTATTTTATTTAGGGTTGTACTTCCTTATATATATACCTCTATATTTGAGGAAAATACATATCTGAAAATTTGCCTAACTTTGTTTGACTTGGTATCAAAGCTATTCAAGCTACGAGGTCGAAAATTTACAAAATCAGAGATCGACAAGATCACCGCAATTCTACACTAATTAGAAAAGGTGGATTTTTAGAAGTCTACCCTGGCAGTGTGGAAAATAATACTCAAGTGGTCGTGAAAATACTGAATTTATCATCAAAACAAGGCTCATAAGAATTTCAAAATGAGGTTAAGTTATTGATGAGAGTTCATCATAGAAACTTGGTTTCTATAATTGGCTACTATGACGAAGGTGACACTATGGCACTTGTCTACAAATATGTCGGGAATGAAAATTTGCAACAGAAAATATCATTTGCATGTGCAGATATAGGCTTGACTTGGAAGCAGAGACTTTAGATTGCAATAGATGTAGCACTAGGATTGGAATATCTATATGATGCTTGCAAACCGCCGATACTGCACAAAGATTTTAAGTTTTCCAACATCTTATTAAATGAGACACTACAAGCCAAGATAGCAGAGTTTGGAATTTCTAAAGCTCTTGAAACTAAACAGCTACTCATGCATTAACAGACCTTAGAGGTATGGGTACCTGGATCCTCAATATTGCACAACTGGACAGCTCACTAGAAAGAGTGATGCATACAACTTTGGGATTGTCTTGCTAGAGCTTATAACTGGCAGACTGGCAATAATAAGAGATGTAGAACATGTCCATGTTAACGTCTTCGATTGGGTGAGGGCTAAGTTTGATCCGATTGGGTGAGGGCTAAGGTTGAGAGAATGGAAATTAAAAGCATAGTATATTCAATAGTACAAGGGACATACAAGTATTCTTCTGTGCAGACAGCTATAGAAACTGCTCTAGCCTGTGTATCAAAAACACCAACTGAAAGACCAGAAATAAGTTATATGTATTACAAATTGAAGGAATGCTTGAAATTGAGAAGTTTAAGCAACTTTAGTCAAATCAAATCCCAAGTTCTCTTGATACCTGTGCTTGCGTTCTCTTTGCAATTTAAGTGCTCTCCTCCTCTTCTCTTCAACGGGGTAGGGGGAGTGGAAAGGATATATATGTTTATTGACGTATCCCCCATTACCTTGACGTATTAAGATATTTCATATTTCTTGGCTATGATAACCCTTCTCTTTAGAGGGAGAGGGGGAATGAAGAGACTGGTTCTACTTCACCTACTGCTTCTCCTACCCCTATTGTACTGGTTCATACTGAATAGTCCACCAACCTACTCTTGGGATTCATATTGAATGGACCCTTCTGTCGTGCTCACAAGGTGTCTGTGTTCTGCTATGTACCCTATTTGTTAGGGTTTGCTCTTATGTTTATGCTACAAATTTTTATTTGGTTTGTCAGTTGTTTCACTCCTGGTTTACGAGAAGACCTTCTCTACAGTTGTTCGATTTGGTTAATGTCAAGTATGGTGTTCTATGACTCGCTTATCAAATTGGGCATGGGAAACATCTTTGCGCCAACTTGAGAGGAAGTGTTGGCGAGTCCTTACTTAATTAGAATTTTGGTTCCTTACTATGTTAGGATTTTTTTGTTACTCACCTATTTGTCTAGTCCTATTATAATTGATATTTATTTTCTATTGTAATTTAGATTTATTTCCTATTTTATTTAAGGTTGTACTTCCTTGGAGAAGAATACATATCTAAAAATTTTCCCTACTTTCTTTGACTGGGATATTGTTGACGTGAGCCCTGATTTTCTGGTGTGATTCACGTTACCTAATTAGACTAGTTACCCAGTTAGGATTCCATGTAATTAGCTAATTAATTTTCTTTGTAAGAAAAATCAACTTATACTTGTATATATATCCTCTTTATGGAGAAATATGAAATATAATTCACAACCATTCAATTTTGTGTTAGTTTAAGTTGGTATCAAAGTCGACTAACACTGGTCTCTCAAAACAAAACACACACACACACACACAAAACCCAAGCCCATCGATAGCATCTACCGTCGATGGCAACAAAAAAAAAATGCCCAGCTGCCGCAAAATAGTGGCCAAACCCTAGTTGTCACAAACCTAGTGCAGCAAAAGACTTTTAAAACAGCAAATCCATCCAAACTCATTCTTTGTCCTCCATGGTTTTCGAAGATACCCTCGACACCCCAACCACAACTGCCAAATCTAATGCTTCAGAGATCCGCAAAACTCTTGCTATGCAGTAACCAACTATTACAGTTCGCAATGATACTTTCGATGCCCCGTTCACCATACGGCTTAACGGAAAGAACTATAGCACTTGGTCGAATATGATGTTGCTTCATGTTCCATGCCAAGGAAAAAGAGGTTATCGGACAAAGAAGGCAGCTCAAGTGGAGGAGGATGCTCCGGGCTTTGAATCATGGTGTATTGAGGACTCAATTATTAATGGGTGGTTGATAAAAACCATGGAAACGGATTTGGTAGAATTATTCTTGGATCTACCAACAACTAAAGATGTCTGGGAAAGTGCAGTCCATATGTATTATGATGCGTCTGATGAGTCGCACATTTATCAATTAAGATGTAGAGCAACCTGTATTACTCAAGGGGGTCATGATACTACTTCATACTTTGCTGAGCTCAAGAGCGTTTGGTTGGAACTTGACCGTCATCATCCAATCAACATGAAGTGCCCTGATGATGTGAAGATTTGACAGGCTGAGATACATAAAAACTATATTTATGATTTTATTGCAGGTCTATATGATGAGTTTGGTAAAATTTGATGAGATTTGTTGAGGTTGAGTCCATTGCCCCAAATCGAATGAGTCATTTGCTTTTGTTCATATAGAGGCCTAAAGCCAAGAGACGATGCTCAAGAAGGATGGAAAGCCTGAATCCTCTGCTCTTATCATTTCCAAAGCCCATGCTGCTAGTTTTTCTTTTCCCCATCCAACCCTTGAGTTAAAACAAATCATGCATTGCACTTACTGTAATTGAAACCATCATATAGAGGCCATGTGTTTTTACAAAAAATGGGTTTCTATAATGGTTCCTTGAACGCCAAAAACAATTAAAGGTTGTGTAAGCAAAGATAAGAATGGTGGGAGTGGTGTAGCTATTGTAGCCGCAACTTGCCAGCCTTCCATCAGCCGGTCTTCTCTGGTATCCTGACCTCGCCCACGACAGCTCCTTCCTTTGATGATTCTCTTACTGTTCTCTCTCAATTATCACTTCCAGATTCTGCAGACTACAAAGGTAATCAGGATAAAGCATTGGCTTTCCAACCAGCGAGATACAGGTTCGATTATCGATTCTGGTGTTACTGATCATATTACCTATGATAAATCTTTTTTCCATTCTATGACTGCTCCTACCAAAACAAGTGTTGTTACTGCCAATGGAGAATCTAACTCAGTCACTTGGGCTGGTTCTATTACCCTTACTCCTACCCTCTCTGTACATAAAACTTTGTTTGTTCCTGCATTGTCTCATAATTTATTCTTTTTGGGACAAGTTACCAAACAGTTAGACCAAGGGGATCATTGGGCGTGGAACTAAGAGAGGGGGGCTTTATTATGTGGATGACATTGCATCGGGTTGTGTTCATCTGATTCGGGGCATTATTAGTGAGAAGCATAAGAAGATTTGGTTATGGCTCAAGTTACGAAACAATGAGACTTGTATTCTTTCACAAAGTCACTGAACTTTTTATCCACCTAGTTTGAATAAAAGCACAAATCCTTTTGATTTAATCCATTCAGATATTTGGGGTCCATATCTGATTACTATAGTCTTTGGTGTTTGGTGGCTTGTGATCTTCATTAATGATCGTACTCGGTTAACATGGCTTTATGTTATGAAGCATAAAATTGGTTCTTTATTGAGAATTTTTACCAAATGATTCAAACTCAATATTCTTGCTTGATTAAAGTTGTTCGCTCGGATAATGGAGGTGAATTTGTTAAGCACGCACTTGCAAACATTTCACTGAAAAATACATTCTCCATGAAACTACTTGCCCGCAGACTCTTGAACATAATGGTGTGGCTGAACGCAAAAATCACCATATTCTTGAGACTGCCCGAACTCTCCTTAATGTGAGGTGTGTTCCCCAAACTATTTGGGCTAAAGCTATTCAGTATGTCATCTACCTTCTTAACCGTTCATTCCCATCTCAATCTCACTTCTCGCATTTTTGGTTGTGTGGTGTTTGTCCATCTCAATACATCTCATAGGACCAAGTTGGATTTGTGTGCACTCCGATGTGTCTATATAGGTTTTACACCCCCAACAAAAGGGTTACCAATGTTATCATGGACGTTATGTTTGTGGAAAATGAGATGTTTTTTTTGTCGGACGTGCCCAATCATATCTTTCAAGGGAAGAATGCAGTAAGGAAAGCACATAATTGGTTTGAAGTGGAAATACGGAGGACATAAGCACAAAATCTTGCGCTGGAACAAGGTCCAACCGAGCCACTCACATCATCTAAGCTGAGCAACCCAACTGCTATACCAAACAGTATGTTGCCGAATAGTCCAGCCCAGCCAAACTGAGCAGCCTAATAGCTAAACCGAACAGCAGCATCCCCTGTCTCTTGAACATACTAGCTCATGCTCCATTGAACATCCCTGAGGTAAGTTCTTTGGATCCCAATACTTCTCAAAATATTGTTGATTTTGTGAAAAAATTAGCTGCATGAGCAAACAGGGGAATACTACGAGATAGATGCTCACCAAAAGGCAAAGTAAAATATGCCATTGCTTGTTATGTCTCTACACACAGATTGTCTCCCTAAGTTAAAACATTTGTCAATCAGATGGAAGGAATCAAAATTCCTAATAAATTGGAAGAAGTTTTGGAAGACCCAAAATGGGTGGAAGCAATGAATGTGAAGATGGAGGCTTTACAGAAGAATGGAACATAGGAAATTGTTCAACAACATGAAATAAAGAAACCTATTGGATGCCGATGGGTGTACACAATTAAGCACAAAGCTGATGGCATAATAGACATATATAAAGCAAGGCTTGTGGCCAAAGGGTATATGCAGACATATGGAGTTGATTACTAGGATATGTTTTGCCCCGGTGGCGAAAATGAATATGGTGCAAGTTCTATTGTCATTAGCTTCTAATTTAGATTGGCCTTTCAAGCAATTCAATGTGAAGAATTCCTTTCTACATGGAGATCTAGAAGAAGAGGTGTACATACCACCTAATCATAGGTTGTCTAATAATAACAGGAAGGTGTGTAGGCTTCGAAAGACCCTTTATGGTTTGAAGTAGTCTCCAAGAGCATGATTCGGGAGGTTCACCGAAGCAATGAAGAAGTATGGATATCATCAAGGTAACTCAGATCATACCCTATTTATCAAATTTATGGGTGGTAAGGTTACTTTGCTGATAATTTATGTAGATTATATGGTTGGAACTAGTGATGATGCTGATGAAATGGGTAAATTACAAAAGTACTTAGCCTCAGAGTTTGAGATGAAGGACTTGGGGGCTTTGAAGTATTTTCTGGGAATCGAAGTAACTCGCTCTGCTACTAGTATTTGTCTCTCTCAAAGGAAGTATGTTTTAGACATGTTGACATAGACTGATATGTTAGGCTGTGCACTAGCTGAAACCTCTATTGTGCAAAATCATCACCTAGCAATCTATCATAATCAAGTGCCAATCAACAAGGAGAGATATTAGAGGTTAGTGGGAAGACTAATTTATATTTCACACATTAGACCAAACATCACATATGCAGTTAGTGTTGTTAGTCAGTTCATGCATTATCCTAGTGAGTATCACTTAGCAGCAGTTATGAGGATTTTGAGTTTTTTGAAGAAAGCTTCAAGCAGAGGCTTGATATTTAGAAAACTAGGACATTTGGATGTCAAGGGTTATACAAATACAGATTGGGCAGGCAATATAACAAATAGACGTTCTACATCATGTTACTACACTTTCATTGGGAGTAATTTAGTTACATGGGTAAGTAAAAAGCATAATGTAGTAGCTTGATCTACAGCTGAGTCAGAATATCGGGGGTGGCATAGAAAGTTTGTGAGCTTCTTTGGCTAAGGATGCTCTTGTTTGAAATCGGTTTTCCACCACATAAAGTCGTGAAGCTTTATTGTGACAATCAAGCTGCTAGAGAGATAGAAAATAATCCAGTTCAACATGACAAAACTAAGCATGTTGAAGTGGATAGGCATTTTATCAAGGAGAAGTTGGTAGACAAGCTAATTGATATACCGTTTGTAAGGTCAAAAGAATAGCTGCCGTATGTCTTAACACATGCGGTGTCAGCAAAGGTTTTTCATGACTCACTTAACAAGTTTGGCATAGGAGATATCTACGCACCAACTTGAGGGGGAGTGTTGGTGTGAGCCCTAATTTCCTGGTGTGATTCACGTTACCTAATGAGAGTAGTTACCTAGTTAGGATTCCTTATAATTAGCTAATTACTTTTCCTTGTAAGAAAAGTCAACTTGTACTTGTATATATATCCTCTTTATGGAGAAATATGAAATATAATTCACAATCATTCAATCATGTGTTTTAGTTTAAGTTGTTAAGATTTCAGAGGGATGGACCCATGGCCCACTACTAGCAACATCGATATTGTCCCCAACTTAACCACCTGTTTAGCAGGTGTGAGATTTTATACAAAAGGACTCGATATTATTAGGAGTGGAACCATTTATTATATAGGACTTTCTATTTTGTTAAGGTTCCGATGTGGGACTCTGTGTATTCTTCAACACTCCTCCTCACATGAGACCACTTTTTAGTGGGCCACACATGCAACCAATTCAACATCGGTCACCTTTTTTATAATAAAAATTTGTGGTTTGATTTTGGTTCAATTTGGGGGTTTTCTCTGATTTGGGTTTAATCGGGCCCAATCAACCAGCCCGCTTAAATACCATGTTAAAGTTTAGAGAGACGGCATGCGGCCCATTACTAGCAACACCGATATTGTCCCCAACTTAATCACCTACAAAGCCCAGTAGGTTTGAGGTTTTATCTCAACATGCCTCGGTTTTATTAAGAGTGGACCACACGTGAGACCACCACATAGTGGGCCACACATGGAGCCAAGTCCACATCGAAGTCAAACATTCAAGCCCGACACGTGAACACCGCGTATTGGGTAAGGATAAACATTCAAGCCCAACATGTCAACACCACATATTGGGTAAGCGGCGAGACTACAATGCGGAGATTCCGTGCGGAGGTTACTTACGGAGATTACTTACTAGGCCGTTAGATTGATCAAAAGGCTAACATTATATCCTCCTTACTCTACAACCCATCACAAAAATTACAACCCATCTCTACTCTCTCATCTCTACCCTTTCGCAAGGTCAATTCTGTGAAAACCCAACAGTCACCATCCATCTCTCTTCTTCCGGCGAAAACCCAACAGTCACAACCATCGCACTCAAATCCAACCCACCACAACGTACTACATACCCAAGTTTTGGAGAGAGAGAGCATCTGGATTTTTATTTTATTTTTTGGATCAAATCTAAGTATTGTTTAGATTTCATGTTTTTCTTGGTTTAATGTCATAGTTAGCATTTTCATTTTGATTTGGGGGTACTCTGTTTCTGTGTTCATCTATGCAATGGGGCTCTATTTGTTATAGATCTCTGGTTGCTCTGTCAAATTTTGTAGAATAGCTGGGTTCTTGAGAACATGCTATAAAGAGAGAGAGAATGGTTGGGTTGGGGATGGGATGGCTTCGCTGGTTTTTTTTTCTCAGTTGGCTGGCGATGGGGCTGGAAAAAGGGAGAGAGAGCTGGGTGTGGGGCGGGATGGTCGTGGTGGAGGCATGGCTACCTGGCTAGGGTAGTAAGAATCGAGGGGAGGTAGTGGCTGGGCTAGGATGAATGAATTTCCTCCCTTTTTTTTTCTAATATTTCTTTTATTTTATTATTTACAGATTCCGATTTTCCACCAAATTTTACAAAGAAATGTTCATGTACCATTTCATCATGAACTTTTATTTTGATTAATAATCATACCCCTTTTTCTATTTTGATTTTTCCCTCATAATTCTTTTTTTTTAAATGAAATTTGAAAAAGCATTCTTTCTGGGTTTGTGTTTTAGCCATATTTGTATTTATTTTTTTTTCTTTGGTGGGACAAGATAATATTCCAAGAGAAGCATATTGAGCCAATACAAGTTGATCTGGAAGATTTCTGAAGGCAGAAGAAGTAAGAGCAGAAGCAATTTGGGGGTGTACTGATAAGTGTATGGCTGTCTTGGGGGGTAGGGGGTTGGGGCTTGGGGGTTGGGAAGGGGCTGGGGTTGTGATTTAAAAGAACAAAGAAAAATGGATGGGGCAGGTTCACTTTTTGTTTTTTTCCTTCGGGTTGTTGGCGTTGCGGCTTGGAAAAGGGGGAGAAAGCGAGTGTAAGGGCACTTCCAGCAGTGGGAATCTTGCCATGGCAAGGGGGGGCTAGGGCTGACACTATTCACGGGAATAGTGTCTGTCCTTGCAAAAAGTAAGTTGCACTTCCAGCAGTTGTCATGGCAAGGGGGGTACTATTCAATTTTTTGTTTTTTTCACAAATTTGTTTACCTAAACAATTAATTTGGACAATATTTTTGGATGAGATTTTCTGATAAAATATTCGGATAAGATTTTCAGATAAATTTTTTTCAAATTTCATATAAATTTCAAATTTTCAATTTCATATAAATTTCATCTGAATTTCAAATTTCATATAAATTTCATTTGAATTTCAACTTTTCATTTGAATTTCAATTTCATATAAATTTCATCCGAGTTTCAAATTTCGGATAAGATTTTCACCCTATAAAATTGCGCCACGTGTCATCTGAATTTCAAATTTCAGATAAATTTCATTTGAATTTCAACTTTTCATTTGAATTTCACATTTCAGATACATTTCATTTGAATTTCAAATTTCGGATAAGATTTTCGCCCTATCAAATTGCGCCACATGTCATGTCTATCGACCTAAATTTTTCTATAAAACTAAGGCTCAGCTCACAAACCTCTCACACTACATCTTCTCAAAAATTTCATTTCTCAGATTTTAGATTTCATATTTCATATTCCATTCACAATGTTAGACATGGAGGAGGTCTTGGAGAGGCAAGAGCGAGAAATAAGAGAAAGAAGGCGTAGACGAGCTGCAAGCAAAAGAGCGCAGAGAGATCTAGATCAGCAACTGTCATGGCTGTGGTTATGCTTGATGAAGAAAACCAGAGCAATCGTGGTTCACATGAAGGTCGTGCCCCAAATGTGACAGACATAGGCATTCTTGGGGTAAGAATCTTATGGAAGGGACTACCTACGCCGACCCACGCCCAGGGACCTGCAACGACTTCTGCAGAAAGCCGAACGGAGAGGATTTCCATGAATGATTGGTAGCATCGACTGCATGCGGGGTTATAGAAAGGATATGGAGAGGTGCTTTGGTATCCTCCAAGCTTGGTGGGCAATCATTAGGGGTGCGGCGCGTATGTTTGATGAGGAGGTGTTGAGGAGTATAATGATGACATGCATCATCCTTCTTAACATGATTGTGGAGGATGAGCATGATTACGAAGCTAAAGAGGTGTACGAACCTGATCCCATGAACACTGCCTTGACCCAAATTTATGAAAAACCAATGGGGCCAAATGGAGGACCAGTGGAGCATGAACCGTTGGTTAGAAATGGTCTTTTCATGCACCGTATGATTGATCGATATACGGAGATGCAATCTTCATATATTCATGAACGCCGTCAAGTTGACTTAATGGAGCATTTATGGGCGGTGAAAGGCAATGACGGTGAATAAAGTGAAGTGAAGAACATTTTAATGTTTATGTTTGGTTTTTTATGCTTTGGTTGTGGTTTGTTTGTTTTTATATTTTTAATGCTTTGGTTGTGTTTAGTTTTTTTATGTATTGAATGTTTTGAATAAAAAGGAATTTTATTTTATAGTTTCTTTGGTAACTCAAAGAAAACCAATACTACTAATAAAATAAATTACATGAATTCCAACTAATTTTTAAAACAAAACATTAAAATACAATGAAATGAAAAGGCAAGCAAACTAACTTAAGGGTTTTCATCATTTAACCAATCCGTATTGCTAGGTCCATCATCACGAAAAAGTCTTCGTCTCATAATAGCCTTTCGTTCTAGCTTCCAATATTGTTTTGTTTCAGGAGACATGTGGCTTGTATCCATGGCCATGGTTTCCCGATCCTTCTTTTCTTCGTTTTCTTTGCGTTGATACTCCCTTTCTTTGCGTACATACTCCCTTTCTTTAGCAAATTCTATTGCCATTGCCCTATCATCTTCTTGGACTTTCTTGTCTATTTCAATTCTCAAGGCGCTTTGCCTTGCAATTTCCTCCAAAAATTTAGAGGTATTACTCGTAGAATTAATTCCTCTCTTTGCCTTCGCCGCCTTCCTCCCAATAGGCCTCGGCTCCTTTTGAATGGGTGAGTCTTCACTCATAGGGTGAGTCTACACTCACACAACAAGACATCTTCCATGATGCTCCATGCCCCTCCGGTTTCTTGAGAAAAAGCCATAATGATAGACAAAAATTAAACTTGAAAATGAAAACAATTTAGAGTAAAAAGTGAAGAAAATATTGAATAGAAAGTGAATAATAGTTGGAGAAGGAGAAGATGTATGAGAATTTGTTGTTAAAACTGAAGAGTAGGTATTGGTATTTATAGAAAAAAAAAAGTCAGTATTTTTTGGGGTTTTTTAAAAAAAAATTATGATTTTTTTTCATAATTTTTTGCCTTGAAAAATGCCAGGCCGTTGGATTGGATAACAAGGCGAAATCGGAAGGACCACAGTGCGCCACGTCGCACAGAGCCGTTGGGGGAAAAGCGCGCGTTTGAATTTTTTTTAACGTTGGCGCGTGCATTGCACACGCCAACGGTAAAAAAAATTAAAAACCGCTCGCTGACGTCACGTTGGCATCAACGATGACATCAGCCGCACCCTCGGGCTCCCTCCACCTTCGAGCTAGCCCAGGCACGTGGACCCCACCCTGCCCCGGCCAGCCTTTGTTGCTGGAATTTCGTTTTGGGCTCTTGCCGCGCCCCCCTCCCCCCCAGCCCAAGCCCTAAAGGGCTGCTGGAAGGGGGGGTTGGGGTGGGCGGAGGGAAGGAGGGTGGGAGGGTCCGCACGCGATTCTGTAAAAATAGGATTCATTATCTGAATTTTCTTTTAATTTTAATTTTTTAATATGAAAAAGTGTGAATTTACCATATTATCCTCATTTAATAATAATTTTAAATTCTTCCTGTTGCTTCCTCCCCAGGATTCTGCGGTATTTCCCGTTTCCCCCCCTCTCTGCCCTTTACTTCCTGCTCCGATTTAGGCTTCCACGCACTATCTCACCCCCCCCAAATTTTGTCCCAAGAGGTGGGCACACTAGCCCTCTACGGCCCCGGCCCTCTAACCGTTAGGGGCACCGGACTATCCTCCTCCTTAGCGTCCCCCTCTCACTCTACGCCTTCGTGGTCGATCTCTCGTTCTCGTCCACGGCTCTTCCTCCGTCTAGGGCTCCCTACATATATTCATACTCTTCCTGTTCCACCTCCGTGTCTCTCAAATCCGACCTCCAAACCATCTGATACTAATTTAGGGTTCAAGCTCAGAATTTCCTCTACGCCCTGGGCGTCGCCAACTCGTTCGGTGACGTTCATCTGTCCCCCCCCCCCCATGCAGCTCACCTACGGGGGGGGCCTGCACGTGTGCTCCCATTTTAATATTGTTTTGGGTTGCTCTTTTCAATAATCATTAAAATCTCAACAAGGCACAGAAAGTCCTACGCTAGAACTCCTTGTGTCATTCTCTATGTCATCAAGCTCTGAAAATATAATTTCCACTTATAAAAATATAAACTGATAACAAAAACTTAACTTTGTTTCTAAACAATCTAGAACACTAGTTAATGTTTCATAACATAACACTCAAGTTATTTGGTCAAACGATTACTGTAAACTCCAATATGTTAAATCATGATTTTGGACCTCCATAATCGAGGATAATGTCGTGAGGAGTTTGTAGTAATTTTCAGTGTATTTTTATGATTTTTTAATTTATTTATTATGCATTTTAAAATTTAAATATTAGAAAAATAATATTAAAGGGTATAGACCAATCGTGGGTCGCCACTTGTTGGGTGAAACACTGACGACGCCACCTTCAGCTGCTGCCACATGTCGCTTAATATGATTTAATATTATTTTTCTTGAATTTAACTTCTAAAATTCATAATAAATTAATTTGAAATCCAAAAAATACACCGGAAATTCCTAGGAACTTCTTGTGACATTATCTACGTCATCAAGCTCTAAAAATATAATTTTTATTTATAAAAATATAAAGTGATAACAAAAACTCAACTTTGTTTCTAAGTAATTGAAAATACTAGTTGATGTCCTATAACATAATACTCATGTTCTTTAATCCAACGATTACCTTAAACTCAAATATGCGAATCATGATTTTAGACCTCCATAATCATGGATGATGTCTTGAGGAGTTTTTAGCAATTTTCAGTGTATTTTTCTCATTTTTAATTATTTTTTAAAGAATTTTCAAATATAAAATTGGTAAAGTAATCAAAATGACATGTGGAGCAATCGTGGTACGCCACCTATTGGAAACACTGACAGCGCCACCTTCATCTGCTGCCACATGTTGCCATATACTATTTAATATTATTTTTCCTAGATTTTACTTATAAAATTCATAATTAATTAATTAAAAATCCAAAAAATACGCCAAAAATTCCTAAGAACTCCTTGTGCCATTCTCTACACCCTCAAACTATAAAAGCAAAATTTTTACTTAGAAAAATGTAAAGTGATAATGTAAACTCAAATTTATTTTAAAACAATATAAACCACTAGTTGATGTTTTGTAACTTAACACTCATGTTCTTTGATCCAACGACTACCTTGAACTCAAATATGTGAAATCATAATTTTGGATCTCCATAATCGAGGATGATGTCATGAGGAGTTTGTAGCAATTTTGGGTGTATTTCTATGATTTTTTTTTTATAAAGATAAACTTGAAAAAGTAATCAAAATGACACGTGGTGCAATCGTGTTACACCACCTTTTGGAAACACTGACGGCGCCACCTTTAGTTGCTGCCACGTGTTGCTTATAATATTTAATATTAATTTTCTTGATTTTACTTCTAAAATTCATAATAAATAAATTTAAAATCCAAAAAATACACCGAAAATTCCTAGGAACTCCTTGTGATGTTATAAAACTTGGGGAAGCTATAAATCATCCACTTCATAATGAAAAAAATCCAAATGCCTTAAAGTTTATTTCCTTAATGTTCATTATCTAATTTTTAATAATACAAGTATTAGTTTCCTTTCATATATAGGCTGTAAAAGTATCTGTTTTATTATAATAATCTACATATATAATATTTGGACAATGGTTTGAAGTCATCACGGGTGCGTGCATCTAAATCTTTGAGCACGTCAAAGGTGTTCAATAAATTATCAATATGACACCGCATGGGGAATCAATAAAGTATTTCTATCATGTCCAATCACATAAAATGATGGCGTACTTTTTTTGAAAAGCCTCACACATCAGTCAGAAGCATTGTCCAATCACATAATATTTCTCCTTGTCTATATGAGTGATTATATCTTCACTGTAATTTTTTTTCCTCAGTATATGTTTACTTTGAGGGATTCCACAAACATATAATATAAAGAAAGATAGCAAAAGTAGCAGAAGAACAAATACAAACAACAACATATAACTAGTACAAAATAATCTCATAACCTTATCACAAATTTCATGTATCCTTCAGATAGCAATGTTTACAAAATCGTGGACTATTGGAGTTTTTGTATTGCCAATGTATAGCCTCCTATTGCCCTAGTATTGGCACTATATAGCCTCCAATTGCCTTCATTTTGCCACTGCATTGCCCCTAATTGCCTTTATATTGCCAATGTATTGGCCCCAATGTATTATCATAAAAGGCAATAAATGGCTATACAAAGACAATGAACAATCAATACACAATTAATAAGCTTGCAATAACAAGCAATTGACGAAAAATATACACGCAATAATGTACATAATGTCTTTTCTCAAAAAATGATGTGACAGCCTTTCATGCGCATTGTCAAAATTAAGAGTTGATAGGTCCAACTGTCATAAAAAAAGCCAAACTGATGAAGGTTCTCAATGACGACAATCTTCCATAAGCCAAAAATCTAGGTCCAACTGCCACAAAAAAGAATTGTCAAATATATCAAGAGGGAGATTATTTAAAAGAAAGAAAAATCCTAAAACACCTAACATCATAAAAATACAAAGGCAAAAGAAAGCAAGAAAGAAAGGCTCCAAAAATTAACACCACCAATCGAGAAACAAAAAAACTTCAAAGAAAACCAAAACCAATCAAGAAAAAAAACACAAAAGCTTATACAAAACGAAACAACACAAAATAATAAGATTTCTTCATATTGAATCATATTTCAAAATGCTCACCAATATTGACGGCAAATGAGCTTCGTATAGTAAAAACATAAATCACTTTGTAGGTCCGTGCATGCTATCAAATTCATCGAATAACGGGTCACTAAGATTGATCGGAGTTGATTCTTCATTGTTTGACGGGGATGTCCTGCATAAACACCAAGCATAATATTACAATAAAATAAACCACTTGGAATTTTAGCTATTATTTATAAATATTTGTACAATCTTACGGTGTGTTCACCATTCTTGGACATCATCTTATATCATGACTAGTTTGTCCACATTGCTGACAATGTCGGATCCCTCGCTCCATTCTCTTTTCCTTTGCTCCCTTGACTCATTTCGAGCTTCCTTTGTGCGTTACTCTCTTAGGGTCCTTCAAATATCATGTTTGGGACCTGGACCCTCCAACTTCTCTAGGACCAACCCCATCATTCAATAACTTCAATGTCACCCATGTATCGTTTAGATTATTCGACAATAGCTCACAACCTTCTTTGAACATTAAAGCGTGTTCAATTACATCTGAAGCAAGTCTGAACATTCTACTTCGCTTTATTAAGAGAGAACTGTTCTCACAATCTTTAATTTCATTGCCATTTGAATCTGACACAAATCCAGATTTTGCAGTTTTCTTCCATCTATTCAAAATGTATTTATTGGGCAGATATTCAATTTGCTCCCTTTTTAACAATGCCAGTGCATGGCAACAAAGAATTCCAATAAATTCAAATCCTTTACAGCTACATGACCATTGATCGGAATATTTATCATATACAACTTCTGTCACTCTTGTTTTCCCCCTTTTCCTTTCACTCACTTTATAGATAGCTTTGGAAGCGTCATCCATTTTCAGTTCCATAAAACACGGTAAACTTTGCATTAGCTCCTGTTCAAACTTTTGGAACATTGCCTTTGTGTATATTTCAGCCATTTTTTTATCCATTGTCATCAATAGAGCACATTGAGGCTTTTCAAATGCATTAATGTGATCAGCAAGTAACTCATTTTGACGTTGATGGGAAAGTGCCCTTTGAAATCGTGTTATGAAATCCATTAATGAATTTCTCCTTGATATATATTGCTTGAAAAATGCATGAAAGCCTTCTGCTCTTTGACTGCTTGACATTCCTGCGGCAAAAACATGTTTTACATAGGCTGGAACCCATGATTTTCGCAAATCAAAAACTGAACTCAGCCATAGATGGTTAGTCAAACCAGATTTTGTAACGATTGCATGCCACTTTTCTTCAAATTCATCTATATTGTAAATCTCCCAGATGGTTTCCTTAAACTCTTTCCAATATTCCTCATACGCAGCCCGTGGTAGTTTATCAGAGAACTTGGTTGTGATGTGCCATATACAAAGTCGATGAAATGTAGTGGGGAATACTTCAAAAATCGCTCTAGCCATAGTTGCATCTTGATTTGTAATGATCATTTTTGGCTCACCACTTGGCATGGCTTTCTTAAACTCCTCAAACATCCAAATAAATGACTCAGTCGTTTCCTTACTTAAAAATGCACAAGCTAAAACAATTGTCTGACCATGGTTATTAACCCCCAACATTGGTGCAAATTGCAAGCCATATCGGTTCGTGTTGAATGTGGTATCGAGCACGACAACATCTCCATAAAACCCATATGCTCGTCTAGAAGTTGCATCTGCCCAAAAACATCGAGTAAGCCTGTCATTGGAATCTCCCTCAATCTTGAAATAAATGATCTATTATTTTTCTGTTCAGCTAAAAAATACTCAGTCACCAGTTCAACATCATGGTTCTTCATTAGGTCACTCTCATAATATTCGAAATTGTAAATATCTTTTTTGTAAAACCAATTTTCTCCATTCCTCCATATTGCACCTCCAAAATACTCATCTTTTTATGAGTAGGTATATCAGTTGAACCGAGTTGTTTTGTGAGTAGCTTTGTAGGTTCTGAAATATGACGGTGTGATCTCATAAAATGCACTCTTTCTGGGGTTGTCATCATATGATTGTGTCCCTCTACAACAAGAGAGAAAACATACTGCTTACACCCATAAACCTTTACAACAACAACCCTAGCCTTGCAACCACATCTACTTATCCCTCGGTGTCTTTTTATCACCCTAGGCTCTTCTTTTTTAAACACACCTTGTTTGCAACATACAAATTCTTTTCTTAGAATTTCTTTATTGTATTTTTCCCTCCCGCTGGAATGACGTCGAATACTAAAGCCAACCAATAATGCATATCTATTGTAGAAATCATAAACGAAATCAAGTGAATCGAACTTCATCCCAACTTTTGGTCTTTCCTCATTTTTGACTTCAGGTATGTAAATCATTTCATCGGCCATTACACAATCATCATTCTCCTCTGAGTCCCCAACCATTTTACTCACAGATTATTGACACCTTAGATAACATTTGAATCAAACATTTCAGAAATAGCTAAAACAAAACAAAATAATTATGAAAGCAATTTAAATTTTGTACCATCATCAGTTGAAAACAAAGACATTTATAAAAAAAATTTAAAAAACTTACCAATAACGAATCCAAGAATTTGAATGCAACTCCCCTAAGTTATGGAGCAAAATTGATCCCTTGCGTTTTTGCTTTCCTTTTATTGTCTCCTCCATGTTGATTCAATTAAACTTTTCCATGAGAGCACATATAGAAAATTAAGATGCAAACTTGTGTCAACCTGTAGCAGATTATCAATTATTAAAAAGCCATAAAATAAATTGAGGCATGACAAACCCAAGATATTTTTAGAGAACTTGTTTTTACTGTATGTATGCAAGACCAATAAAGATCACCATTAGATTAACATGTTGTTATTTTCATTATTTATTAATTATTGATTCAACAAAGCTTAAAGCCAATATACTAAAGGCATTATAATAAAACCCAAAGCAGTAAGGGGTTAAACGCAAGAAAAAATATTTATGTATGAAAATAAAATAAAACTGTAAAAATCAATTTTTCAAATGAAATATAAATACAAAAGAGAACAAAATAATAATAATAATTACAAGAAATTGGAAAACATTAAAAGCAAAATCAATGAAACAAAGAAACAAAGAGAAGTGGTTTTGGAGTGTTTAACTTACCATCGCAGTTGGATTTGAAGAAGAGTACTGCAAGTTCTTGAAAACTTGGGTTTTACTTGTTCAGAAATAGAGTGCAAAGTTAGGCGAGTGAGACTATTGGAGGCTCTTTCAACATATCATGTGTCTCTTTTTCTTCTTCTCTCTCTACTATGAAGATCTTGCAAAGAATTTTTGTGATACAAAGATAGAATAAGAGAGCTCTCAGGTTATGGTTGTTGTAATGGGTAATGATGAACTATTTTCTGCAACATTAATGACAGGGGTTTAACAAAACAGAATATTTTTTGAATAAAAGGGTTTGCAATAGGGCTGAAAAATCACATACCAGTGAAAGAATTGAGTTTTGGGTTTCAACCCTTGTTCTTTTCGGAGCAGCAAATTTAGCTTCTAGAAGTTGGAAAGGGGCAGCTCTTGTTTGTCTCCAGGAGAAGTTTCAGACATAGGACTTTGGACCTCTGTTTCAAAGAAAAGAGATGTGAGAGAGAAGTTCCGGGTTGCTCATTTTGTGATGGGTAATTTTAACCCGATTGTAACAAAACTTCCTACTTAAATCTGAACTGTTCATTTGAAACTGACAGTTGTTATCATTCCGCACATAACCTCCTCATAATAACCTCTGCATTCTAGCAGCTCCCATTGGGTAAGGGGTAAATAATCTAGACCCAATCAATCAACCTACAGTGACAGCCATCCTCTTAACCCTTTACCCACAACAAACAAAGGTTGAAATATTCAACGGAAATTGGCGGCTTTACCCTTGGCTCCAATGTTTCATTCAACAATGTCCTCTTTTTGAAACTCATTCAAAAATATCCTCTATAAAACCTCACTATTGGCCCAGTATCATTTCTATCACTTTTTTTGGTAATGTGAAATTGGTCTCTGCTACTACTCTCTCTCTCTCTAAACTTTGCTTTCTTCTTCTTCTTCTATACTCTGCTATCTCTGAGATGACACCCCCAATTGCTTTCTTATTTGCTTCTTCTTCTTCTTCTTCTATGCTTTGCTATCTCTAAGATGACACCCCCAATTGCTTTCTTCTTTGCTTCTTCTTCTTCTCTTCTCTGATATGCTCTATTTGAGATGAATTCCCAATTTTGCATATTCTCTCTCTCTCTCTCTCTCTCTCTCTCTCCTCTCTCTCTCTCTCTCTCTCTCTCTCTCTCTCTCTCTCTCTCTCTCTCTCTCTCTCTCTCTCTCTCTCATATTGATTCTCAGCCCTAATTCCTAATTATCCATGTTCCTCGTTTCCTAGGTCCGAAGACCCATCTTCCTCATTCACATCATTAGCCACCACAAGCACCACCAACGAGTTTGCAAACCCAATTTGTAATATTTGTTCTTAAAATGGGTGGATTGGCATTGACTTTAAATTTTTGTTTGAAACAGAAGCATTTATTTGTCTGAAACCCAACAGAAACTTTCCAAGACAGACTTGAAAAAAAAAGTGATACGACAACGATAAAATAGCAATACAGGGGCAATATGATTACAATAGTAAGACAATAAAAAAAAACTTAGAAATTTCATATTTATTGAGTGTATATTGCTTGTTTATTGCAATAAACATGCTCAGCAAGATAACTCTAATACAAGCTCTCTCCCTTAGTGTATATTGCTTGTTTATTGCATGTGTATTGCTTGTTTATTGCGCGTATATTGCATGTTTATTGCCTATGTATTGCTTGTTTATTGCGTATATATCACATGTTTATTGCAGACCTCACCAAAGAACCCAAAAGAATCAGCTGCGAGTTGGAAGAGATAACTAATAGGAGAGGAGCTAGGAGTCAGATCTCATCGAAAAACCCAAAATTTGTTGCACAATCCCAAGACAAACTGAGAAAAAATTGGTGCATAATCCCAAAATTTTATAAACAAGCTTCAAACATAATACCTCAAAAAGTTCTTGTATAATCCCACTGAAATAACATTCTTTACACAAGTTGAAAATATTAATTGTAAACCCAGAGGGTAAAATTTTAAATTAAACCCACAGTTATGTTTCAACAAATTTCTGTACAATCTCACAAATTTGACTTGGAGGGACTTGAACTCACAACAAGCACCAAATTTCCAAACCCATATATGAAATTGAAATAAGGGGAAGAAAACCCAAATGTGAAGGAGAAAAGCCAAGCTGGCTACTTGAGACTCCATCTCCAGGCATGGAGGTCGAAGGAGGTGACAGAGAGTGAGAGATAAAGGAGGAAAGGGTGGGGTCGTCGTCACCAATGTGGGTGCGAGTGAAAGAGAGAAGAGAGGAGAGGAGGGTTGAGAGAGTGAGACTGAGAAATTGTGAAAGAGGATTTAGGAGAGCTCAGAACGACTAAACAAAAGTGAAAGAGGGGCAGAAGGAAGAAGAGGAAGAGGAAGAAACTAGAGAGATGAGAGGATTCATAGAGCAATGACTCAGAAGAAAAAAAACTAAGTGAAGGATGGGCAATAGGCTGTCAATAGGGAGTTTTTATAAGGGGCATTTGTGATTGAGTTTCAAAATAAGGATATTAGTGAATAATTAGGTGAGCCAGGGTAAAGCCGTCAATTTCCCAATATTCAAAGAGGTATAGGTGACTAGATTCAAAATTTTCATCCGGAAGTCAGAGGCCGCGGTGCACTTGGCGCGGACAATGACACACTCCTCTCCTCATCTCCCCTCATTGGAAGGTTTAGTATTGGAGTGGTTCCAAGATCAGCCAACAAGCTTGATCTCTTGTTCTGAAGAGATAAAGCTGGCCTTTCTAGGGGCCTGTTCCTTTTACAAGGATATGAATAATAAGTTTGATCACCTTTACGAGATCCATTTGAGAGAGGGCAAACTTCTGAGTAGCCATAATAAGTTTATGGCTACAAAAATTCATATCAAGATCGCATCGAAAGCCTTCAATAAGGGTTTGCCAACTTACCACCTTCTCTATAGGTACGGACCAAAACATGCATCACGTCTTACAGAGAGCAGAGAAATACATACGATGAGCAATTTGAAAAGCCCAAGAGGAACAAAACTCTCCCAAGAAGGCAGCAAAATGAGTTGATTAACAAACTTATCATCAAGCAGCGCAAAATGATCAAATGAGAACTGATTTTTTCGTTTTTTTGTTTTTCTGAGTGCCCAAGTAGGTGATTGTTTTACACAAAAGAATAAGGCCATTATACCAAATTGGATTCACCATCGCAAATAGTTACATAATTCTAAGGAGAAGGAAAAAAAATATTAATTTACGAAAAATGGCAAAGACGCTATCCCCTTCATTCCCAAACAATTACAAACACATTCCTATTCTATTAGGAAGGAAATCATAAACAAGCATTCCCACAAAAGAAGGTCATATATGTTTTACACCTGAAGGGAATACATTCAACTCCCTTGACATAATTGCGAGTTTCTGGTCAATGGCATTTCCTTCCCAACCTGGAAATGAACATCCAATAATCACAGATCATCAAAACGCACGCTATCTTAAGATCAATAATTCAAACTAGCCCCATCATTGAACCACATCCTTCGAAGTGACATGACCTCTACCTTCAGTGACATTCGTGTTACCAATGACCTCTGGTGCAATTTCCCAGCTCCCACTTCTCCTTCCCCAACTAGAGTGACGCGCATCAGATCGAATGGTGGGAGCCCGGTGATCTGAACCCAAAGCAGAGTCGACCTCTGAGGTATTATGAGGAGGTCCGTTGCTCCCTCTACTGCGTATGTCCTCATCAATTTCTTCAATGTTACGACGCTGCGAGATCTTCAACAGATCTTCACCAATATCTAAATCATCCTCAACCTTTGAACGTGGATCCCCACCCAATTCATCTGATTCTATTTCCCGTGCAGTGGGCAAAGGGGGAGGCCTTTGTAACTCCTCTTCAACGAAAGCCCGAAAGTTATTCCTTGAGGGTTTTAATTCTGTGCAAAATACTTCAAAAAAGTTATTTAAGCAACCCCGGTTGTAAACATTGATCCTGTTGTCAGCTCGGTACCTGAAGTTTTCATATGTAGTCTGAAAAGAAAGTAATGGTATCTAGATATTAGTATAATTAATAGAGGGAATACATTAGACTGTAAAGCAACAAATACTTTCTTCCAAAGGAAGGGGTTTAAAATGATGATTCAAATAGTAAAGGTATAACTAAGGACTCAAGATACTTTCCACACAGGGAAAAGAAAGCCACCAGACCCAAATTAACCATATATCTAATAAGTGAAGTTAGTGCCAGGTTCCTCTGTCTGACCTCTTCCTTTTTTCCTTTTTATCAGACATTTTCTGGGGGATGAGGGGAGTAAATACCTTGACAATTACCCTACATAGTGACATTAACTAAGTGCAAATCTAAATTGGTGAGCGAGCCTTATATAGAGTGACATCAATCAAGTACAGATCTACACGGGTGAGAGAAACGCCCACAGTTTTTAGTAGAAAGCTATTAGAGGCTGTCAATTGTACAGTTCCATCATAGACCAAGGGAGTCAGTGTCGTACAAGTTACAAGAGATGGGGAAGCACCTCCAGCAATGACCAAACACACCATACATCTATCACTCAGTCACAGATCATCTGCTTTAAGTTCAATTCTTTAAACAAACCACCACTCAGAGATTAAAATTCTGACACCTCAACATGAACATATTGACACAAAAGAAAACACCAATCTGAAATATTAATAACGCTCGAGTCATTTCTTTAACCCATCAGAAGGTTATATAATTAATTCAGCTTCTATCCTCACTACCGGTAAGTGACATGAGGTGCATACTTGCATTTATTTTAACTATGAGATCATAAACACATCTGAGATGCTGTCATCGTCAACTTAACAAAGAAGCATGTTAACAACTTATGGAATTAGTACTACCACTTGGGCCATCGCCAACATAATTTATGAACCTCATTTAGGACTTGGACATAAAATTCAATTTTGGTAAAACCAATTGTGAAAGTCTCACGGTGAACCAACAAATACACCAAGAAGAAGATGACTGACCTGGTTGGTACCTATAAGGTACAAATGGAAGCCAGTTAGTCCACCAACAAACCAAAGAGAAATGAAACAATAGGCCATTAGTATCACAGATGCAGGAGATTCTTTCATTGCCTTCCAAACTGTCCCGTGATAATCGTCCATCAGAATTTTGATGTATAAAGCTGATAGCGAGAATACGTAGATGCAGAGAAGTGTTGCAGAAGAAACGAAGAGAAAGAAATAACGATAATTGCACTGCACATAACCCAGACAATTAGATTTCTAATACAAATGCCTCCTGAAGGAAATAAGAATCAACTACAAACAAGAATACACAAATCCATCTATCCAGAGCAATAGTAATGGGGCAAGTACAAATCACACAACACAATTATGTTTTGCATGTTAAGATCATACCTGTCCAATGCATTGGCCCACCCAAGGGCAGTGGTGATCAAAGCGTTCCACACAATTGTTGCAAATAGAACAATGGGAGCAACGAGGCGGACGATATAGCATACAAGTGTCACAATACTTCACTCTCACAGGAATGCCATTGACTATCACTTCTTTTGTTCTAGGGAATTGAAGGCTTGGAGTCTGTCTTCCACCAGCATTAGCAGCCACTTGTCTTCCACCAACATCAATAGACACTGAAGGGTCATAACGAAACTCTTCCTCCGGTGGATGTGCATTTCGTGGAATAATCCCAGGGTCCCGTGCTGAAGTAAGAAAAAGAAGCACCAACACCTATCAAAATCAACTAAAGAATTAATTTATGCCAAAAACTAGGACAATAGAAGAGAGAACTGAAGCGGAAACACCATCGGAGAGACTGTTACCAATATGAATAAGAATGTTATCTAAGACAATGAAACAAGGGGGAAAAAAACATTTCAGAGGGTGATGAATATCATAATCTGAATACCAGAGTGGCAAATCACTACACTTCATGGCTATGCAGTATGTCAGAAGAAGATTAACCAATGAATTATGATACATATATTCCAAAAATTAGGCGACCTTGAATCAAGACCTTAAAATAAACGGAGAGAATAATTCTTCTAACAGAGTTCAGGGACTATTCTTTTATGTTATACTATCTGATTGGAAAGCAGAAGTATCTAGTCTTGTTCTTGTCATCTGGGCTATTTTGATTTCATCTTTTCTGGTGGCTGTTTTATAATCCTTAGAGATTGCTGTCAGGTCTTAAAGGACAACTTGCCCTCTATCCTCTATTTTGTACCCTTCGAGTTTCCTTTTATGTAAATTTGTTTCTTATCAAAAACCCCTGACAGAAGGGTAAGGCCTGTGTATAAATTTGTAGCGACAGAGTTTTCCTCCATTTTTTAGTAAGCCAAACAAAGTCTGCTCTTTAGTATTAATTGCCCACAATTTCCTATAAAAAATTATCTATTCTTTACAATTATAGAGAAAAGTAAATTTGAGTGAAAAGCCTCAAGACCTAAACATAAGATTTACAACAAATGAATTATGAGAGCTTGAAATGAATCTTAATCTTAATCACCATTACAACACCACCAATCACATGCCAAATGTTCAACTAACAGTGCTTATAAAATCAATTTCATGGGACTCTGGGATTCCGAGGTAAAACAGTCACTGGCAAGTTTGTAGAAGTGTCAATAGTAATATTTGCAGACCCAATGGAAGACAACACAGGGCAACCCCAGAAACAGAATAACATTATTATGCCTATTAATGGCCACATTACCCAAACCGTTCATCTGCATGCCGGCATGCCAAGCACATGACCTTCAATTAATTGATCACCATGACACTATCTCTCTCTGGTCCACTCCCACTTCTCTAGCCCCACCACCCATTCAGGACCCAGCTCACAAACCCCCCGCCATCCCAACCCCTTCCCCCTATTCCATCCAGGGCCCCTAACCATTATTCACATTTACATAAAATAAAATAACTTCAATTTGACGAAGGGAACGCGTTGACTAACGTAGTCAAACACAGGGACCAAATTCACCAAATGGAAAAAACGACGACCAAATTGACCATTCATGTAAAAGACAGGGACCCAAAAGGTATCTAACCCTAAAATAATCTTACACTAGATGAGTGCAAAATCATCAAAAACCAAAAACAAGAACCAAACAAATAAAAGGTTATGAGACTTACATAGATAGTAAATACAATTGCTACCACTAGTATTGCATATCCTGCATTATATGATGAAAACTCATGCCGGAGATGCCATGCAACAAATACACAAAAGATCACAACCGGAGCAATGATCAACAATAATGTGACAAGCAGTGACTTGGCATCTGGCCCAAATATCAACCTTCCACCGAGGATGAACTTCTGCAAAAGATGAACAGAAAGGAAGTTAAAGAACAAAATAAAAATTGAGAGTGGGGGGGAGAGGGAGGGTGGAAGAAGAGAACAGAATTTGATCAAACTAGAGCAATTACAGTAGACAATGGAGATTATAGCTAGGCTCGTGATATTAAAAAGTCCATAAATAATTTGTTTTTCCTCAATCATTCAAATACAAACATAGAGCAAACAGTCATATAAGAGCTACAGTTGCAGTGCTGGAGTTCGGTCATTATGAAGATGTGTTATGTTCTTGCTGGAGCAAGAAACTGATCAACCTAACAATGATGAGTGGAAATAATTTCAGCTACTTCTGTATATAGACATACAATTTACAAACAGGGCCCTCCTTAGAAGTGATTCTGTTTTTAGAGATCTCACTGTTGGGCCCACCAAGATATGCATTCAAATTATCTAAACTGTTCATTTTATATCCAAACTAAAAATCATTTTTTATCTTTTTTATCATAATCAGGATCATTTCAATGTTTATTCGAAACAATGTGTTCATCTACCTATTTGATCCAATTGGACGACTAAGTGACTTCTAATTAGGCTTTTTCTGTAAGGATAATCTTTGACTAAGTGACTATCATGTTATTATTTAATGTGTTTAGTATAACTGCATTCTATTCAACTACTAAATAGCAGTTTCAGCTTAAATTCATGTTATTGTACAAATGACTTAATAAAAAGGCTTAACAAGCTCAAAATATAAGCACCTCGAAAAATTAGGACAATAAACACTTATTCAAGATATCAGATAACAAAAAATTGTGAAGAAAGAGCGCCATGGATTCGGGATAGAATGATTATTAAAACGGGCATTAAATTGCATGCCCATGCATATACATCTTAAGGTATCAATAAAAGAGCCATGCATGGCTTCGATCACATAATCTATTCTCAATGAGAATTGCATTTTCCATTCTTTCAACCAATGTTTGCTTTTATACCTTTTCACAAATCATATTTACAAGAATAGAACCACAACATGATGTATTGTGGACCTTTGGAAGAAAAGGAAGAAATCATCTATCCAAAACATGCAATCCAGCAAAAAGCATTCATCCAACTGTAAACCTGGATTGCAGCATTGAGATAAGGAATGGGACCTCCAGGTGGGCAAGAAACAATGCCAGATGACTCACAAACACATAAAACCAATGTGTTACAAGCCTCTTGAGGAGCAAGTTTATTGTCCTTACATGGATAAAATAGCCAAACGATGATTAAGTCCTACAAAATTGAGGCTCGTGCCAAACAGAAATACAGCAGTCAGAAGCTAGGTTAAAGATCCTTTCAAACAGTATGTAGGGACAAACAGGATCTCTAGCCAGAAAATGCAGCTTTTGACATAAACCTAGGAGCTGTAGGTCCTCCTCACTATGGCAACTTATTCACTACAAAGATAAATACTATATAAAACTGGCTTTCCCAATGCTAAGCCAACTAATGTCAGCGTTTTCAACCAAAAAAAGTTCAAAAAATAGAAAGTCCAGATATGATGTGGTACTAAAAAAATGTTCTCTCCTCATACAATGAATTGCATCTAACAGAAGGGTGAAACATGGTTACAGACATAACATCAAATGGCAGTTCCTTTTTTCCTTGACATCAACTACAAGTGGGCGTCAAATTCACAACCTCATAAAATGAATAAACCAAAATTACAGATAAAAGTCCGATACACCACCACTTCACTCTCATACTTCCTCAAATAATACTTATGTAAACCCCAACACAAACCTTCATCCGTTATTCTAATAAAAATGTTGCGGATACAGAAGTACATCACAGTTCAAGTTTTTCTTACAACTCCAGACAATGCTCCCATGCAGTTAACCTTAAAAAATTGTTTAACTTAGTTCGCTTGAAAAATACTCAAAATTTCCTTTCCTACTCATTTCTCCATGTTCTGAGCAACCAACAGATAGAAAGTGGGAATATAAATTTTAGGAAAATAAATAAATAAAAACCAAAACTTTCCCAAATAAGAGTCTAAGCAACAAGAAGAAAACGAAAACCAGAAGCAATAAACTAGATGCTGCATTATACTTTCATTTGTTTGCCTAGGAAAAGCAAATGAAATAGAAGAAAATGGCAACTACAAGCTCCAAATGACCTTTTATAAACAAACCCAGAAACCAATACCACTCAACTCCGTCCACCACCCGAAGCTCCTGAAGTTCATTGTTCCTTGTATTTCATCAAGCAAAAGTAAGTGTCTCCATTTTCAAAGCAACCAAACAGGAAATAAACTTAAAAAACCTAATTTGAACCAAACTTAAGACTGTAACCAAACGAACCACTGAATCAATCAAAACTCACTAATTTTCGCACAAACCAAACAAATCTAAAGCATACCCAAATGATAAATCCCAGTAAAAGATCCAAATTTGAAACCCAAGAAAGAGAACCTTACATTACTTCCTTTCCACACTTCGTACACGCGCTTTGCCATGAGAGAACTCAACTCGCTTGTCTTGACGCACTAGGCAGGAACAGAGTCGAAGATTTGGAACTTGTGGGCGTTCATCTCCTTCGCATTCACACACTCCCCAAAACCCAAATCACAATGAAACCCTGCCGCACTCTGCTTTTCGGCGATTGAAGATAAATTCGACAACGGGCTGTGGGCTTTCTGAAGGATTCAAAAACGAAATGTAATGACAAATATTTTGTGAGATGGCGGTTTCAATTTCAGAAATTTGGGAGTGTGATTTTTTGTGTGGAATATTTTTTGGTGGAAAATTGTGTACACTCGGATATATAGGGAAATTGGAAAAGAAAAAAAGAAACTAACAACAATAAATAAGAGGAATTTTTTGAATTTTGATCCGATTAGCCTGTACTTCTGTAGGTTTAGGGTTCTTTTGGTTATAAAAAAGTTTTTTAAAAAAATAAAAGAAATATATGAATTTACTCGTCTACCCCTTAACGAGTATAAACCTTTTTAATTTAGCTGCCACATTTGGAACAGATGGCGGGCCATGTCTGGTGTGGATGATCAGAGTGGCGATAGTTTTACTAGGATTTTTCCTTTTTTTTCCTTTGCTTTTGTTGGATTTTAAAAATGATTTTCCATAGGCAGAGAGGCACAGAGAATATGTTTCTTTATCACTTTTTTTAACCTTTATTTTGGGTTTTTTATGATACCAAAGATTGCATGACCAGCCAGCCTCGGAGATTGAAGATCCCCTTTCTATGCATTTTGCATGTCTTCCATGCTTTTTTTTTTTTGGGTAATTAACGGTCATGAATGTGGTTTCCAGCATCTTATTTCTTTTGAGGCTTATATATATATATATATATATTTTTTAATCAAAGATACATTCATTAGATAAACTTTAACAATATAATCAAAGATATCGACATGATGTCTAGAGTACAATCCCAAGACGGCAACAAACTAACATGTTTGAAAGAAAACTAACGTGCATAAAAACAGCACTAAAACTACTAGCTTACATCACTACAATTAACCATAAGCTTAAACAAAGTCCATAAACCTAACATAACCTAAACTCTAAGGCAACCTATGAGCTTAAATGAACCCTATCACCACCACATCTTCGCGGACACACCCACCACTGCATCCATAACAGGTTTGGGGGAAATATGATTTACAGCAGTCTACTTGCACATAAGAGCAAACAAATGAACAAAAACAACAACCTTACCAAAGAACAATTTGGTGATTTGCAGCAACCTCTATCAAAGACAATTTATAACCAAATTTAGAGAACACAAGCAGTGCTAGAAAGTTGGTTTTAGGAGAATGATTTGATTGAGAACATAGCCCAAAAGGGGTGATGGAGAACTTCAATCTGAGCATGGCTTAAAAGATATCACCACAAGGGGCTTCTTATTCAAACCCTCTAGTGGACTTATTTGCTAACCCAAAGGAAAGGCGAGAAAAGAGGAGAGGGAGGAAGAGTCATGACGCTTCTTTTTCCTCCCCCTCTATGGAGTTTTCCTTTGGGACTCACAGAGGGAGAGATCGGCTAGGCTTTTTTTTTTTCTTATGAAGTTGGAACTTGAAGGTTGAATTTGGGATAGGCTTATAGCAGCTACAATCTAACCTTTCAGCAGGCTCAATTACCATTTGTATTATGATATGAAGTGTAACATCCCACATCGACTAACAGAGAGGGGGTGATGTGCCTTATATGTACATGCCCGCCTCCATCTAGCACGAGGCTTTTTAGGAGCTCACTAGTGTCGGAGTCATGAGAACTCTGAAGTTAAGCGAGTTAGGGCTAGAGCAATCCTAGGATGGGTAACCCACTAGGAAGTTGCTCATGAGCTCCCGGAAACAAAACCGTGAGGGCAGAGAGGGGGGCCCAAAGCAGACAATATCGTGTTACGGCGAAGCCGATCTCAAGATGTGACAATTTAGTATCAGAGCCACTCTGCCGTGTGGTGCGAGTGTGCTGACGAGGATGTCAGGCACCAAAGATGGGTGGATTGTAACATCCCACATCGACCAATGAAGAGGGGGTGATGTGCCTTATATGTACATGCCTGCCTCCATCTAGCACGAGGCTTTTTAGGAGCTCACTGGCTTCGGAGTCATGGGAACTGCGAAGTTAAGTAAGTTGGGGTTAGAGCAATCCCAGGATGGGTGACTCACTGGGAAGTTGCTCGTGAGCTCACATAAACAAAACCGTGAGAGCAGAGAGGGGGGCCCAAAGCGGACAATATCGTGCTTCGGCAGAGCCGATCCCGGGATGTGACATGAAGTGAGTTGTTGTTTCACATATTCATCTTTTTAATCACAAATAATGATTAAGTGAGACAAATGAAACAAAGTGTTGTGATGATTAAACTCAAAAGTATTTAACTTGAAATATATGGTTTTAATCATCTAACTTTAATGAAACAAAAGAAACATTCAATTGAAATCTATGTGATTTAACTTGGAGAAATTTTATGAGTTATGCTTTAATACTCATACTCTCAAGCTTTCAACAATGGTTGAAAATAAATGAAACATAAGAATCATTCAACCAATCATTGTGATTTAACTTCGAGAAATTCTATAAGTTATGTTATCATACTCATACTTTTAAGCTTTCAACAATGATTGAAAATAATGAAGAAGTTTTTGAATGCTCGAGAGCACTTAAGAAATATTTCAAAAACTAAAACCAAGTCTACATAAGATTTTGAGAAGATGCAGTTTCTATTCAAATGAAATAATCAAGTTTTAAAAGAAGACCAAGGTTGTATATAGATATATTGAAAATTAGTTTCAAAATAGGAGTTTAATATTATACCAAGAAAATATGAACAAGAATGAGTAGTTGGGAAAAAAAGAAGAAAGAAAGAGTTGTTAGGATTAAAATCACATAAGCTTAAAAGCCAAAATACAGATTTTGAAAAATGACAAACAACGATAATGGACTGTTCGAAGGATGATATGAACAATTTTGTGGAATGGTACTAAGACAAATGTTGCAACAAATGCAAAATTGAAAGATAGATCAATATAAGTGAGAATGTATTAATCCAAGTGATAGATGCATATGATTTTACAGGTTGAACTGCAATGTGGACACTTGGAAGCCTTTCAACCCATACTTATTCTGAGATAAAATCTAACCAGAGTTCTAAGAAAAATTATATGGTTTTGTTAATTAAGAGAAGAGCCAAAATACAATGAAAGCCCAAATGTAACCATTACACAATAGGTGTGCCTCTTGAAGAAATTAGGGCACAACAAAAGACTTGTCCAACACTTTTAGCACAACCAGCGAAGCGATGTGTAAGTGAAAATGAAAATAACACCATAATATGATGAGATTGTTGTGACTAATAGTCATGATTTAGATACGCAATGACATGATGTACTGGAATAGTTGGACATAACACCAAGTTACCTTTGCGAATTCGTTTTGAGTCATGTTTTACATAGGTTGTTGAAGAAAGTAATAAGTATACATCTATCTCTCTACTTTTAATTCTTTTGTTCCTTATTTTTTTATTTTTAATTTTTTGTTCTTCTTTTAAGAATATTTTGAATATTTTTAGCTCATAAATGAGGTTGGAGTTTGTCATGGCAATTTAGGAGAACATAACAATTATAGCATGCATAAAGAATCGGAAAATTTGATAGATGCTGGTCGCAGGGAGAGGTTTGTATGGTCTGATGATGATTGGTGAAATGTTGATTTATTTGGTGTTAGGGATTTTCTAGATAATACATGGCCTCTTCACGTCACTTGTTATCTCATCTACTTTTTCTTTTTCTTTACAAAATAATATAAGATTATTTTAATTATGACGTCTTTGTGGGGAAACTACTCAAGCTTCCTCTTCTGTTGGAGCCACACTCTCGGTTGAAGTTCGCTTATGAACTTGGAGAAGCAAATCGAAAGAAAGATTTTTAGGGTGGCACACTTTTTATGTCCAACATGTGTTCCGCTTGATGAAATTGGGGAGGTACACAAGGCTCGTCTCACCTTTCTCGAACAAATGAATTGATGTGCAAGAGAAAATGAAAATAACATCATGTTATGATGAGATTGCTATGATTAACGGTCATGATTAAGATATTCTAAGGCACAATGTAGTCGTGACACTAATTAGAGAAGATCCATCCTCCTATTTGAATATCAGTATCTGCATTTTGTTTGCGGTGTCGACTGCTTGAGCTAGCTGAGTTTTGTTGATTTGATCTTGACAAAGAGGCAGAATGATCTGGATCAACCTCAACTTCCTCATCATCATCATTGACATCAATGTGATGCACAGGCTCATTCATCATTTCAGTGGGAGTTGCAGACCCTCTACCAGTTGCTCGGTCTTTCCCAAATATATTTTTCAACCTACCATATATTAGACATTGTTTCCCCCTCCAACCATCAGCATCCTTGTTATGCTGCATCAAAATGGAAAAATTATAAATAAAAATATAAGTATAAAAAATATAAGAATTTCATATTACTTAACAAGTGTACTAACCTGCACATAAGTGTTCCATGCTTCATTGCTGTCAACCTCAATGCATTTCAAAGAATCATTCCAAGCAAAACCACTTTTGTTAATCATGTCAAAGATTATCCCATACAATATTTTCCAAAACCTCATTTTGGACTCAATATGTGGGACTACCCTTAAATCAGTATTGGGAAATTTCTCAGCCAATGATTTTTCAATTTGGATCATTGTTCCAGATTTAAAGGAACTATTATCACATTGTAAACATCGGTTGACTACATCCTCAAGAATGGTTAACAATGCTTCTTCCTCCATTTAGATAAATGATATCTTGTACCCCTATAAGGAGCCAGATATCCTTGACCATTTGTGTACCCACCATCCACAAGATAATAACATCCTAACAATTAAACAAATATTATGTACCTTACCAAAAAGATAATCAAGCTTAATATTACCATAATGAAACACAAAAATCTAATATTACCTGTAGGAACTCTTAATCCTGTTGGTCTACTAATTGCATCTCGTAACACCCTAGAATCTGACGCAGATCCTTCCCAACCAAGGAAAACAAATATAAATTTCATATAAGGAGTACAAACTCCTAATACATTGGTTGCAACCTCCCCCTTTCGTGTTCGATATCTTGGTTTATCTTGTTCAGGGACACGAACCCTAATGTAAGTCCCATCCAACGCCCCCAAGCATTTCTACGCAATTAAAAAAAAAAGGTACCTTAGAAACTTAAAATATAAATATAATAATAAAATTAGCCAATTTTAATTTAATTTTACAGTACCTTAGACCATCTCCATCTATTATCGGTGCAATTATCAGGTATGGGTTCCGGCACCTTCAAAAGTCTACCTTGTAATCTTATCACTCCATCCAAGATTGAATTGAAGTACCTACTAATAGTCTCCCCCGATTGCTTAAATCTACTACTCATTGTACGATTCTTCACATGATGTGCGAGTGTATGTAAAAAACATACACACTTGCTCTTCTATGGTTACTGAACCATTTGTTCTCACTCTCCTATCATCACGAACCAATTGACATAAATAATGGAAAGTGCTCCTATCCATCATAATTTGGTTCACACATTGTATGTCATCAATTCCTATAATGCTATCTAAATAATTTGACCGAGTTGCAATCCTAAAAAACCTTTGACTCCTAATGGCATTCCGTTGTTGTTCCAAATTGTAGTTTGTCATGAACCACATCATGCACCAAATCATGATATGCAAGAACCACAATCTAATAATAAAGTATGCCACAATCTTTCTTTGGGAAAAAATATCAATAGAATTTGATCACTTTCCAAGTGCCTATTCACAAAAAGATAAAGCATTGATGTCTCTGACATCAATGGAATTTGATCACTTTTACGATTTAGCTTTCATGCATGTAAGTAAGCATAACCTAATTTCAAAAACGAAAAATACATAATCTAATTTCTACAAAAATTTAATAAAAAAATTGAAATATATAAAGAATAGAGAAGAAGCAAGAAGAAACATATTGGAGAGAGTATGAAAGAGAGAAAGAGTGAAAGATGGATATCTGGAGAAGAGTGAAGAAAATAACCTATGGAGAAGATAGCAGAGAAAAACCCTAGGGAGAAGAAGATGAAAAGAACGTCGGATTTTTTTTGTAGAACGCGTGCTTAGCCGTATAATTAAGCGTGTATTATCTAAACCGGGGTGTGTGGGTTGTATTAGTTAGTCAAGTCAGGAGAGTATTAAAAACCCAACCCGTATAAAATAGTAATGTGTTCTTCATGGGTGAAAAGACATCAATTACTCGAAAAATACTCTTCACTGACATTGAAATAAGTGAATAGGTGAAACCCATGCTTAACATACAAGCAATTGACGGAAATTTTGATGACGAAGTTAGTGTTGGAACCAAGTTGCAAAATTCAAAGGCTTAGGGGTATGTAATCCTTAAAATTGAGAGTGCATGAGCAAACGTGCCCTAAGGATAAAAGTTCATGATACTAAATTGAAATTAACCATAATCTAAAAGAGAGAAGGGCTATTCTCCCTACCCACTCCCTCTCTTATCCCTTGGCAGCCCGCCGCCCACCACTCTCTCCCTTTTTTCTCTCTTACCCAACCTAACGCCCACAACCGCCGCATTTCCTTTCTTCTCTCTCAGCATCCCACCCTCCCCACATGCACCATTTCTCTCTCTTTCTCTCTCTCTCTCTCTCTCTCTCTCTCTCTCTCTCGGCAACACCCTCCCATAAGAGAATATCACAACCATTGCAACCCTTGGAAAACCCATAAACAATCGTGGAATTTGTTAAACACATAAACAAAAATACCCAAAATTGAGATTTTGTGTGCTGCATTATGAACCAAAAATGAGGTTATTAAAAAAAATAAAAAAAATAAAAACCAAACAAGCACATGAGAAAATTCCCCAATTTTCCAACAAAACACAAGAAATTGAAATTGAAAATGAAAATGAAAATTTTCACGACATTCATTGTATTTCCCAGGAAAATCGGATTGGGAAAACACATACCAAAGCCAGTTAAAAGCTTGAAATATTTTTGAAAATTTTCAAGCTACTCCTTGGTTCCTACATATACAAACACAAACTCTATTTGACTCTTGCAAATATGAAATTGAGGCTTGTCGGGACGTGGGAGAAGGGCTGATGGGTGCCCAATTTTTTTCTTTTTTTGTTTATGTTTCTAAAAAAGAAATCTTATTTTAAAAGAAATTGGAAGTTAGAAAAATTTGACTGAAATGCCCTTCAATCAGTAAGGGAAGTTAGAAGAATTTGATAGAAATTGGGCATTGTTCATGAATTTGAAACTACTAGAACCTTAGTGGTAAAAGTGAGAAAGCTGCACGGAGCAAAAATGAATTTTTATCTAAAAAAAGATACATAATTGTTAAAATTGAAAATAAATATTACTTTATAACTGAAAATTGAAGTCATAAAGATACAATATCTAGGATGGGATTCAAAATTTAACAGAAGGAAAAAGGAAATATCGAAATTAACCTTTCACATTACCCGGAAGAAAAATCGAAAAAAGAAGACCCAAGAAGAACAGAAGAAAAAGAGGGGTTTTAGTTGAGGGAGAGAGAGGAAAAGGGCCATTTGTGATCTTCTGCTCCGAAACTTCACTATTGATTCTCAGAGCATTCTTGAACTTTCTGTCCCACTAAACACAGTGTTACGACCCGTACCCCAACGACTCACCACGACGTCGTGTTCGGCCGAAACGACGCCGGACGGCGTTGTTTCCCTCGAAGAAAAGAGGGGAGCGCAAGTGCTGGTAATTAACTGATTTTCATTTTTGCCGATTGAGAATTTTCATTCAGAAATCGATTGATTTTGGCTGAAAGGAAGCGTTAAATTTTTTATTTTATTTTGGTTGCAAGCAGTTTTCATTTGTGAGAAAATTGTGCGCGTCAGAAGAGATGGAGTCAGAGCCAGAGCACACACATACTGATATTGACCAAACTGAAGAACATTGCGCGCGTCAACTGCTATGTTTGACGGAACAACGAACTAGAGAAGAGCCAGAGTACATACACATTGACCAAAATGAGTTCTCGCATAGAAGGTAAGCAAAATCTCTGTCTTATTGTTTATTCTTTTGCTCCTCCGTTTTTGTTTTTGTTTTGTTTCTAAAGAGTTAGAATTTTTAACTTGCCATGGCATTTTGCAATTGGGTTTGTGGAAATTGAAGGGCTTTGGTTGATGACTTGTCAATTTGTCTTCTGGGTTTCTCAGTTTTTCAACTGTAAGTGTTGTTAACGCAGTAATTGGCGAAGGAGACCATTCAGAGGACTGATTGCTTATTTCATTTTATTTGAAATTGAGGTTTAGGGTTTAGTGTGTAAGATTATGGTTTCAAGTTAGTTTCTTTCTTGAAAATAGTATAACTTGTGTTGCCATGGCTGAGTCAGAACTTTTACTTGCTAATCTGCTCAAGGAAAGCTTTCTATAGTTGATTTATTTTTAGGTCGATATTTCTATAGTCGGTTGTTGTTGGTTAAAATTGGTTTTACATTCTTAGTTATGACATTGTTTTGTGCAGTCATGGTAAATTTTGTAAATTACTTCTCTAGTCCATGTGTAGGACAATGTTACCCAAATGTCTTCACTTCCTTACAGACCTCATTACTTGGTTATTTTTTTGGGTGGAGTTTCAGGTCATAAATACTTAGTTATTTGCATTAGCAATTTAAAATTTAAATATATAACAAGTTTTCTTTCTATCTGTCTTTTTTTGTTGTTGTTGGTAGACATAATACACAGACGGAGGAAGATATTGCTATATGTGAATGCAAGTATGATGAACATGATCCTGAAAGTGCATGTGGGGAGAGGTGCTTGAATGTACTTACCAGCACAGAATGCACTCCAGGATATTGCCCTTGTGGTGTCTATTGCAAGAATCAGGTAACTCTCTCTCTCTCTCTCTCTCTCTCCCCCACGTCATCCATAAGAGTTTGTGAATATGGATGTGTGTTTCTTGTATTTATTTCCTCTAGTTCTTTTTTCCCTGCTCATACATAAGCCTCCATGGTGTGGCCATGTGTTAATCATAATTTTGTACATTTTGATGGTAAAAGATTCTAATACTTTTATGAATTTGTGTTTTATTTTATTTTCAAAATGAGTTTGTATATGCCAATTCATATTGTACTCCTTGTGATGTTTATCATGTTATTGTTTTTGGTTGTGTTGTGCTTACCTGGTTTTCTTCTATAAAAAAGGTTGAATTCTTTACAGAAAAGGATAAAATGTTATAGACACACATGCATTCACTCCACTGCCTCTTGCTAATAATTTTATTCTCACATAAATATGTGTGTACATGAATGTTGTCTTTGCTGTCTTTATGTGGTTGTCTATGGTTTGAGGGTTTGACATGGAATTTAGGGTTTGTAAACTTTTATGGTTCAAAAGGGTATAGGTTGGCATGTAGATGGAAATTCTGGATAATGGATACTTTATGGGTTCTCCGGCTATTTGTATGAGATTTTTGTTTTTTTGGCCAGTAATAAGCTTTTAGATTGAAAATATAAGATCACAATATTAGCGTTTTATGATGAATAAGTAAAAACAATATGGGCTGGTTGTGGAGTAGTAAAGAGAGTGAATCACTGTATAGGATTGGTAGTGCCTGCATATGTTTGAGAGGAATTAATCATTTTTCTTCATAGTGATAAGGAAATGGACAGAAGTAATTTGGTGTTGACAACCTTAGGTTTTTCCGAGCATGATCCGAGTTATGGAAAATATTATTTTGTGCTTACGAAAATGAAAGGCCTAGTATTGGGAAAGTATATCATTTCCATGGAACATGTAAAACGGGTGAAAAGATGAATTGAAGGGTGAATCACCTATGACCATAGCAATCACTTGTTAAAAATCTTGTTGATTCTACTTTTGAGCCTTTCAAGATGATTTGGAAGTTTTGTGTCTGTACTAATGTGATTTATTTTGGCGTCTAATCCATGGGAAAACTAATGCATGTGAGATACTCTAAAGAAGAAGACCAGATGCTTGCCCATTGGCCCATTTTGTGCTTTTCTAATGCATGTGATATACTCTATTTGTCTTCTTACCTTTAACCCATAAATTTTTAATATTTCGAAAAGACAATCAGTATGGTGGTAAGACCATGGTTGTCACTATACATGAGAGTTTTCTGCCAAATGCAAGGCAAGTTCGTTTTGATAACATCTTGATATTATTTGTCACAAAAGGATTTTTAAAGGTGGGTGGGGAGAATTAGATGGGGTTGGCAATGACACTACTCTTTAATGTATCTCTTTCATGGTCGCATCAATAACTTATCTTCATTTTTTTTAAACATTCTTTTTGCTGTATTATAGTTGCTTTTCTTTTTCCTGAAAGTATCAGGATCATGATGTATTTAGTGTGAGTTTAAGATACCATTTATATTCAAATCCCTGTTCAAATTCTGTGAAACTATTATTACCCATATTTGATGTCGTATTTATTTGCTGTCAACAGAGATTTCAGAAATGTGAGTATGCCAAGACAAAGTTGTTTAGAACAGAAGGTCGTGGGTGGGGTCTTTTAGCAAATGAGAATATAAAGGTAATAGCTTACTAATTTATCTTGATCTGTCACAACTATAAACTGGCATCTTGTTCTGTTATTTATCTTTGGCACTTTTGTTTGACTCCACTGAGAACATTGAAGCTTTATAAGTCTATGATTGAACTATAAATCATTTATTTATAGTTTGTTTATCTGTTGAGTGAATTTTTAATCTCCTGTAAGCTTTTTAATTTGCTCTGTACAATGCAGGCAGGGCAATTTATTATCGAGTACTGTGGAGAAGTGATATCATGGAAAGAAGCAAAGCAAAGATCTCAAGCTTATGAAATTCAAGGTGATTTAATAGACTTATGAAATATATGTTTGTATTTATTTTGAAACTGTGTTCAACGTTTGTGCCTTGGTGCAGGTCTCAGGGATGCATTTATTATTTCTCTCAATGCCTCTGAGTCTATTGATGCCACTGAAAAGGGAAGCCTTGCTCGATTTATAAATCATTCATGGTGAGCCACATCAGGCAGAATCTAATTTGGGGAAATGAAATATCTTTAGAACAACTAGCTGTTATCTCTTGTTTCTTTCTTACTTTCCTTTAGTTGAGAATGAGTTACAATACTTTAATGTTTTCAGCAAACCAAATTGTGAGACAAGAAAGTGGAATGTGTTGGGGGAAATTAGGGTTGGAATATTTGCAAAACAAGATATATTGGATGGAACTGAGTTGGCATACGACTACAATTTTGAATGGTATGGGGGTGCTAAGGTTCGCTGCCTCTGTGGTGCGCCGAGCTGTTCAGGATTTCTTGGGGCAAAATCTCGTGGTTTTCAGGTAATTTATTTATTGAAAGATGAAAAAATGTGTCAGTTTGATCTGTGTTATAGAAGTTGTTGCATAGGTCCACATTACCTGTTTCCCTATTATAAAATTGTCTGGATATTGTATTGCACTGTCCTAGAACTAGCTGATATCCAACTTTAAAGGGGCTGTTATCTAGGAGGTTGGTGAAACTCACAATTGGAATGAAATAGAAAGTTAAACATCTTGCCTTGGATGCATAATGCCAGTGCCTTAATCTTTCAAGTTAACTTTTTGTTTTTGTTTTTGTTTTTCTGAGCATGATCTCATTGTTAGTTTTGAAATCCTTTGCATAATGACCTTTCTTTGGAAGCTATCAACTCTAAGGATCATCAGTACCGATTTTATAGTATAAAATGGTTTTAGGGATTTGTAGTGTCCATTGGTTCGCAATCGTCCTACAAACTTATATGAGGATATATGTCCGAAGGCATAGTGCTCAGAGTTTAGAGGCTTTGTCTCACTCAGCGAAAAGAAAACAAAAACTTAAACATTTTAATTGTAGGCTCTCCTACCAGAGACACAACCTGAAAATGCCTTAGGAATACAAGTGTCTTGCAGAATTTCTCGAAGGCCTAAGCTTTTTTGTTGAGGTGTATGCTGTATAAACCCGTGTCACTTTTTTGTTGAACAGTTGCTATTTTAATTTTTCTTGATGCTGATAAAGAAAAAAGGGTTTTCCAGAGATCAAGACACTTCGTTTAGGCTCTTAAATAAGAAATTTATAAAAGGAGGTGTTTGGCAGGAGAGAAATCTGGTTTCCTGTACTTTTCTGCTTCGGCAAGACTACTAACGACCTGATGAATAAAATTTTATGGTCGATCATGGGCCAGTTTATTGGGTTTCTTAATTGGTTTTGACTTTTGCCAAATTCGGGACTCAAATTGGGTTGTTTTTAACATGTTGGAATGGACTGAATGTGGGGTTGTCTATTGTGTTTAATGGGTGTCTCATGGACTTCTAAAGGCGTGATTTTAAAATAAGGGAGCTTCTAAATGCACTCTTCAATTTGATCAGTGCACTCTAAGCTTTAATAACATTTTTAATCACCATTGTAACCTTTGCAATGACTAAAACGAACTTAATACACTTCTAAAGGGTTTCCAATTACCATAGCTCACACTCAAGCTTATACCCAGCCTACCATCAAGTCCCAAACAAAACCCTATCACCAGCGTCAGAATCATCTTTTTCTCACTCCATAGACCCCAATGATATGATACCACCCATATTGAATTCCCTTGGTCGGAGCATCAAATCATCATTTATGACGAGTCAGTGAGGATGGAAAGGTATGTTATTTGCCACCATAGTGAGTTTTATTTATTTATCGTTCTTTTGTGCTACTAAAAACAGGGCTCATGTTTTGTTCTGCCAACCAGAGCTGAGCACCAAATGTACTGTGTGGTTATGTGTGGCCGAAAAATGTTCCTCAAGTGCGGCCCAATATGGCTGCATTTTACATTTGGTGCGTGACTAAATTGGCTGCACATCAACATGAAAGTGGAGCCAATAATAGCCACAGAGTTTTCTCTATGTGATGTATTCTCTAAATAGGACACTAACAAAATTCTTCATGTAAGCTTTCTCTCTAATGCAGGGCGAAACTTCTTCTCGAGGTAGTGGGGTTGGCTCAGAATGTGCAATGGACTACACGAGTGAATTTACGATGAATGAGGTAACTAAATTTTTGCTAAATTGCCAGTTAGCTTATTGTTAAATCACCAACCAGCTTTATCGTTAAGTTGCTGACTGACTTGATCATTAAATAGCTTTGGTGTTTGGTCAAAATTTCCTTTGCACCAACATGGAAGTACTGCCAATAATGACTGTAAAGTTTTCTCCTGTAACGTATTCTCTAACTGAATACTAACAGAATTCTTCATTCAAACTTGTTTTTGCTAATGCAGGTTGATAATTCTACTCGAGATAGTGGGGTTAGCTCGGAATGTGTGATGGATTACACAAGTGAATTTACTACTTATGAGGTTATGAACTTGATCGTTACATAGCTTTGGTCCCAATAAAAGTCATACGTATATTTTGGATACTTACACACTAGTTTCTTTTGTTTTATAGATATTCAAGACTAGAGAGTCCTTAATGCAGTGGGCTCGTGAGGCTGGAAAGAGAAATGGGTTTGTTATTGTGACAATAAGATCTGATTTGGGTGGTAAGAGTATGAAACCAAGAGTTACATTAGGCTGTGAGAGGGGTGGAAGATTTAAGGAGAAGAAACTAAAGTCAATAAAGGTGCTAAAAAAGATGTGGGACTGGCACGAAGAAGTGTGGGTGCCTGTTCACATTGAAGGGTGAGAAGTTGGCAAGTGGCAATGGATGGATGCTGAAGGTCTTATGTGGAGTGCACAACCATGCATCAACTGAGTATTCTGAGGGGCGTTCATATGCAGGGAGGTTGTCAGAGCAGGAGACTTCACTCTTGATAGACTTGTCAAAGAGTTTAGTACGGCCCAAAGAAATCCTGAGCACATTGAAGCAAAGGGATGAACTCAATGCTACAACCATAAGGACGATCTACAATGCACGCCAAAGGCAAAGAGTTAAAGAGAAGGCAGGGAGGTCTCAAATGCAACAACTTTTATGTAAGTTGAATGAGCATGACTATGTTGAGTGGCATAGGAGTTGCCCTATGTCTGGTAATGTGCTGGACTTGTTTTGGGCACACCCTGTGAGTTTGGAGTTGTTGCGTGCATTTCCAACCATTTTGATGATGGATTGCACGTACAAGACTAATAGGTATCACTATCCCCTACTAGAGGTTGTAGGCGTCACATCAACTGATATCACATTCTCAGTTGCATTTGTTTTTTTAGATTCTGAAAAAGAAGATAACTATATATGGGCATTAAGCAGATTGCGTGGTGTGATGGTGGAGTGTGCTATGCCAAATGTTATTGTCACTGACCTGGATTTGCCATTGATGAGAGCCGTTGAGGTAGTATTCCCTACGGCTAGACATCTTTTATGCAAATGGCATATTAATAAGAATGTGCTGTCCAAATGCAAAAACTTGTTTGAGTCCAAGGAAAAGTGGGATAGATTTATAATGAAGTGGAATGTACTTGTGACGTCTCCTACGGAAAGTGATTACAAACGGGAGCTAGCAGTGTTACAGAGCGAATTTAGTATGTACACTGAGGTCATGGAGTATGTTATAAACACATGGTTGAAGCCTTTGAAGGACAGATTTGTGTCAGCTTGGACCGACATGATTATGCATTTTGGTAATGTTACATCAAACAGGTAATTCTTGAAGTTATAATATAATTAGTCATGCAATATTACATCACTGGTTTAATATGAATTTGTGTTAACCTGTTGTATTTTTTTTATGATTTAATAGGGCTGAGGGTGCACATTCCAAGCTTAAGAGGGAACTTGGTTTGAGTCAGGGGAATTTTGAGGGTTCTTTTGAAAATATACACTCTCTCATCGAGTTACAACACATTGACATAAAGACATCTTTTGATAAGTGTTCGACAGTTGTGCAACATACCTTCAAGTCTTCAGAATTCAAATATTTGAGAGGAGTTGTATCAATTTTTGCATTGGAGAAGGTGTTATCTCAGTCCAAGCTAGCCGCCTCAATTGGTGTTGATGCTTTGGCATGTGGTTGTGTCATACGCCGTACCCATGGTCTACCTTGTGCCCATGAGATTGCAGAATACAAGAGGGATTGTAGGCCAATTCCTCTCGAGTCTCTTGACCCCCATTGGATGAAACTTGATTTACTGCCTCCTAGTTCTATTCAGGATTCCATGGATGTGAATGAGTTTCCGGAGTTGAAGTTGCTTCAGCAGTACTTTCTGGAGGCAAATAAAGACAATAGGTTGATGCTAAGGAAAAGAGTGAGAGAACTTGTAGCACCCTATACAACTACTCTTGTTGAACCAGGAATCAAGTCTAGATTACGAGGTCAATTGAAGGAGAAAATTGATATGTCCAGTCGACGAGACCCATATGCATTTGAATTGAGATCTGCATCTGTGGATAGTCACTCACCTAGCTTTACAGGTGATACAATGGATGTTCCGCAAAATTTTACACATAAGAAAACGGAGCGAACAAAGGAGAAGGTAATAAAGATACCCATTACTAAATTGAAGATGATATAGTTACCCATTTATACATAACAATTTATATTCATACAGGTGTACCGGACGTTGACGGTGAAAGGTATTTCATATATTGATGCGTTCCCAGTTGGATTGAGGCCCTTCATTCAGCAAGTCAAGGATGTATGTCATGATGGTCACTGCGGGTTTAGGGCAGTTGCTGATTTAGTGGGATTGGGTGAGAATGGATATTTGCAAGTGCGTAATGACTTGCTTACTGAGTTGTCTTCATATTCTGCGCATTATGGCGAGTTGTATGGCACCACAGACAGAGTTCGCGAGTTAGCACAGATACTATCATTCTTTGATGAGGGTAGAGCGCCATTTGACAGATGGATGACGATGCCTGACATGGGTCATCTTATAGCGTCATGTTATAAGGTTGTACTTTTCCACTTGTCAGCTACTCAGTGCCTTACGTTCCTGCCGCTTCGATCAGCACCAGTTCCTTTGCCAACACGTAGACACATTGCCATTGGTTTTATGAATGACTGTCATTGCGTGGAGGTATGATAGCAATAATTTATGATGTGTGTGGTTTTATTGTAGAAAGACATTTTAGATTAATGTAACATATGTTTCTTGTAGGTGTTCTTAAGGCCAGGGCATCCTGTGCCTCCTGTTGCATCTGATTGGATCAGATGTCATACGCCAGCAGCACAAGGATGGGACTCTTTGTATACTAGTTGTATTTCACGCTTCAAATCTCTTGTCAGCTCGGACCAAATCTGACTTGGTCAGGAGTATGTCACAAGTTCAAACTGTTTCAGAACACACTGAGGATCGTAAGGTTAGATCACATAAATGCACCTGAAAAGAAGGAGAGGTGATGAAGTGGATGTTGCTCCCAAATCCCACCATAAGGAACCCAAATTACCTGCACAAATAATGGCAACCAATATTTGAAATGATATACATACTTAAAAGGGAAAGTGATAAACCTAATAGTATGGACAGAGGACGTCTGATACCTCATCAATTACGAAAGCATCCAACTCCTCTCTTATGCTGCAAATCATTCATAGCGGCAGCTTTGACAATATCCAATGATACACAAGCGGTTTGTCTGAGATATAGTTCATGTTCCAACGTGTCCCAAAGAGCAAATAAGCTTACATTCTCACACCTCTAAAAGCTTCAAGTGTCCCGCTGTCTGTCTAATACCATACCTGGTTACGTGCCCCAAATGTAAATACATGTAGTTGGGGGACGCAATTCCCCATCTCATCTCACCGAACTCCATAAGCATATGAAACTAGATTATGCACACTCGTGTACTGCTGTTATCAGTGAAGAATGTACATCTCAACATACAACAAATATGCTCTCGTATCCTGATTGTGCACATATCAGCACAACTGAGAATAATTGAAAATCCTCTAAAACTTTACATTAATTTCTATTGGTCCCTCAATCAGTTGTGATTTGAAATATAAAATCTGCATACTGCAAACTAATTTTTCTACGTTGTACAGTTTTTCCTGTCCTATGTATTTTTAATTCTGTCCTTGTTTTGTGGGGCAGGTTTTTTCCCATCTGATTTCATTTAAATTCTTTGCAGTTAGCATGGTGCATTCATAGGATTTCTGGTGTGCGTTTGCTGTTATTTTACTTTTGCTCAAGTTATTGTTTTGCTTCTGACTATTTATTAGTAGCAGTTATAATTGTGCATCTTTAGAATTTCCGGTGTGTTTGATGTTAACTTTCTTTTGTTCAATAATATTATTCATCATGGTGTTTAATGTTATGCAACTTTTTCCAAACAGGAGGATACTTACCTATGGGAAGACGATGATGACAGGTACCATTTAAGCGTATACCTTAATGCATTTGTCTTAAAAGTTTCATTTTGTGCAGAAGTGATCTACTGCAGGCACTTGCTTGTAATTTGGTTAATAGTTTCATATTTTAGTTATTACCCTTCTAAATTTTGTTCCCTTTGGTCTAGTTCATCTTGATTGTGTAAGAGGTTACCAATAATTGGTAATCTAGCACTGACATTTCTTCGAAGCTGTCATGTTCTTGTGCCCTGACACAATGCTCGACCCTGTACGTGGTCATTTGTGTATTTTCTCAACACTTCATTGACACTTTCCCAACACTTTCCTGACAAAGTTGAGGCGAAATTATAATATTTTTCTTAAGAAATTGTAAGAGACTTAGAGGATGTTATGCATGTTAATGGGAGTCTTTGGATCCAAAGTTATGGTTGGCTGCTTATGGATCTACACACAAAATTCAAGCCTTAGCTACAAGTTGACTTAGCCAACCTTATCTCAGTGTTCGGAGATTTATTTGAGTGCTTATTCTCTTATGTTATTGTTATTTTTATGCTAATATTACTATATACTTAGGGAGCTAAGACTTAAGTGTGTATTATTATTTCATTTTTTATTATTGGATTGGATTTATTCTGATGTAATGCTTTATGTTGAGTTAGGACTTTGGTTTTACATGCTTTCAATGAAATTTTTGACCATTAACTTTGGAAGAATTAGTTACAAACTAATTATTCATGCATAAAGATGAAACTAAATTTTAAAACCCTAAAACCATGTTCACTTACTTTCTGTGTCCATGGTGTTGGGTATCTTAATTTGGTAAAATTCGTAATGAGTGATGTAGTGTTAGGTTGCATGTTGGTGTCTACTTCGTAGTTTATAATTCTCTTCTTTTTGATATATATATATATTTTTTAATCATCAGTAGTTCTATAGTTTGCATATGTTGCCTTGTCCATCTCTTTATGTACCTTTCCTCTTCTTTAATAAAATATGTTGTGTTTCCTACAAATGTAACTAGTTTTACCATGCTTAACTCTTCAGCAATTTAGACATTAACTGATCTACATGGAAAGAAGAAATCTTCAAATGAGTGGGTTTTGTAGAAGACTTAATGAATCAGATGAGTGGATCAGTTGCAAGTAGTTTCCACTTCTCTGGTGGGGCTGGTTATCTTGTTAATTTCAGCAAACACGTCTTAGGTTTTGTTTTCCATTTTGTGGCCTATGTGGTTGAAAGGTATAGGTTTATGATGCAGTTTTATCTCGAGTATATCTTTAATATCAAACTAAAATCTTTCGAAAAAATGCACACCCACTCTCATGTACACATGCGTATTTAGAGACCTTATGTAGACTTGTGCATTCCTTTTTATGATTTATCTGTCTTACTTGAGTTATATTTAACTGCCTGTTGGTGTCAGGTATTCAGTTGAGAAAATTCCGCTCTATGATTCTGCAGAGGATGAGCCTTCCTCGAGGCTCTTCAAGACTGTCAACTCCTCAAGTTCTGAATTTGATGTTGATGGGATGATGATCAATGTCAATGTGGATTCTGGACATCAGTTGATGTCTACTGCTCTTGTTGTGCAATCACTTGATTCTGTTCCAATGGAGGGTGTAGTTATGGGGGTAAAAACAGAAGTGAGTGAGGAGAGGAAACTTTATTCACAAGAAAATCAACCACCTTTTTCAAGAAAGAATGCAATGATATCTCGTATCCGCAGTAATACTGCATGTCGTAACTATCACATTGGATCAGGATCCATGCCAAACAAAAGATCAAAGCAATACTCTAATGGAAAGGTGAAACATGGTGCACAAAAGCAAGTTGACGCCAAGTCTTTTGCTTCGCTTTTAGCATCAAGGGAAGCACAAGAGGAAATTTTAAAATATGAGGTATTTATCTTTTCATTTTTTTATTAATCTGTTCTATATATAGAAGTGTATGTCTTATAACATTCAGCAGACCAAAATGCCATATTATTAATAATTATCAGCTCATCTATATAATCATCTAAGCTTAGTTGGTATACATACGTTTTATTTTCAGTTGAAAATTACGTATAAAATCTAATGACCAATAAAATACCCCAGCAGTTAAAAGTAGCCATAATATAGTTTATACCTAATATATCAAGCAACCAGACCTTATCTCATGTGATGTTAGCCAAAACAAAAAAAACCAAGATTGATAGCGTATGATAGTAAAGAGCATGTGATTTTTGGTGTGACCATCTGAGGTAGTACTTTCCATTATTTCACAAACCTTGTATTAAAAAGATATTATGTTAAGGTAGTAAAATACTGTATAATTAGAAAAGAGAGATCTGGAGGTTCCCAATAGATAAATTAGAAAAATTCCGGCAGCACACCGCCCTTTGGCATCACACTGAATGTGCCTTGAAATCTCTCCAAGCCAACCTGTGCTTTCACACATCAGCGGGAATATAATTTACTTAATGGAATATCATTTATTTATTTTGTATAATTTTTTAATCTTCAATCCCAATTTCATGTACATAAAAGTCGTGTATAACAACATTTGTGCCTGAAGTATTTTCCTATGTCATTGTACACAATTAGTACTGTTTAATATTTCAACTTAAATGATTTTATTATATGCTATTAGCGCCTGGCACATGATTTTATTGTTACTATTATTATCAAATTGTTCACGTTGAAAATTTTATTCAGTGTATGAAAAATGATGCTGCCACTCATCTTGAATCTTTATACAATGAGATACGGCCTGCCATTGAAGAACATGAAAGGGACAGCCAAGACAGCGTGGCTACCAGTGTAGCTGAGAAGTGGATTGAAGCCTGCTGCTTGAAACTGAAGGCTGAATTCGACCTTTATTCTTCCATTGTTAAAAGCATTGCCTGCACTCCGCGAAGGGGCCAAGCTGAACATTATGATGGCAACAATGAGAATGAAATCAAGTACCAGCAGAACTGATCTTTGTTCTCAGCTCGTTCATTGGTTTGGAACAGATACATTTGGATAAAGCCACATCAGATTGAATTGTAACTGTTCAGTCTATTTTAGAATTATCAGATTTACACCATGGTTCTGGGATTACTGTTCCATGTTTAGTATTGTGATATACTTCTAGATATCTTTCTTTAAAAATAAAATTATTCGGGTTTCTTGGTATGTTTGGACTACATAATGCTTTAACTAAGAAATGAAAAAAAGGGTTACTATACGAACACGCTTTTTTTTAAATTGCATTTAGGGTTTAATGTGAAATTGTGCCTTTTCTTTTGGGTTAACTATCAATTTACCTCATGAACTTGGACGCTACTTTCAATTTGCACTCTTAACCTTTTTTTCTGGAAAATTAAGGATACAAATTATTTTTTATCGACAATTCCCCCCAACCGTCTAAATCAACTTTTTGACATCCAATAGTCTGTCAAATTGTCATTGTTCAAAGGGTAATTTCGTCTCTCCACCTTAATAACTCCACTCAGCCCCTTTTCCAATCACACAAGTCGTCGATTTAAAAAGAAATAAGAAAAATAAAAGTCACCGAAGGGTCAATCCGCATGACTATTACTAAAGTAAGGTTTGTTTTGGGAAAGAGGAAATTCGACGATTCAGCACTGAATAGATAATTTGAAGACTGAGGGTTTTTAATCGGTGAGATTTTTGAATACGAGCTTTGTAGATTCGACGAAATATGGCTCCGATTATGCATAGCAGTGGTCGTCCTCCAAAAGTAAGTTTTTTTTTTTTTTTTTTTTTTTTTTTTTTTTTTTTTTTTCATTGTGGTCCAATGGTGTCGGTAGAATAGTGTTTCTTATCTCCCGTTTGTAAAGTAGTTTGGCTGAGATTCTTCATTTTTGGTTTGGGTGATATTCCTTTATGAAAAGAAAATAAATTTGTGGTCCCAACCCAAGGGTAATGCATGTGATTTGTCTGTTCTTGATCTGTAACTTTTGGTTTTGTTTGATATGAGCAAGTTTTTGTTATGTCAAATGTAAATGTGTTGTTATGGCTGTAAATATAAGTTGTTGGTGACATTAAGTGTTGTTTATATATATATTTTATTACTAGCTAATCCATGTAACTTCACCATGGAGGGAATTTTAAAAGGGTAGTATATTAGTGATTTACCCCATGAACTTGTACTTAACTTTCGATTTTCCCCATATCCTTTTTTTTGGTAGAAAACTAAGGATATGAACTTTTTTTTTCGCCAATTTCCCCCTACTGCCTAAATCCTCAACATTTCATCCAATTTTCAGTTCAATTATTTTAAAATTTTATTTTTTTGTAAAAAAATTGAAGAAATAGTACCATCCTCCACCCCTACAAACCTTTCCCCCCCTCCTCCGGGTTTTTCTTCTCCTCCCATTCCCCCATGACCATCACCCTCCACTCCCAGACCAATCCCCCACCCCACAGACCCCTCCCCTCACCTCCTAATTTTTGTTTTTTAACCCCCTAAGCCAAGCCCTCCTTGGGTTTTCTTTTCCACCCATTCCCTATGTGACCATCACCCTCCACCCTCAGACCAATCCTCCATCCCCAGATCAATCCCCCACCCCACAGATCCCTTCCCCCTCATCCCCATTCTTTTTATCCTTGCCTCTAAACCCAGACCCATCCCTCCCTTGCGCTCAAAGTGGCTGTCCCAGGAATTCACCCTCTCCACACTCACATCATCGAAGGAGGCTCTGCAAAACCATTGGCCAAGAAGATTCCAGTGCTTAACGAGAAGTATGTGATGCCAGCAGAAATGGCTTCAGAGGTGCTTTACTGAAGAATCCCACTTCAGGAAATTGCAGATCGGAGCAACATTTGGAGCTTTTGGGCAGCTACAACCTCTGCGGCAAATTACCGCACAGAGAGAGAGAGAGAGAGAGAGAGAGAGAGAGAGAGAGAGTTTATTTCAATTTTCTGTTTTTTATTTTATGGGTTTTTCGCATCAATGGTCCCTCAACTATACCTGTTTTTGCATTTGGGTCACTGAACTCAATTATTAGTTGTAGAGGTCACTCAACTATGTGTGTCGTTACACCAGTAGTCCTTCCGTCAAGTCTGGCTAATGTGGTGTCAATTTCATGGGCAAATTCGAGAGAGAGAGAGAGAGTTTATTTTAATTTTCTGTTTTTTATTTTATGGGTTTTTCGCATCAATGGTCCCTCAACTATACCCGTTTTTGCATTTGGGTCACTAAACTCAATTATTAGTTGTAGAGGTCACTCAACTATGTGTGTCGTTGCACCAGTAGTCCTTCCGTCAAGTCTGGCTAATGTGGTGTCAATTTCATGGGCAAATTCGAGAGAGAGAGTTTATTTTAATTTTCTTTTTTTATTTTATGGGTTTTTCGCATCAATGGTCCCTCAACTATACCCGTTTTTGCATTTGGGTCACTGAACTCAATTATTAGTTGTAGAGGTCACTCAACTATGTGTGTCGCTGCACCAATAGTCCTTCCGTCAAGTCAGGCTAACGTGGTGTCAATTTCATAGGCAAATTCGTCTTTTGAAGTATGGCATGTCCAACCTCCCATCTACAGCAACTTCCCTTCGAAAAATGTCAAATCTAGCGCCAAATAAATTCCCAATTCCCATTTATATTCGAAGAAAGCCACATAAAAATAGTAGATGTGCTGAAATTTTGGAAATTGGAAGGAAATTTGGGAAGCCACATAAAAACAATAGGTGCGCAAAAATGTCGCAGATTTCTTCTTCATCAACAAATCCGAGCCCTAGTGCGAGGAAGCTATGCAGGTGCAGTGGATATATCAAAACTTGGACTTCATGGACTGATTTAAATCCTGGGAGAAGATTTTAGGCTTGTGAGATGAGTCGAGTAAGTTAATCTGTGAAATTTTATTTTGTTGCTTGATGGGTTTAGCTTTGATGTTATGAAACGTACTTTGCAGAGAAACAGAGGAAATGGGCATCATTGGGAGTGGCTGGACGCACCGACCTGTGCAAAAGGAAAAGAACTAATTCCTGGGTTGCTGAGAAGAATGAGAGCAATGGAAGATGACCTAAAGTTAATAGAAGAACAGAAGAAAGAAGTGGAAGATAAGCTAAAAATGATGGAGAGAGAAAAGAAGGAATTAGAGTACAAAGTTGGAGAACTATGCAAGCAGAAAAGACTGTTGGAAAAGAAAAGAACAGGCCAACGACCAAGAGAGAATCAGATTTGGGGGGTTTCATTTCTGTCTTTGGTTCTTGGGTTTTTGGTGATTATGATGATGCTCTGTGTCTTGAGCAATTAGTTGACATTTTCAGGTGGAAACTATCAAAAGCTTATGATCAATTAGGTCGAAATGTAACCGATATGTAACTCATTTTGCAATGAAATTTGAGTTCGAGTGTAAGAGACTTGGTAGGAGACTTGAATATCTTGGCAGGAGACTTGGGTGGTTGTGATGATGATGATGTAGCTCCAGTGTAAAAGAGTGGATGTGATGATGATGGGAGTGGCTGTGATGATGATGGGAGTGGTTGTGATGATGAGAAATTGTTTGGCATTTCTGTTGTCCCATTTCCAACCTAAAATACAATGGAACCATATTAACTAACTAAAGTAAATTAACCAACCAAAGTAGTATGACAGAGTTGTCACTTACATTTCCTCTTCCGGTTGGCATTTCTCCTCTCCCATTTCCTTTCCCTCTTCCTGTAGTAGTTCCTCTGCCTCTAGTTGGGTTGGGCTGATTAGGGTGGGCTTAAAACACAAAAATAAACATGATATAAACTAAATAATAACAAAAAAAAAGGGTCATATGAACTGGTTGGGCCTAAAGACCAAAAAAGAATTAAACTAAATAGATTTTAACCCAAATACCTGATCTGCCCCTTGGACTGTAGAAGAGGCAACTGATCCTTAGTTGGGCTAATTAGGAACGGCCTACAATAACAAAAACAAAAAACCAATTAAAGTTGTCAACAACAAAAGTAAATTAAACTACATAAAATATACCCAAAATACTTATGATGTCCCTTGGTTGGCATGTCGTGTCTTATTATGTCCCTCTTGGCCACAAATTGAGCATCTTATCGTGACATAAATCCTTCTCAACCTAGTAGGTGGTGGATTGTAAAATGGAGGCAAAGGGTTTGGAGGAACTGAAGCAAGTACTTCAACATCAGCTGGTCCTTTATTCCTTGATTTCCTAGGTCTTCCAGGCTGCTTATTATATGGAGGAGGTTTAATTGGAGGCCAATTAGTTCTCTGCCACTGGTCCATGGATGGTATTTGGTGTACCATAGGTTCATATGAACTCAGGTAGGCTTCTTTCTTATAGCAGTCATGTGCAAAGTCAAACACATTTGCCTCTTTTTGAAAGATACAAGAATAGCATGAGAACATGGGATCCCACACAAATCCCATCTTCTACAAGAGCAAGTCTTGGCTTTTAGATTCACTACATACTCTCCCCCATACATATGGCTCACTTGGTATTTGCTCTCACCTGCCAATCTAGGAATGCATTGACTAGCTCCCAACTTGTTCTTCTCAATGATCTTGACAATCCTAGGCCCAACTGGATGTCTCCAAACCGTACCAGCAATCCTTCTTTTAGCCATCCTTAACATGATATAAACTCTAATCCTTTCTAGACATGTTAAGATAGACTTGTCTCTTGAATCTAAAATGTAAGAGTTAAAGGATTCACAGAGGTTGTTCAACAACAGATCACACTTAGAATGTGGCTCAAAATGAGATATACTCCAATTTTTGGCTGGTCTCTTCTTAAGCCACTTCCATGCCTCTTCATCTTGCTCTTTCATCTTGTCCATTTCTGCTTCATACCAGGGAATGGTAGTTGCTCTTGCCGCAGCCCAGAGAATGTTTTTCAGTGCAAGGCCAGCATGATCTGTCTTGAAGTTGCTGTAGAGATTCCTAACACACATTCTGTGCTCAGCTGTTGGAAGCAATGTCTCAATTGCAGGTATTAGACATTTTTGCTTATCACTCATAAACACCCAAGCTTTCCCATTCTCAATTTGTAAGTCTTCAATCAAAAGTTGAAGAACCAAATCCAGGTACTTTTTGATTCCACCTCTACAACAACATAAGCAACTGGGTACAGTCCATTATTCCTATCAACACCAACAGCTGTTAAAACTTGTCCTGTGTAAGGTCCCTTTAAATGGAAACCATCTATACCAATTAGAGGTCTACATCATGCCAAAAATCCCCGCTTACAAGCTTCCAAACACACATAAATTCTTTCAAACACAGGTTTATTACCCTTCATCTTGTTCTTTATAATCACAGTGATGCCCTTGTTAGCATTCTTCAATTCTTCTGCATAGTCCCATAGCCTCACATATTACTCTACATAGCTGCCTTCAATGATCACCTTGGACTAGTTCTTTGCTTTATAAATCTGATGCTTTGAAACATTCATATGGTACTTTTCTAAAACCTCAACCTTGAATGCCCCTACATCCCAGTCAGGATTTTTCCTAATCTTGTCAGCAAACCTTTTGGACAACCACATTGAATTAGTATATTTCAGTTTGTCCACTCTAGTACACTCATGCTCTAAGGACAGAGTTTTTATGGCAAATGTCTGCTCATCTCTGTCTATCTTGGAAACCCAGAGAATAAAAGGGCATTTCGTGTGACCTACACACTTTGCTTGAATCCTTTTATTATCATTCTTCACCAATTTAATATTCCTCCTTTGCACAATTGCATACTCCCTAATAGCTTCCTTGAGTTCATCCTTATCGGCAAATTGCATTCCAATTCTAAACTCTGGATTTCTCAAATCAGTTTCTTTGCTAAACTATTTAAAATTTTTCTTCTTCCATTTCCTCTTGCTTGTCTTTTTTTGACCTTCTTCCTCATCACCAGAGCTATCATCATCAGAAGGAAGTCGATCACTATCTTAATCATCATCTGATATCTCCCATGTAGCTTCATTAAGAGGCATTTCATTCATCTCTTCAAAACATTGTGCATATTCATCATTTGGTGCATCGTTCCTTGGTTGTGCTCTTGATGCAGCCTCTTTATTACCATATTCCTCTTCTTTACTTATTTCATAATCACTGTCAATAATAACATCCTCCTCTTCCTCCTCTTCCTCTTCATATTCATCGTTCCTTGGTTGTGCTCTTGATGCAGCCTCTTTATTACCATTTTCTTCTTCTTCACTTATTTCATAATCACTGTCAACAATAACATCCTCCTCTTCCTCTTTATATTCATCTTCATTGCCAACATCTTCACTGTGCTGTTGTTGCCCTTTATCTTCACTCTCTAGCTCTTTGTTATGAGTAGGATCATGGTAATACAACACCAATACCTGATCTGATGAAATGCTCCCAACCAACCCTGGAATACAACTATCATTTACAACCTCATTCACAACATGCTGACCACTTTTTGCAAGCCCTTTATAGTAAACTTTTAAGCTTGTAACCCTTTGTGTTATATCAACTTTGTATCCAAGATCTATCCCAATTTTCTATAAATCCAATAATGACAGATAGTCATGAATACAGTTGTCAACATAGCATACTTTGCGTCCCTTATACACGCCATTCTCCAACATACCAAAGTGGTGGAGTTCAAGAGTACACATCTCTTTTTTATCTACCACATTACATAAAGGTATGCTTACAAAAAATTTCAATGACAATAAGGAGAAAGTAAACAAGGAAGACAAAGTAAGTGCAGGCATGTGCAAGTGTGAAATCACTTCCATGACAAACCGACAGAAATGGGACCACAGACAATAATAAAGACTCCAACTACATTTTTTCCCACCTTAAAGACAAAACTTCATTGTCAACAACAGGACCACACATTTGCAAACATAATATGTTGCAATATAAAATGCAGAATGAATATTTAGGTTATAGTAACTTACTATACTTGGGGGGTTCTCCAGACAACTGAAAAATTATCTCCATTTGAAGAAGCCTCCACACACTGTAGACTCGACACTTTTCTCTGTGATTTCCACGAAACTGAAATCCTATCTATGTACTTTATCGCTTTTTTAACTCAAAATGCTTCGCGACTTCGTCCATTAACACATAATGCTGAGATTATGTTCCAAAATCCCCCAAAATCGAAGTCCAATGCCTCACAATTTGAAAACCCTAGATGCGATTTTCCCCTTTTGCACAGACTGCCATTTCTGTGCAACTGTCGTTCTCTTCAAAGCCAAAAGATTCATTTTAATTAACTGAAAAGTCAGATTTGCCCATAACGAATCTATGAGATTCTCACATATGCTTGTCATGTCATCATTTGAAACGGAAAAAGCTAATGGATTTGACGAAAGGACTACTGGTGCAACGACACACATAGTTGAGTGACCTCTGCAACTAATAATTGAGTTCAATGACCCAAATGCAAAAACGGGTATAGTTGAGGGACCATCGCTGCGAAAAACCCTTATTTTATTATTCATTTTTCATTTATTTTTAACGTACAAAATGACCACTTTACCCTCATATTTAATGGCAAATTGGATGAAATGTTGCAAATTTAGACAGTATGAGGGAAATTGGAGGGAAAAAAAAAGTTCATATCCTTAATTTTCTTATAAAAAAAAAGGAAAAGGATATGGAGCAAATCGAAAGTTAGGTACAAGTTCAGGAGGTAAATCACCAGTAAACCCATTTTAAAAAGGGGAAATATTTGGGTGGTAGGGTACAATGGATAGATGACTGTATTGGGGATCATTTTTCAATGTTGAACATGTATGACATTGCTACATCACTCGGACACAACCAGTTAAAAACGTGTTTTCACTATAAGAGCACAACAAAGGTTTTTCTTCCAATAGAAACAGATGGCCATGAACTTGAGTTTGCGCAGCAAATTCCTTCATCTAGGGTTTAGAATTTGTACCTCTCACATAAGCCAGAACCCCCCTGTTAGAGAGTTAAGCATTTGCATCTACCCCTACATTTCACTCTGATGGTTCGTTTTACCCAAATTTACACCAAGTTGATGTAGAAGCTGATGTGAATACTTCATTTATGGTCAGTGGGGTGATGGTTGGGATAATTTGTGGAGTTATTAGGGTGGAGAGACGAAACTACCCTTGAACAGTGATAATTTGACAAACTATTGGATGTCAAAGAGTTGATTTAGACAGTAGGGAGGATTTGGCGATAAAAAATAATTCGTATCCTTAATTTTCCAGAAAAGAAAGGCTAGGGTACAAATTGAAAGTAGCGTACAAATTCATGAGGTAGATTGACAGTTAATCCTTTTCTTTTGCGAATGATGTGGAGGCTTATGAAAAAGGGGAAGAGGCTTTTCTATATTTATGTATTGGAAGGTATGCTTGATTGCTTAGAAAGCATTCCAAGTACCCGAAAAAAGAATGCTCTTCTCATGAATTCTTCGTTTTCCTTCCGATTTACCCCTTGCTAATAGAGTAAATTGCTGCCTATGTTATTACTATACGGTGTACAGTTTGTGGATAAAAAATGTATCATAGCATTCTTAGCAATCCAACCTTTTGAACCTTCCAATTTTGATGAGGCCTACTCCACCTCACCAAGGCGACAAATGATCGGAGAGAACAACATGATCCAGAAATTGCTGATAATGGGTCGGAGAGAACGAAATTATCCAGATATCAAGTGGGCAACTTCTAATACAATAGGATGGGAGGGCTAGCATACATAGCAGAGAGCATTCCAAGCTTGTTTCCCAGGCAATAAGATACAAACATTGATCACTTGGTCAACTGTACTAACCCATCAATCTTTAATCCATCTTCATTTCAAAGAGGTCAAAGTCAAAAACTTAGTTGTAACGGGTTTTAATACCCGTTTTTCTTAAACGATTGATCACGTGATGAAAGATGCATGGAGAAAAGAGTATGAAACCCATCACATGCAAGTTTTTCCCCTTAAATAGTACTTCAATTTGGTATTTCTCAAAATTTCTCAGGATCCAACCTCCAAGGGTAGCCATATATCAACCCCCTCGAAAGTCCGAAGAGTAGGTATATCATGCCCTTTCTTTCTTGGGGTTGTCTTGTCTGATTTGCTGACTGATGTGGCATGTGGACCCTACTCCTGTCCGGGCTCTACCAATGACGCGTGGGTCCCCCACCGTTTGTGGAGTATTCCACTGCACACTCTTTTCCTCTCCCCAAGCGCTTTTTGTGGCAGGTCCAACTGATATTAGGTTGGCCTAAACCCATTGCCGTCTTTATTTATTTTAATACTGAAAATAATAATAATACTAGACTAAAAGCTAGCCCTTTCTTTTTTATATGTATGACAATGGACGACCAGTTTTACATGTCATGAATAATATTACTATTAATAGTTCAATAAAATTAAGTTAAAATTTTGGTAACTACACAAATTTCATGAATTTCACACTAGGATAGGATATTTAACTGTAGTGTATGAGATGCGATAGTAGAATAATACCGAAATATTGTTCTACCATACAATTAATTTAGCACGGGTTTTTTCCGGTTATGAAATGAGGATTTCAATAAATCATCAAAATTGTTACAAGATGTAGCAGCATGTATAAGGTGACCTCATTAAAACCTTTTTAGGAATTTAGCACTGTTATTATAATGTAAGACTGTTACACTGAAACTTTGATAATAACTACGCAAAGTAGATCTACTAATTGGTTATGTTTGACCCAATAATTAGAATATAAAGGCCAAAGAATTGCCAATCATTACAGGTAGATGTAGGGATACATGTTCTCTCGTCAACATTCAAACGCGTTATACTTCGAATTATTAATCTAAAGAATGGACCTGTTGATTTTTAGCTAAACGTATCATCTTAATTGAGAATTTAAAAACATACTAGACAAAATTCTTTGGAATCATTCCACGTGTTGAAACTCTTGGGTGCTAAACACGGTCCAATCCACTCGAGGACGAGAAATTAGTCCAAATAGATTCATCCATATATTCGATGTCATGTGTTTAATTTTCTTACGATAATAATGTTTATATATAACTGCATTTAAAGGGGTGAATGGTGATTTTTTATCTACCCCTAGACCTCCATCATAGACAATAAGAGCATTTCCACCGTTCCCCCAGCCCAAGCAAGAGGCTCTCTAGGCCCTCAATCTCGTTGCCAGCGCCCAAAGGCAAGACTTGTATGGGATGTTGCCTAGACAAGCTGACTTAATGCTAACGTCATTGTGACGTCGCATCCAATTTAAATAACAAAAAAATTAAATAAATAAATAACCAAAAGTTTCAGAATTTTTTTTTATAAATACCTATCTATATTTTTCACTTCTCACACCAAAACTCTATATAAATTCCTCCCCTCATATTAATAGTAACAACTTTCACCTTTCCTTGTCTTTTGCCACGATAAATGAGTGGAAATGCTCTAACAACCCACAATGAGATTTTAACAAGAGTCAATTTCATTTGAACACCCTGAAGTTCACCTTAATTACGGCAACATCCCTTTATGTTCTCACGGTTACATTCTTATGGTGCCATAAAACACGTTTTTATTGAAGATGTTTTGTAATTTATTTATCCTCGAATACATCGCTCTTTCACGCGGAAAATCAAGTGTGTAAATAATTGAACCTGTGGGGTGGGTGCTGCAATTAAGCCACACCTCAGGGGTCTATATGAAACCAATCACCCGATAAAGTTCAAAGTAACCAATTATGGCGTTGACTCGTCCTCCTTGACTAGCCTACTGATCATTTCAAGTCAAACCCACCTTCGACGAAAATCCCTCTTCCTTCCTTCCTTCCTTCCATGGCAGCATTCTTCTTGCCGGCTTCTTCACAACACCAGCATATATCTCTGTAATTCAACCCCCTCCACCACGTTTAATTTCTCACCAAACCCCCCACCCCCCTTTTACCACTTGCACCCCCAACCCCACAAACTAATTAACCCTCTCTCTCTCTCTCTCCTCCAATTTCAATGGCCATGGACAAAACCCTCCAAGCCGTTCTTGCGGCTACAGGCAGCTTCTTCGCCATAACCGTAGTATTCGCCTGCCTCTACATCTTCTGGAAGGGCTCCAAACCCAAATCGAGCCGCTCCCGCTACACCCGACCCATCCGCAACCCGCCCGCCACCGCCCTCACCTCCGTCGCCGTCGACGAAAGCTTTTCCTTCGATCCCTCGCTCAAGGTCTCCATGGAAGAGGTCGTCAAGGCCACCAAGAATTTCTCCGCCGATCTCGTCGTAGGAGACGGCGGCTTCGGCTTCGTCTACAAGGCCCAGTTCTCCGACGGCCGCACCGTCGCCGTCAAGAAGCTCGATCCAGACGCCTTCCAAGGGTTTCGCGAATTTCAGGCGGAGATGGAAACCCTAGGTAAGCTCCGGCACCCAAATATCGTTAAGATTTTGGGATATTGTGTCTCCGGCGCCGATAGGATATTGATTTATGAGTTTATTGAGCGGGGCAATCTGGACCGTTGGCTTAACGACTCGTCGTCAAGCGACGGTGATGGGTATGATGACGGGACCGGGTTTAGATTACCGTTATCTTGGAAAACGAGGATCAAGATCGTTAGGGGTGTGGCTAATGGGCTGGCTTATTTGCATGGGTTGGACAAGCCAATTATTCATAGGGATATCAAGGCTAGTAATGTGTTGTTGGACTCGGAGTTTGAGGCCCATATTGCTGATTTCGGGCTGGCTCGGAGGATGGACGCCTCCCGTTCGCATGTCTCGACGCAGTTTGCCGGTACCATGGGGTACATGCCGCCGGAGTACAAGGAAGGGTTCACGGGGGCAACCGTGAGAGCCGATGTGTTTAGCTTCGGGGTTTTGATGTTGGAGGTTGCGACCGGAAAACGGCCCAATTTGCCCACGAAGTTCGACGGCACAGAAATGGGCTTGGTGGAATGGGCTAGGAAAATGGAGGCCCAAAACTGCCAGATGGAAATGGTCGACCCTGGTATTTCCAAGGACGACTTGGATGAAGCCAATGTGAAGGAGTATTTTAGGATTGCTTGTCATTGTGCTGGTGAGATTTCAAGAGAAAGGCCCCCAATGAAAGAGGTGATTGAAATGTTAAATCAAATTTCCATCTGACAATATATATATATATATATATATCTATATTTTTTGCGTTGGTGAGCAATGTTGTTTGTTTACAGTGTTTGTTGAGATATGAATAATATAGTTGAAAGGGATGTAAATAAGAAATTGAGCCAATTAAACAAGGGAAAATGATAGAAGTAGGAGGATTAGAGGTAGTTTTTATTTTGGCCCTTGTTGCATTTTTACTTTTCACCCAGTGGGTTTTGTAAATGGTAAAAAGAAGATCCCTAACTGAAGAATGAGAGGATCTTTTTTTAAACCATGTATGGAACTTTCTGTGATGATTGTTTAAATAGAACGTGATTTTCATGCTTTTGGTTTTATTAAGTTTTGCTATGATGGCTGCCAACTAATTGATATGATGAGATAGGGGAACCAAGATTTCTATTAATTATTAATTGGTTGGGATTCGTTACATTATCAAAGGCATGAATGGGGTGGCACAATAGTATGCCCAACGTGGGTGCTTCGAATTCTACTATTTGATTGCTAAAAAAAATTTATACATATTTGAAAGCCGAACGGGCAAAACTGACATACTAATGTCAAAGATGTGAGTAAATTTTATAAATGAACATGACAAGATACACCTAGTCAGAGGAAACGTAATGAGTCTTACCCCTCAAATGCATCTCTATATATATATATATAAAAGGTTAACAAAAAACAAAATAAAAAACCACAAGTAAATGCACAAATCAATCCTATATAGCTGGGGTTTTGGTTTGAGAAGGAATCTGAGAGAAGGAGATGACAAACGCGCTAAGGCTGCTGGAGGAGGTGAGATTATTCCCAGATAGGGAGGATGCAAGAAGATGGTGTGTAGAGACTTGAGGTCAATTTTCTTATTTTTAAAATCGGTTGAGATGCGTATCGGGTAGTCCTCTGTTCCTTCCCTTCTGCATGATTTGGAAATCTAGAGGTTCCACTCAAAATTAAGGTTCGGCTTGATTGGTGGCACACGGGAAGGTAAAATCCTGCAATTTACTTGACAAGTCCTTGACATGCTAACAATAGTGTACCAAATTTATGCAAGAGTGCGGAGAAGATTGTGTTGGGCTATTTGTTCGAAAAGAAATGGGACGAAATTTTGAAGATGTTAGGGGGGTGGAAGAGGAGGAAGTGCGTGGGAGACGGTCAAGTACTGGGTAGGGCTTTGGGCATCTGTTTCTCCAAATTTTAGGAACCCTTCTTTCTAGACTAGAAGGATGTAGTGTCATGAGTATGTTTTAGTTTGTTAAACTAGAAGTAGCTTGAATTGATATTTTTCTCTCCTATATTCACGTTGGATTGCTTGTTCGCTTTACTGTCCAGTTTCTCTAGTGAAATAAAACTTCCATCTTTTCGTTTCAAAAAAACTAAAAAAGAAAGGAGCGTGAGCCTAACAAAAATGACCGTAGTGTCGCTTGAACTTGCCTAGAGAAGAGGGAGATGGGGCAGAAATCATGCAAATAAAGACTTGAGAGGATCAATTGTAAGATAATTCGAAGGAAAAGAAAGGAAGTCTACGAAAGAAAGTAAGTCCAAACTTGAGAAAAAGAAAAAACAACAGGTCTTGCTTATTGCTGTTCCAATGCAAGGGGGATTGAAGCATATTTACATGGGAGTCAATTGTTTTATGTCTTTATGGACCTGACTAAATCTAGTATACGATAGTAGTGATAAAAGAGGGAAGATTCTTTACCCTCGAGTCCATCTCGATGAAGCCTGTTGCTCCCTGTAAGATTGTTGCATGGACTCCCACCAACTACAAGATCAAAACCACCAAATAAAGTCATATAATGCTCCAGTCTGTCACCGTTCAGCTGCTGTACATCATCAAGGTCATACAAATTCCCTCTCTGGTTTGTCTGTTCCCACCAACTCCTCACTACATTTCTATTCACTGCAGAGATCTCTACCGACACGACATTCTTTAGACGAATACCAAGCCGGTGAAGAGCTATTTCTGCCCCGCCAATCCCAGAGAAAAGAGAGAGGAGGTTGATGCCATTGGGAAACATATCTTTCAATACTGACAGATGGTATGCCACTGTATCAATCTGGCATGAGTTGAACTTATAAGAAAAATGCAGATACTATCTGACAAACAGAAAATTCTAACTTGAAACTATACTAGGGAAACTCTGTTAGAAAGCAGCATTGAAACTATGTCATGCTTCTGCACACAAAAAACTAAAGGAAAAGACTTAGATTTTGAGATTTTCAGGATTTACCAGTAGATATGAACTGCAGCATATATTAAAAAGGAATATGAAAGATATCTAAATTCCAATGAAACACACAAAATTCACTACCTGGAATGAATTCCCGAGTGATTTGTATCTGTCAGTCCTGCTTATTCCCCTTGTGTGGTTCTTTGGGAAGCCCAAAAGCATTTCCACTTCATCAGGCTCAAGTGGGGCAACCTTATTTCTTCCTACCCACACCAGATTCCACTTCCGGCATTCATCAAGAACATATTTTTGGACTCTCAGTGGTGGTTCGCCATCATAATCCTCAAGAGCCTTCCTGATCCTCTCTGTTGATTTTGCACTGGCAATGGAGGTTAACAAGCAGTTCAACTTTGTCCGCGTATCCCAAGAAGGCCACCATTTCCTTATCAAGGGAAATGCCTCATGTATGGTGTGTGGGGGAAGCGGAATAAGAGGAAATCTGTTTTCAATAGGAAGATTGTGAACATAACCTCTTTTCCTCGCAGCAGCACAAAAATACTTGGAGTCAACAAACTCTGGTTGTACATCATATAGGAAGCGGGATATAGTACTCCAAACCCCTTTAGGAGTAAGTGCCACATTCTCATAATAGAAATACGGTGGGCCTAAAGCTGCCTCTGGAAGGTTCCTGTGTGTTTTCAAGCATGGTTCAGATGGGATGCCAAACCCAACCATTGGATTTGGGAGATGAACTGCCTCATCATCTTCGTCTATGGTCTTGTTCCCAAGTCGCATATGCTTTTTCTTTTTCAGCAGCTCATACTCGAGAAGTTTCCTCTTCTTGTATGCATGATTTAGTCTAGGCTGCAAAAGTAGAGCCAACAATCACAATCTACTGAACATGGCATGAATACGTACTGATTTTCTAGAAAACTCAAGAGACTATAATATTCTATACTACTATACCTTCTCTTCAAGAGGAAGATGGGCATCTTCGGCCCTTGCCATTTGAGCAGCACATATGAAATCAGTCAACTCAACAACTGTGGAGTCAAGACCTGCAGTGTTTGAAGGGGAAAAGGAGGGCTGAGGAGGGAGATACAGGTGATCACAAACTATTAGAATTGAGAAAGAGACTGAGAGAGGATGGCATAAGGAACTGACTCAACTCGCAAAAAGTGCTTTACGACTCAGAGCCAAATCGACTTGGGCAAACCAGGTTGAATTTGCAATTAAACAACAGGGCATATAAGGAGTTTTTTAGGCACCCACATCACCGGCCTATTTATGGTATGCAAAACATTCTAGTCACATTACCCAAGAAAGTAAGCAGTATGTTTTTCAAAACATCAAAGATGAGATGTTAGATCCCAAATCAATGTGCTTTATCTATATTTCTGGAGTTCGGTTTGGTGCTAAACTAAATCCTAAAATAAATAAATAGCAATTTACAGGATATCAACAGAATCAAATCAAGCAACTAACGTTCATTTAAAAATAAAAAATAAAAAATCAAGTGACCAACCGGAGATATGTACAGGAAATGATAAAAGCAATATAAAATATAAGTAATGCATAAAGATAAAACTTATACCACATCTTTCTATTGCTATTGAAGCCTCCCCTACTGTGTACCCCATATTGACCAAGGATAATAACTTTTTGTTTTTCTCGGATGTAGGATTTAGGATGTCCTGCATAATAGTTAAATTAAATTACTATTGAATACGCACATGTAAATTGCAAAATGATATCATATATTTGTTGCTTGGAGAATTGGGGAAATACCGAAATACAAAGCTTAGCAAAAAAGGAAAATGTCAGCTCACACTCTTCTAAAAGACATAAAAATCCATAACATACAACCTATTGCTGAGGCGAACCACTACCTCATTATCAGAATAACTATCGATATCTGAAAAATCATCCGGAAAGCTCGCCTTGCTATCCGAAGAAAACTGATCATCACAATCAACTTGTTGCTGTTCTTGGGGAGAACTTTCAAGAGCCTGCAAAAAATACAGCAAGAAAACAAACGAAATTCTTCGTCTTCTTTCTTCCTTATAAGTTCTGAAGAATTTATGTTCTTAAAGTATGTGAACGTGAGAACCAGAATACATATGAGTCCCATTCACATTGCAATAAAAAGAATTAAACATGTGCTTTATGTTACCTTGACTAATTACTTAATGATCTAACAGGGTAGATATGATTTTGAGTAAGAAAACCACATGAGCAGACTAGAAATTTCACAAGAAATGAGAACCCCAAAAAGAAAAAAGAGCCACTAACAAAGGAAATTTCTTAGGTTTCTTGTAAGAAAACACAGACTTCATTGGATGGATGAGAAGTCATCATATGTAACTTAACAACCTCAATCTAAAACATCTTAAATTGAATAGAACACACACCCACCCCACCCCCCTTTCTCCCCATAATGGAAAGCATTGAATGCAAATCCCTATGTTCATGGACTTATTAAGTGAAGTTTTGTTCCACATAAACTAAAAAATTTATTACGTCAAATACAATTAGAGGGGACCCAGCTCAAAACCCAAATTATCTATATCACCAAGAATAAGTGTCCAAAGCAGCATTGGCAAATGAAGATATGTTGACTCACTGAATATGTAAGGAGGGTTTCAAGAATTGAATCTGTATTCTCCTCTCCTGGATATTCCATAAAACCGATGTTATATGGGGTTACAATTGAAACAGTCAAGGTGAAAACTGGTGTTGAAATGAAATGATACAGTGCTCTTACCATGTTCCTGAATTGCTTTGGCAACCATTTTTCCAGAAAATCCCATCCCAACAAAATGATCAACAACTTTGGAATTTGAAGGACCTTGAGATGAGCTCGCCTATAGGAAGAAATATGTAATATATATTAATACTCAGTCTAAATATTCATCAGGTAT